CTGGAGGTTAAGGAACCAGCTTTGCGACCAGAAGGTCACCAGTTTGATCCCTGAGCCGACAGTATGTGACTGAGGTGCTCGTGAGCAAGGCACCCAAGCCCCCCCAACTGCTCCCCGGGTGCTGCAGATAGGGCTGCCCACCGTGTGTGCCCACTGCCCCCTAGTGCATGTCTTCACTAGTTTGTATGTGGTGTTTCACTGCACGGATGGGGTCGATTGCAGAGGTGAAATTTCCCCATTGTGGGACTAATAATGGTCTCTTAATTAGTTAACCATTTCCAAACCTCTCCTCATGGCTGCCCAATATTATTTGTAGGTATCATCCAATATACAGTTAATCGGTGCTTCATTATGTTAAATCAGGGGTGCTGATAGAAATGAATAAGACTATGGGATGATTAAGTTCGTATTAATTCTAATGATGTAACTGTGCAAGCTGTCTTTATACTGTGCAAAAGCCTTAGGCAAATATATATATATATATATATATATATATATATATATATATATATAGAGAGAGAGAGAGAGAGAGAGAGAGAGAGAGAGAAAGAGAGAGAGATATGAAAACCCATTTTATGAAGCTCCCTAGGCACAGTTATTATGCTAGTGTTGCTTCCAGATGCAGTTTGGAACTCTGTAGTGAGAGATGCAAAAGAAGACAGGTGATTTTTATGCCTTACATGCTTCAACACTTGGCAGCCCTATTCAGTGTCTACTGCTTCAAGACTGAGCTGTTGTTGGCTCTAGATGCTTCCATTTTACAATAATAGCACTTACAGTTGACCAGGGTAGATCTAGCAAGGCAGAAATGTCATAAATGGACTTGTGGCAAAGTGGCATCATGTTGACAGTGCCATGAAAGTCACTCTTCATTACGACCCATTCTACTGTCAGTGTTTGTCTATCTTCATGACTCAACTCAAAAATGCTAGCCTGTACATCACACATGCACACATACAATCCATCTTTTTAAATATACACAAAGTTTACTTAATTGCAAAAAATATGTGTTTCGGTGACAAATTTCTATGTTACACACTGATTTCAGGACTTTAAAAGAAGTCAAAAGGAACTTTAAAAACATGGAAAAATAAAAATTGTAAGTATTATTTTCACAAGTTGAATTTTAGGGGTTAGGGTTTGGGACAGCCATCTCCCAATAGATATAAATGATGATTTTGTATACATTTTTTGCTGTGGGGCATCAGTTTGACCAATTCGGTAAATGGTTAATTTACTGTGTATTACTTTTAATTAACATGTTCCAAAATATCAACAGATAGATGTTATTTGCTATTATAGCAAGTTTTCAGTACCATCAGTGCAGCCTACACCATGTTGTTATGTGAAGAGAGATGGGTACAAGCGGGACAATGAAGTGACAAACTACAGTGTGGAGAGGAGGTTCTATGTGGTTTTCTGAGCGCTGAGGAGGAAAAAAGCAGAAAAAGCTTATTTATTTCAGTCAGAACAGAGTGCTGCACAGGCTCAGCAGACCGTACATAATGCTGGCGTTAATGTTAGTACAGATAACCCTGACTGTCACACCCGTTACAGCTTACAACAGATGATCACGATGTTCATGATGGCACCACTTCTGACACTCCTGATAGCAGTGACCATAACGACAAGGATGACCACCAAATCGATTGATCTCCCTAATCAGCATGACTCACTATCAGATGACCTGGCTCTGTGGACAAAAAGACAAACATACAAACTCACTTCTAAAAAAAAGTAGAGGCAATAGGAAAAAGTATAGAAAAAATCAGACAGCAATGATTTGCAAATCTTTTTGACCTGTAGTCATTTGAAAACAGTACAAGATATTTAATGTTACCATGCTTCAGCCCACTCCAGGGTCTTTGTTGTTGTATATTTTGCTTCATAACACCCTATGCGTTTTCGAAAGGAGACAGATCTGGACTGCAAACAGGTAAGTCTAGCACCTGCACTCTCTTACTACAAAGCTGTTGTAATACAAGGAGGATGTGGCTTGCCATTGTCTTGCTAAAACAAGCAGGGACATCACTGAAAAAGACGTCATCTGGATGGCAGCCAGATACTGTAACAGATGCTGGCTTCTTTGCCTTGCATTGGCAACAATCTGGATGGTCCTTTTGTTCTTTGGCCCAGAGAACATGACGTCCATTATTTCCAAAAGAAATAGAATGGTGAACTTGTCAGACCACAGCACACGTTTTCAATTTGCGTCAGTCCAACTCGGATAAGCTTTGGCCCAGAAAGGTGGGCAGCATTTCTGGATGATGTTCATATATGGCTTCTGCTTTGCACAGCATTGTCTTAACTTGTATTTGTAGATGCAGCGACCGACTGTGTTTACTCACAAGGGTCTTTCAACTAAACTGTAAAAGACAGTTTAAAAATCAATGCTTTCTGTTTTCATTTGGATTTTACTTATTTGTCTCAACTCTATTGGAAATGTGTTTGCAGACAGTAAGAGGGCAGGGCAGACAGGAGCACGCTGGTTCAGAAAAAAAAAATAGTGTACAGACATGAATCTTTGACTTGTGTCTTAATTTGAGCTCTGTGACCCCTGCTCACACCCCATGTGACACGGGCTTCCGGTAAGAGTTTTTTTTCTCTGAAGTAACTAAAAACAGACCTGAAGTCAACTGTTTCACAGGAAAGGCTGTGTGCACTAGAATTTCTCACAACTGAGCATGAAATCAGGAAGTCAACTGATGGATAGTCTTTGATAACAAGCTTTGCTGGAGTCAAGGCTCACAGGGTCAAGTTTTAGCCAATTAGTCCACACTATGCCTGTTAGGAGGAGGTTGGGTTACAGTGTGTTGAAAGTGTCTGCGCTCCTTGTATGTCGTGTCCTCCTGTGATACCCCTTCCCGTGTTTTGTGTTGGGGTAGCACAGGGCTGGGCAGGTCTCCTGCTGCTGTTCATAATAAAAGAGCACTTGCCTGAATGTGCAATGTTATCTGTATCTTCTATGCTGAGGCTATAATACAGTTCATACTCAAATGTTTTAAGATTGTACAGAACACACAACCCACAGACGTGCCACTGGTATCTTTCTTTCTTGGACGTGTTTAGAGTGTAAAGCCAAAATTGAGCTGACACTACTCTGAAACCGTGGGGAGCAGACCCCAAAAGTCAAACTTTTCATTTCTTTTTCAAACTCTGAAACACATCCTTTCACTCTTATAAATTCTGCAAATGTGGAAGTGTGCTTAAATGCATTTTGACTTCAGTCTCTTTTTTTTATGTTATTAGGTATGAGGCAGGACCCTGCATAGCACTCTGTATAAAAGCTCTTCTACATTAGCACTCAAGAGCCATTAAAACTCTATGAAACCATTCTGATGGCAGCAGTGTCAAGACTTCGACATAATTGCGGCCCACCGACACCTCAATAAAGAAAGCACAGGTAACGTCAGAAACACCCATTAGCTGTACATAGCTGGGGTCACAACAGACACCTCAAAGTCTCTCTGGGAACCTGATCTTAATGTTTAATTTCCAGTCTAGGAATGACCTGCTATATAAGCTGTCTGCTGAGTTACTGACCAGACTTATGGCCTTTAAAACACTCTGAGATCGCTGGGCTCTTCCAAAGCTTTATAGAACCAAATTAGAAGACAGTCCAGCAAGGGTTTTGGGTGTAAATTAATCTTTTAGTTGGGAGGATAGTCTGCCAGCACCCAACTCAGCTGTACAAAATGTGAGCTGTTCTTCTTCACTAGGGGGCTCATCCCACAGTAACGTTAGCTAAGGGTGGGGTTTGCTTTCAAAAGTATGGGATCAGATAAGGTGTCCTCAATGGGTCACAGGTATTTTGTGTTGCAGAGTTGCCTCTTTTCTATGGATATTCTATTCACTGATCAGCTTGACAAACATCCAGATTCAATTCAAATTTAATTTCAATTAAGCCCTTAAAATCTCAGGCTTATTACATAGTAAGACTTATTATTCAGTAACAACAGGGACTTCAATGCCAAGTAGGTGAGCTATTCTTAGGTTCTAGAAGTGTGTAATGGGCCCATCTTTGGGGCCACCGGTGGTCCCTGGCCATTTAAGTGGTTAATCTGCATGGTGCTTTTTCCAATCAAGATGGTCACAAAGCACTACGTAGGGATTGGATCAGAACCCATATTAGGGAACTGAGTGGTAGAAACATAAAGAGAATGTGAAGAGCTGGAGTTGTTAGAGAGGAGCTGGAAAAGTATGTTCATGTTAATAAAGAATATGGGATCATGGGATCAGTTTCTGTTCCTCCTTGGAAATGCTGTGACAGCGAGAACAGATCAATCACGTAAACATTTAGAATGAGAACTGCTAAACTTACAACTCTGCAAAACTGCCTTCATTAAATTGTACATCTGGTGCTCATAGTCCCAATGGATGATTTTTCACATTTCCTCTTTTCTCTTACCTGTAATATGTTGTTTTTATTCTACTGATATTTTTATGCAGTACAAAAAAATTATACATTTTAAAAACAAATATTCAAACTACACACAGCAATGATCAAGAATCAGTAATGTAATTTCAAGTTTCAAATTTCATTGTCAAAAGGACAGTTATTTCTTCCAGACTCTTGAAATGAAAGATCTGAAAAAGTGTTCAACCCTAAACAACAGATGTTTCACTCCACTGTTTACACACAGTACAAACATGAGCTTTTCAGTCGAGCCAGAGATGAGTCTGAAATTATTATTAAAAATATATTTCTCCTCTCACATTTTAAAATCCCTGACTGTGGTTTTACAGAGGCAGAATAAACAATGCTGACTACAGTAACAATAAGCTTTGGTCCATATACTGCAGTTTTAACCATAATATATGCTGAGTATCATTTACAAAATGTCACTAAAAAGAGAGTTAAGCTGAAAGCTGAGAGAGTATTAATGCAACAAATAGGTAAATGTTCCCATTATATAAAATCAATAAATATTGATCAGAATATTGATTAGAATCATGATTTATGAAAAAATATCTTGCTGGCTGTTCTGTCTGTAATTGAACTATTCCTCTTTGTGAGATCTTGGTACAAACTTTAGGGTCACAGGAACTGTTGGCTGAAAGAGGCCATTGAGCTGAATGGGAATCTGAAAAAAAAAAAATAAAAAAGGTCAAGAAAAAGTCATTCAGAATAGTGTTCAGCCAAAAGGTGAAAAAAACGCTAACACAATATGCCCTGAAGATAGTGCTGGAAATCATTTACTGTGTATCTACACTGAATGCCTAAGAAAAGCATTAAAGCAATATTTTTACTTTTTTAATTTTCAGTGTCCTCCAGAAGAGCCCATTTAAATCATCACACATTTGACTTGCATATGTGATTATTTAGACATGCCGTTTGCATGATGCCAATCTGTGACGAAAAGCTTCCATTATTTGTTAGCTATATTGGCCTTAGAATCAAACTTCAGTCACCAAGCATGTCTACATTTTGGATTACTGTGTAAATGAGATTTTCTTGCCAAACTATTGCTTTCAAGGAAAGAGCGCTCTTACCTGTGTCTCTCTGCATGTCTCTATGCTGAAGTTCTGCAGCAGCTTCACCACCACCAGTTTCATGATCATCAAAGCAAACCTCATTCCTACGCAGTTGCGAGGCCCGAGGCCAAATGGCATGAAAATGTACTGGTTGATGTCATTCTCTGAACTAAACCTTCAGTAATCAGAAGAAATCAGAGAGACACCCTTGTTAGCAGCACAGCTTCACCTCATAAAAATAAAAGCATGAAATATGAGCTGTCACATATTCTAGTGGTTTTAGTTTTGTTATAGCGAAGCAGCAAACCACTATATACATGATGTTAAAAACAGTGTTGGGGTACAGTATCCATTACAAGTTACTGATTACACAGCCACCATGAAATCAGTTAATGCGTCCTAACGGGTCTTAGCATCAAAGGTGGGTAGAAACATTTACTCTGCTACATGTTCTAGGTAAAGCAAAAAAAAGAGATGGATTAAATAATAATAGTTTTAATTCTGTTCAAGCATATTTGTGAGAAACTGCTTTGCGATTGGTCACAGTGTTGACTTTGGAGCTTTAGCATTTTATTTTAGATCAAGAGTGTATTAAGTAGAAAAGAACTGAGTCTAACAAACTTCAGTTCCTATGCAGACAGATGATGGATTTAATAAGATGTTCCACTACGGCTGGGCAATATGACAATATATATCGGTGTCATGATAAATTATGTCACAACACAATACAATATGCTTTTCTGTAAATATTGTGCATATCATCAGTTCTTTTAGAACACTGACCAACTGCATGTTTCATTATAAAGAAAGCAAAATCAGTCCTGTTTAACTGGATTAAGTACAACACACTAGGCCAAATATTGAATTAAAAACATTGTATTCACAGTTTTTATAATATTTTTTTTAAATGTAGCATTATCAGTTCTCACAGCACTTTTTCTGTTTATCGTTTTTCTTTGAAACTGATCAGATGTCTGAAAAAATAAATATTGTGACATAGCATGTATCTTAAAGAAATTATATAATGTCTTGACATATCGCAATAATATTCAATTGCAATTCTGTTATTTTGCATAATTTTTTAGAAAAGCACTTTTACTTCTGTTATTATTTCACCAAAGTAACAATGCTTTTACTTGAGTGTGGGTTTAGTCTACTCGCTACACCTCTGCTTAGCATACACTTCTCTAGGTCATTCTACAGAAAGATACCAGCTGGAGCAGAAGGGCAGTATGACGGGGATGCAGTGACATTACCTCTCAGGCCTGAACTCTTCAGGAGATTCCCACAGCTGTGGATCTCTGTACAGAACATAAGTTGGGATTGTAACAAGAATGTCTTTAGGTATCGTGATCCCATTGAGCTCTATGGTCTTCTTGCACATTCTCTCCAAACGTGGGGCAGTAGGGAGGAGACGCATCGACTCATTGATGACCATGTCCATATACTCCAACTTCATCAGCGCATCGTAGGTCACTGGAGCCTGACAATATGGAAATGGGATTCTATTAAACTGCCCTCAAAGAGTTGATGTGTTCTCTTAATTTGACTTGGCAAATCAACAAGATGATTAATTTCACTCAAGCTTTTACATAAGATTATGCAAAAAAAAAAAACATATATCAAATTTTAATAGCATTCTTGTTGAGTTTATGTGGATTTTGTAAAGTCTTGTGCTCACATTATGAGGAAAGGCTTCATCAATCTCTTCGACCAGTTTGCTCAGGCAGTCTGGATTAGTTGCGAGATTATACAGTAGAAAAGTGAGGGTGGTGCTGGTGGTCTCATATCCTGCCAGGACAAAAATGAAGGACTGGGAAAGAATCTCATGGTCAGTCAACCCTGGGAAAGAAAACACAAAGCCACACTTCTCACTGAAAGAGCACCAAACTCGAAAAGAACAAAGACTTCAGGTGAAGCATTCAATTTCCACAGTGTTTGCTATTGTTCTTACACAGGGAGTTTGCTTACCTTTGACTGGTTGCTCACTCGAGGCTTTCTCAGCTTGCTCATCCAAAATCTGGTTCTGAATCATCAGGTGCAGAAAGTCCACTCGTTTCTAAAAGGAGAGAGTCTGACTGTAACATACATATTTGCAATACAGGTAAATACAGTGGCTCTTTGCTAAGAGGTACACATTCAGTAGTTATTTCACACATACATTATTACTTGTGTTATGCTGGTCTTTTATCTTCTTCAGGGAACTGTAGAAAAAGTCCATACTTGATTTTGAAAACAGAGTAATTCCCAATTTCCCTAAAAGTGAAGCAGTGAAGGGAAACAGAGCTGCAATACAAAAGGACATGAATCAATAAATTATTTCAGACATTTTCTCCCTGTCAGTCTGTGTCACTATTCACCAGTAGGATATCATGAGTCAGTTTTTCACCGTTAATGTTAGCTAATTTTCCTCACTAATAAGAGACTTGCAATGCACTTTGGTACACGTTCAGCTGATGTTGTTATTTTTAGTTTTCACATTAAATTACGAGTGCACTGTGGGAGACTGTAGTGCTCTCAGAATCACTCTGGAATTCCTTTTTATGACACTACAGGGCAGATTTACTAAGAGAGGCACTAATTACCATCAGTGTCTAGTAGTTTAACACACGACCAGCGCAATATAAACTCAATTAGCTCTCATACTTTTTGTATAAAAGCCTATATAACACTTTTTTATTCCCTCCCCATTGTTTCCAGTTCAAACTTTTACTCATTCGGTTGCAATAATGACTTCTTTTTTCAATATTTTGACTTTGTTTGTTAGAATAATGAATAATGCAAAAAAAGAATTATTACTAAAAAAGAATTATTATTAAAGTATGTGATTATGTCAATATCACAGATAATTATTTTGAGAAAATAAGACATTCATTTTTCAGAGTTTCAATATATGCTTTGAACAGTTGTTTGGAAAATTTTCAACAAAAATAAATGTGAAAAACACTCTTTTCTCTGAGCACAAACGTAGCGTCATTGCACCTGTTTAATAAATCACAACAGCCATTTTTAAATACCAAAATGGAGTTCACGACGATAAAAACGTTAGTATACCAGCCCTAAAAGAAAAATGGCCAACATACTCAAAAGTGCCCTAAAACACAAATAGGGATCCACTCTCATATTCATAGATTAGTCACTGTCACTGTCATAGACTAGTTACAGACTTCGACTGTGACAGAATTCCCAACAGTACTGAATTATTTTAACTAAATATAATAAGCTAATAACAGTGAATAGTACATACTCAGTATCAGGAAAATGGGGCTGAAAAAGTTGAAGCTAAACATCTTCTTGATGTGGGCAACGAAAGGATCATTCGGGTTGTTTATAGAATCGATTTCCACACTAAAGGAGGCGCTGGCAACAACATCCATAGAGTAGGGAGCGAGGACACTGCAGAAACAGATATTTAATATTATCTCAATGGATATGGAATAATAATACGGCATTTATAGCAAGTGTGTGGTTGAACAGTGCAAACTGAATTAAATTAGATCATTAGAGTGTGATGGCACTTTAACTTTTAAGTAAGTGAAATTGTTTGCAATTTTTCAGCTTCCTATTTTTAGCCTGCTACACTGTATTGCCAAAAGTATTCGCTCATCTGCCTTCACACGCATATGATCTTGAGTGACATCCCGTTCTTAATCCACAGGGTTTAATATGATGTTGGCCCACCCTTTGCAGCTATAACAGCTTCAACTCTTCTGGGTTCCACTCTAATTCATCCCAAAAGTGTTCTATCAGGTGGAGGTCAGGACTGTGTGCAGGCCAGTCAAGTTCTTCCACACCAAACTCGCTCATCCATGTCTTTATGGACCTTGCTTGTGCACTGGTGCGCAGTCATACTGGAACAGGAAAGGGCCGTCCCCAAACTGTTCCCACAAAGTTGGGAGCATGAAATTGTCCAAAATCTCTTGGTCTGCTGAAGCATTAAGAGTTCCTTTCACTGGAACTAAGGGGCCGAGCCCAACTCCAGAAAAACAACCCCACACCATAATCCCCCCTCCACCAAACTTTACACTTGGCACAATGCAGTCAGACAAGTACCCTTCTCCTGGCAACCACCAAACCCAGACTCGTCCATCGGATTGCCAGACGGAGAAGTGTGATTCGTCACTCCAGAGAACACGTCTCCACTGCTCTAGAGTCCAGTGGCGGTGCTTTACACCACTGCATTCGATGCTTTGCATTGCGCTTGGTGATGTAAGGCTGGGATGCAGCTGCTCGGCCATGGAAACCCATTCCATGAAGCTCTCTCCACTGTTCTTGAGCTAATCTGAAGGCCACATGAAGCTTGGAGGTCTGTAGCGTTCGACTCTGAAGAAAGTTGGCGACCACTGCGCACTATGCGCCTCAGCATCCGCTGACCCTGCTCTGTCATTTTACGTGGTCTACCACTTCGTGGCTGAGTTGCTGTCGTTCCCAATCGCTTCCACTTTGTTATAATACCACTGACAGTTGATATTTAGTAGCGAGGAAATTTCATGACTGGACTTGTTGCACAGGTGGCATCCTATCACGGTACCAGGCTAGAATTCACTGAGCTCCTGAGAGCGACCCATTCTTTCACAAATGTTTGTAGAAGCAGTCTGCATGCCTAGCTGCTTGGTTTTATACACCTGTGGCCATGAAAGTGATTGGAACACCTGAATTCATTAATTTGGATAGGTGAGTGAATACTTTTGGCAGTATAGTGTATTTAATGAATGCTTGTTAACACAATTCTGAATAAGTACCGATTTGTGAAGTATTATAAAGCCTTCTGCAGTGTTTTTACACACATACTCTTTAATTTTAATTCCATCTTCTGGGTTCTTCTTCTTCAAGTTCTCAATGAAGCAATCTCCATACTTGTCAGCTATTGGAAAAATCTGTAATATTTAAAAAAAAAAAATTCAACAAGGAAACAATAATGGTTACACAACTAATCAACAAGAATGACTGACTAGAAAAGCTCCATGTCATTGTAATGCAAGATTCAAAATATTCAAGATTTAAGTTTTAACAGGTTACTGATTTGTGATCTGTAGAATTCTGCAGAATTTTCAAATGAGGATGATTAGACACCTAATTTAATAATTGTTTACAACCCATTTCCAAAAGTTGGGATCCTGTGCAAAATGTAAATAAAAACAGAATGCAATGATATGCAAATCATTTGAACCCTATATTTAATTGAAAATAGTACAAAGACAATGTATCAAATATTCAAACTTTCAATGTAGCACTGCATTAAAACAGACACAATTCTGTAGTGGAAATCACTGCATGGGCTCAAGAGCACTTCTGAAAACCACTGTCTGTGAACACAGTTCATCACTGCATCCACAAATGCAAGTTAAAACTCTACCATGCAAAGAAAAAACCATATATAAACAGGATCCAAAAACACCGCCACCTTTTCTGGGCCTCAGCTCATTTAAGATGGACTGAGGTGAAATGGAAAAATGTCCTGTGGTCCGATAAATTAAAATTTGAAAATCTTTTCAGAAATTATGGACTCCAGAGGGGGATTATCCAGATTGTTATCAGCGCACAGTTCAAAAGCCAGCATCCATGATGGTATAGGGGTGAATTTTTGAACATGGCATGGGCGACTTGCACATCTGTAAATGCACCATTAATGCTGAACAATATATAGGAAAGGCCACTACATACTGCATGTATTACAGCATGGCTCAGTAGTAAAAGATTCTGGGTGCTAATGTGTCCTACCTGCAGTCCAGACCTGTCACCTTTTGAAAAATATTGCCACATTATCAAGTAAAAAATACAACAAAAGAGACCCCGAACTGTTGACCAGCTGAAATCCTGTATCAAGCAAGTATAAAGAAAACATTTCACCTTAAAACCTACAGCAACTGGTCTCTACAGTTCCCAAACACTTACAGAGTGTTGTTAAAAGAAGTGATGTAGCACAGGGGGTAACCATGCCACTACCCCAACTTCTTAGAAATGTGTTGTTGACATCAAATTCAAAATAGGCATATATTTTTTCAAAAAAACAATACAATTTCTCAGTTTATATAGGGTTTAACACCTTAAAATCACAGACTTATTACATACTAAGGCTTATTATTCAGTAACTACAGGGACTTCAATACAAACTGGCAGAGCTATTCTTAGATAATAGAAGTGTGTAATACAATTTTGGGCCCATTGGGCCATTCAAGGGGTTAAATGATTGGCACATTATTGCATTCTGTTTCTGCATCCCAACTTTTTTTGGGAATGGTGTTGTAATATTCTAACTGGGATAGATTGTTTTGGTTATTAAATTAGGGTCTGCACCTCCTTCAGTCGTCCACTCGTGAACAATGGTGAGAGCGAACCACGGATTCGCTTCCATTTCTCATCTTTTACAACACTTATTCCATCAGCAAAGGCGCCGGCCAAATCCAGGTTTGTTTCCTGAACACATAAAAAATTGAACAACATCTTGTTTAACACCTTAAAATCCCATATTACATACTAAGGCTTGCTATTCAGTAACTACATGGGCAACAATGCAAATTGGTTAGTTACAGAGTTATTTCTAGGTTATAGAAGTGTGTAGTTATTTCTAGGTTATAGAAGTGTGTAGTAAAGCCTTGGACCTGCTGCCGGGTCCTGGCCATCTAAAAGGTTAATCCTAATTACATTTAGGCATATTTGACCAATGCATCCTAATTGTGGTGGAAGTATTTATGAAGGAATTAACATGTGGGTTTCAGGTACATGAAGATTCATGTGACCAAGAACATTGACTTACCCTTCTGTTAGTGAAGACAGAATAACACTCTTTCACCAAAATGGATTTGATCATTTCAATGTCTAAGACCATTAGAATTGGTAACCTTCCATCATATATCCTTAGTAAAAAAAGAAATGTACATTTAAGCATGATGGCTTTAAACAGCTGTTGTTGCTGAAATACTACATGGTGAAGCTTTTTGCAACAAAACCTGAAATTAAATATTTGCCTAATTTACCTGCAAATATCTGTCTGCCACAGAATGTATAAAATATCTGAGAATGCCTGGTTGATCTTTTATTCTTACAAAGTATTTTCATGATATTTAGTATAACTACAGTACTGTGCAAAAATCGTAGGGACCTAAGCAAATGTTTTAATGGTTTAAGCAAACTGTTTTATTGTTTAAGTAAATTAAGCAAATTACCCCTATTTGTGTGAGCAGTGGGCAGTTTTTGCCTGTAAATACACTATATGACATTAGAATGAATACAAATAAGCATGAATACAGTAAAAACTAAAGACCTGAAAAAGTAGTAGATATCTTTGGTAGGTTTGGTATCAGATTTCTCCTCAAAGACATCAGCCATTGCATGATTTTGCTCAGTTCCGTCAGCGGCACACTTCATTTAAGTTAATGAAGCACTGATTAGCCAAATCAGGTATTGGATGATAACTATAAATAATACCGGACTTTACTTGAGGGGAGGTTTGGAAGTGGTTAAACAAACACATTAACGTACATAAAATCACTACTTGTTAAAATTATTTGTATTTATTCTAATTTTTTTGTTTCTTTCTGAACAAATAAATGCTTCCTGTTCAATAATTTTTTAACATAACTTTTTGGGCGCCTAAGCTTTTTGCACAGTACTGTATGTGTATTCATTTCATATCCAAAATGCTTTTAAAAACTGCAGTCAAAGACTGTGACCTGAATCTTACTCACCCCCAAATCTTTCCATATTTCTTGTAACACTCAGTGTCAAATTTGTAGAAACCCTAAAATGGATTTCAAACACATGTGCATCAGTGACAAAAGCATTACTCAGTATCTACGTCTATGTGCTCTGTTACGTCTGTGGAGTTACACACCTTTCTGTAAGCTAGAAAAGTTCCAAAGAAAGGCCAAGGCCTTGGTCCTGGGACCCCCAGCTTTTTAAACAATCCATACGGCCACACACCATAACTGCAGATAAAATAACAGTCCATACTGAACACTGCTTACCGACATGGAACCACAACATATTTCAAAAACCCCACGGTGGCAGCAGACAGGTGGAACCTGGTCCACATGTAGCTCCTGTTAAACTTTAACAAGAGTGGACATACTTACATAAACAGAAGAGTGACCACCAGTACGACTAGACTCCATGTCACAGACAGAGATGACAGAATGCTCATTTTCTTCTTGCTCAACACAACGAATGCTCAGGAACTGTCCAGTTGTCCAGTTTCACTGTGGCTCCGTGCTAAAGAAAACTCTGCTCATGGTTTTTATTGAGGTCTAAGTAAGGTTCAAGTTCAGGGCAGAAGAAGTAGGTGAGTAACATGACTAAATAAGGTAAGGAAGAAAGGTTCTTATCCCTTATTTGGCCCGAGGACCATCTAGATAACCTTATTAAGCATATACCTGGCCTTTCAAGGTGTCAACTTGCTGCAGTGACATCACTAAAGGCTACAACAGATCTGCTTTTCCTTATTGTAAAAAAACTGACCTACATATGTAACAGGACTGATTAAACAAAGTAAGCTAGGTCCTAAGTTAGTCCTGTGTAAACACATTACATAATACGGTTTTATGACTGGCTATTCATAAGGTGTTGTGCTTGCCATACTACAGCTTTTCTTCATTCATTTATCATTATATTTCTTTATATTTATGAATATAATACATTATATTTATGTGCTTTTGATTGTGACATACAGATTTATTAATAACAAGTTATGAATGAAGCTTTAAAAAGCACTACAGTAATACCATAACAAACAGTAAGATTTCTATATATGCCATATAACACTGTTATTATAATTTATAATACGTTCACCACTGTCTTAAAGTCACACACACAATCCGCGCAGTGACCGCTGGGATAGCATCCAGCTTATCCTTTCTAAGGATAAGCGCCTTAGAAAATGTGTGTGTATGTGTGTGTGTGTGTGTGTGTGTGTCTTAATGTGTGTATCTTAATTTACTATAAGATTCCTGTAGTATTGATATTTCTTTTTCTCAAGAGAAAAAATAATTAGCAGTCAAAAACTGTCACGACGTCATGAAGCTCCTGTGTTTACAGTCTATGTGTGGAATATATATGGATATTATATATTATTTCTTCACCTCTGGTAAAACTCGAAGTGCTTCGTTCTCTGTGTAACTGGCGACTCTTTGCACCTTGTTCACTTCAGAAGAAGACCGAGTTTCCTCAAATGTCGAACGAAGTTTGTTTTTATTTTCTGTTTTTACAGTTTAACATTAAAAATGACGTTTTTCCCCTCACGGCAACAGCAGCAGCAGCAGCAGTCACGAAACCATAAGCACTTAACATCACGTTTCGTAGCCACGCCCACGAATACGTTTAACCAATCAGCGACAGCCTCCGACAGGACTGGTTCACCGAGATCAAGAACAGCTGAAAAATGAGATTTCTCAGTTATCCAGATAAGTGAAGCCCGAATGAGACGCCAGTCTAATAAGAGAAAAAGGGGAACTCCACCAGTCTTTTAAAATTTCCACAGTGGTGATGATAGGAACCAGACGTCTGAAGAGTTCAAAGTCTCTAAAAGCTCCCTCACAGAAAATTATTACACAAAATGGTTATGAATACTCTGGTGTCTGAGACATTGTTTTACAATAGTTTTGTGATAAAGTTTTGGCCTAAAAAGTCTTAATACATTTATTTGAATCCATTTAAGGTGGGATACATGCAGTTCGTTGTAAAGCAGAATAGTCCCCAAACAAAACATATTTTTTCAGATTTTCCACTATTCTACCATTGTAAACATTACATATAAAACTCAGAAGACACGTAGGTTCACTGGTGGTTTTGGATAGTAAATAAAATGGCTATATTTGTGTTGTAGACATGGTGACCCCTGGTTCCTATCACCACCCTTGTAAAGAAATCAGAGTCTGCAAGTTTCTCTACAATGAACCATTTCACATCAAACCACTCTGAATGAATCTGTTTACATCTTAAATTATACAAAATTTGAAAAATCGGTGGAATTCCCCTTTACGTTCTCCAGCTGTTCTAAGACGTCCTGCTTTGTGAAGCAGAGGTGGGTAAATCTATTTTCAAATAAAATGATTACTTCTGTGAAAATAATGACTCAAAAGGATTACAAAAAAAACAACAACCTGAGTAGACATACATAAGTAGCAGGCCCAAAACGTTACAATTCAGTAACTTGTACTTCCTAGTACAGTGCTGTAAAAAGTATTTACCCCAGTTTCTTCTATTTTTGCTAATTTGTCAGATTTAAATGTTTCAGATCATCCAACTCATTTCAATATAAGATAAAGACAACACAGGTAAACACAAAATGCAGCTTTTAAATTAGCATTCTATTTATTGAAGATAAAGATTTATTTAAAACCTTTATCACTCATATGAAAAAGTAATTGTCCCCTAATCCGAATAACTGATTGCGCCTCCCTTGGCAGTAACAACTGCAGTCAAATGTTTGCGATAACTTGTCTTTTACATCACTGCAGAGCAATTCTGGCCCACTCTTCTTTACAGAATTGTTTAATTCCAGCTACATTGGAGGGTTTTCAAGCATGAACTGCCCGTTTAAGGTCTTGCCACAGCATCTCAATGGGATTCAAGTTAGGACTTTAAATCGGCCACTCCAAAACCTTAATTTTGTTTCTTTTGAGCCATTCAGAGTTCTTTAAAATGTTCTTCTGGGTTGTTTTGTGACCTCCTGGAAGAGTCGTTAATGCGCTCTTGAGGAATTTTTTTTAGGCCAGCCACTCCTGGCATTTCGATCTATGAGATTTGCAAATCATTGCATTCTGTTTGTATTTACATTTATTTACATTTTACAGTGTCCCAATTTTTTTCGCACTGGGGTTGTATAAAGTGCACCTATATGGTAAGTGGAGCTAATAAAATGGACAATGAGAGTAGAAACAAGGAGGTGGTTTTAATGAAGTGGCTATTCAGTATATGTTTCTATTGGTAGAAGAAGCAGACGTAGCTGCTATCAGACAGCCCTACCAAAAAAAGAGATGAATTTGCATCTTCAACTCTCACAGTGGGTCAGGTTTTAATTTGTCTCTAACTATGAGTTAAACCAGTTCTTTGTGCAGTTTGACAATGGCTCCTCTCCTTTGTGTCTGTCTCCTACACAGATTAACACACCTACACAATCATGCCATGGGCCATCCACAGCCTCACCTTCCTCCACCACAGCCATTCACACCTGTGACCATCAGCAACCAATGTCTGCAATGGATGCCTCTCACCCACCATCCACAGCTGGAATGTCCAGTGATGATACATTCACCGCTAATCAGGTGAAGATTGAACTTGAAAAACTCAAGCAGAGCAAAGCAGCGGGACCTGATCGCACTGAACCTAGTGTGCGAAACTGTGTGCGGAGCAGCTGTGTGGAGTTCTTCAGCACTTCAGCATCTTCAATCTGAGCTGCAGCCTGAAGAGAGTCCCAATTATGTGGAAAACATCTTGTGTGGGTGTCCCCAAGAAAAGGCAACCGACAGCACTGAATGATTATCGACCGGTGGCACTGACATCCCACTTAATGAAGACACTTGAAAAGCTGATGCTAGCTCATCTGAGACCTCTGGTCAGAACAGCTCTCGACCCTCTGCAGTTTGCATACCAGGATGCCATTGGAGTGGATGATGCAGTTATCTACCTGCTGGACAGAACATACTCTCACCTGGACACATCAGGCAGCACTGTGAGGATCACGTTCTTCGATTTCTCCAGTGCATTCAACACCATACAGTCCGTGCTGTTAGGGGAGAAGCTACGGCTGATGCAGGTGGATGAATCTGTCATCTCAATGGACTATCTGACTGGACGACCCCAGTATGTGGGACTGCAGGGCTGTGTCTCAGACATGGCTGTGTGCAGTGTTGGGGCACCCCAGGGGGGCTGTGTTAGCTCCATTCCTGTTCAACCTGTACACCTCTGACTTCAGGTACATCACAGAGTCATGTCATCTGCAGAAATTCTCGGATGACATGGCCATTGTGGGGTGCATGAGAAATGGACAGGAGGAGGAATACAGGAAGCTGGTGAAGGCCTTTGTTGACTGGTGTAAGCTGAACCAACTGCAGCTAAACATCAGTAAGACTAAGGAGATGGTGCTGGACTTTAGGAAGTCCAAACCTGCCTTGTCACCAGTCACCACTGATGGAGTTGATGTGGAGGGGGTTGGGACCTACAGATATCTAGGTGTGCACTTGGACAATAAGCTGGACTGGAGCTGTAACACTCTCACAGTGTACAAGAGAGGCCAAAGCCGTCTCTACTTCCTGAGGAGACTGAGGACTTTTGGTGTGTGCACTAAGCTCCTATGGACATTCTACCAGTCTGTTACAGCGAGTGCTTTATTCTATGCTGTTGTGTGCTGGGGCAGTAGCATTAACAAAAGTGCTCTGAACAAAAGAAACAAACTTATTAGGAAGGCTGGCTCTGTTGTAGGAGTCAAGCTGGACTCTTTGGAGGTTGTGGCAGAACAGAGGATGCTCAACAAGCTGTTAGCCATATTGGATAACACCTCACACCCTCTGCATGCTACACTGGATAAACAGAGAAGCACATTCAGAGGCAGACTATTACAGCTGCGCTGTGTTAAAGAGCGCCGTGTGAGATCTTTCTTACGCACTGCTATACGGCTCTACAACGTGTCTTCTTACTGCAGAGATAGTACTGACATCCTGCAGTCTGAACCACATCACTGTATCTCCTCGCCAATTAATACACACTGTGCAATATATTATAACTGCTACTGTAATGATACTTTCACTATGCACTTTACACTGTAATATTGATGCAACTCCAAGTTAGTTATGTCTATACTCACTGTGCTTTTAGTTTACCTCATACCACTTAGTGCCTGCTTTCATGTAAATACAACAAATCTGTCTCATACGCCATGTAAATATGCAAATAGATATACTTTTATTTTATTTCTCTTGTACTTTAACTTACGTCTAGTTTATTTCAATTTTTTTATTTTCTGCGTAGTATATCTATCTATCTATGTATCTCTCTGTCTGTCTATCTATCTATCTAAACCTTTGAAGAAGTCCATAAATACGGAAGTAAAGGTTTTAAAGGCCATATGTCTAGTCCACAACTCTGCAGACAGCTTATATAGCACTTCATTCCTAGATTGGAAATTAAATGTTAAGATCAGGTTCCCAGAGAGAGAATTATGAAAATGGTTAATGGTTTGTTAAGGTACATGTAAACATGGGAAGCTATTTTGGCAAAAACGTCGATGTCAGCCAGTGTGAATTCAGTAATAGATTATAATTACATCACATGTATAAATACATTATAATTACATCACAGTTGACACTCAAATATTTTATGAATGAACAGAACATGCAGCCCATTGACCTGCCACTAATCTTTCTTTCTTGGATGTGTTTTAGAGCTTAAAGCCAAAATTGAGCTGACACTGCTCTGAAACAAACTGCTCTGGGAGCAGACCCCAAAAGCACCTCTCAAACTTTTCATTTCTTTTTCAAACTCTAAAACACATCCTGCCACTCTTATAAATTCTGCAGATTTGTAAGGATGCTTAAATGTATTTTGAATTCAGTCTCTTTTTTTGAATGTTATAAAGTATGAGGCAGGACTCTGCATAGCACTCTGTATAAAAGCTCTTCTTCACTGGGACATGATGAAATCTCTTTGATGGCCACAGTGTCAAGACTATAACATAATTGTGGCCATTCAACACCCAGGGGTGTCACTAGAGGTTTATGGCTAGGGAGGCTAAGCCTGTACTAGGGGGCTCTGGGGGCATGGTCCTTCAGGAGAAGTGGGGTCAAGTGGCATGGTCCCCCAGGAGAATTTTTTTAATAGCCCCAAAATGTCTGGTCAACATGACTTTTAATGTAGCAATAGCCAGAAAAAAACAGCCATTTGGTCGAATTAGCACACAGTAGATCTGTCTCTTGAATTTTCTAGTTATTATGACTTAAACACTATATCCATCCACTTACAGCAGGGACAGATCACGCAAAGGTACTGAAGTCAAGCAATGCGATCTACTCTTTCTTAGATAAGCTAAATAAGCAAGGCCCTAAATATATTATTCCAATACACAGATTATAGATCAGTTCAGTTTCAATGTAATCAGCTTTAGACATGTTTAACAAGCTATAGGCATGCTTAATAAGCTGGGTGACTAATTTCATACTCATAGTAACAAATATTTTCTCAGATAAGTTCAATTAAATATAGTATTCATTTTAACCAAAAGCTTAAACCACTCTCCGATGCTTTCTTCTTGACAACTAACCTGCTCCCTCAGCTCTGTCAGTCTCCATCAGCATCTTCCTCTCTCATTTCCTGTGTTTAGTAATACATTTTTTATTAATCTCAGATTAATAAAAGCAATCTGTTTTTGTTTCTAAACTGTTAAAAGTCCTCTCATCTGACTGACTTTTGATGAAGCTGCCACCTCAAAATTTCATAGCCCTTAATTGAGGAATTAAGGGCTAAGAAAGTGTTTTATGATCAACACTGTGTGACATTTTCACTGACATTAATTTACTTACTGTAAACCCTAATATATGGCAAATACTGGTGTCACAGTTTCCTACTAACTACCAAGCTAGCTACCAAGCAACTGAGTAAAAACCCAACAGCTATACTCACCATAATTTGCTACAAATCCATACTGTAGTTGGGCATCTTTGTATATTTTATTTAATATACTCTGTATATTAAAGCAATAAGCCACGAGAGGCCGTTTATTACTGCGATTTTAAGGGTAAGGGTGTTCTTAGAGCTGAACTAAAACTCCCTTCCCTGTGGCCAACATAAAATATGATAAAATACACAAATTTTCAGAAAATAATTTGTTATTTTTAAAATAACTGACATATTCAAGTATTCCACCAAGAAATGTAGCTAGTTCCTTTATAGTATGATATCGTTGCTAAGCAACCATGGGCCACTGAATGAAGAGAAGAAAGTTCGGTCACCCATCGCTGTATACCGCGGTCATTTCATGAATTTTTTTAACTTTTTAATCATATAACAATGAACATACGATAACACAGCACTGTTTAATGCAACAACTTTCACTTTATAAGTACCTTTTGGTCAGCAAATTACCACTGAGTCTTATTTAGCATCTACCCAGCGGCACCCTCTTCTCATGCTTGGCTATCTATTCCCTACATAATGGACCATTAATTTAAATTTAAACACTGGATCCTGCACCCCAACAGTGTAAAATATATCTAAGAAACAGTCATTTGCGACTCTGCCCCATTCATACTCAATAAATGATGCACTATTTGGCTGTAGAGGCTAGAATTTCTTTCATAGGTAGCACACTATTTAGGGAGTACAGAGCCGTTTGGGATCCGGTCTGGGTTTGATGCTACTTCTGACTGAAACATGAACATTTAAAGCATACAATCCATTCAAGTGACATTTTTAGACTTTTATACTGCTGTTTTACAGTTAATCACATGGTAAGCACTTTAATTCAACCATGTCATATTAATGATGGAGTTGTTTAGGCTGTCAGTTACCTTTTAGCCTGTTAGCTAGCTGACCAGCCTAGTTCTAGTTAAGTGCATAAGTTGCCAGCCCCTCAGTTTAAACAAAAAACAGCTTCAAAGATTATTCCATTAACAACACAAGGGTTTTTTTCATGCCGTTGCATAGTAATATACAATTCAGTTGGTGTGATGCGGTCATAGGTGTGCGTATATCGTGGATTTTACAACAGCTTCAAACGGCGGCTCAGCCAATCAGATTTTAGGACCAGTGTCCTACCCATCGAGTGGTCCTACTGAGCATGCGCATATCATTACTATAGTGTGGTAACTTAATGTTTCAAAGGTTTTATTGTGTTTTAAATGTTAATCCAGGACACACTATCAAAATTATTCTACCCATATATTATTCTACCCTAATCCTATCAAATTATTCTACCTATAGATTTCAGGGCTGGTATTACTGAATATTAAGTTACCCTTTATTAATCCCACAACAAGGAAATTTCAAACACCCACAATACACACTAGTGAATGCACACACTAGGGGGCAGCAAGCACACTGGCCCAGAGTGGTGGGCACCTTATACACAGTGTCCGGGGTGCAGTTGGGGATAAGTGCCTTGCTCAACGGCACTTCAGTTATGTCTTGTCAGGTCAGGGGATCGAACTGGCGACTTTATGGTCACAAGGCTCGGTTCGACAAGGTAGCACAACTGGTCAGAACATTGGAACGATCTGTTTTATAATACAAATTTAATAATGTCTACAGTTTACTCAACTTCAGCAGTTGCTGGCAGAGTGAGTAAAAGCAGAGACCCTCCCCCAGGTCTGATATGACTGGCGTACAACTAACAAGGTCTGATATGATTGGACGAGCTGCATCCCACTTTTCACGTTATGTTAAATCTCTGGCAGCACAAGCAGAGGCAGCGCCTCCTCCAGGTCGCGCCCTGCTATCATAGTATATTGTGAGACGGTTGAATAATAAATTTGTACTAATAATGTACTTTTACTTGGGAAGGAGGCTTTATAACATTTAAATAACATTCAATCTAAAACTGGCCTAGTGATGCCAATGTCAACACCTCAGTAAAGGAAGCACAGGTGATGTCAGAAACACCCATTTGCTGTATATCGTTGGGGTCACAGCAGACTTCTATTAGTATTCTCTTCTCAAGTTGTTAAAACACCTCAAGGTCTCTCTGGGAACCTGATCTTAATGTTTAATTTCCACTCTAGGAATGACCTGCTATATAAGCTCTCTGGTGAGTTACTCACCAGACTCATGGCCTGTAAAATACTCTGGGATTTGTGGGCTCATTCAAAGCTTTATAGAACCAAATTAAAAGATAGTCCAGTGAGGGTTTTGGATGCAAATTAACACAGTAATGTTAACTAAGGGTGGGGTTTCATGTACAAGAATGGACATCAGATGAGGGGTCCTCAATAGGTTGCTGGTATTTTGTGTTGCAGAGAATACCTCTTTCCTATGGATTCACTGATGAGCCTGAAATACATTCAGATTCAATTCAAATTTATTTTCAATTAAGTCCTTAAAATCTCAGGCTTTTCACATACTAAGGCTTATTATTATTAACTACTGGTTCTTCAATGCAAACTGGCTGAGCTATTCTTAGGTTATGGAAGTATGTAACAAAACTTTGGGCCCACTGATGGGCCACTGGGGTTAATCTGCATTGTGCTTTTTTTCAACCAAGATGGTCACAAAGCACTATGTAGGGATTGGATCGGAACCCATATTAGGGAACTGAGTGGTAGAAACATAAAGAGAATGTGAAGAGCTGGAGTTGTTAGAGAGGAGCTGGAAAAGTATGTTCATGTTAATAAAGAATATGGGATCATGGGATCAGTTTCTGTTCCTCCTTGGAAATGCTGTGACAGCGAGAACAGATCAATCATGTAAACATTTTGAATGAGGACTGCTAAACTTACAACCCTACAAAACTGCCTTCATTAAATTGTACATCTGGTGCTCATAGTCCCAATGGATGATTTTTTACATTCCATCTTTTCTCTTCCCTTTAATATTTTGTTTTTATTCTACTGACATTTTTATGCAGTACAAAAAAAATTAAATTTTAAAAACAAATATTCAAACTACACACAGCAATGATCAAGAATCAGTAATGTAATTTCAAGTTTCAAATTTCATTGTCAAAAGGACAGTTATTTCTGCCAGACTCTTGAAATGAAAGATCTGAAAAAGTGTTCAACCCTAAACAACAGATGTTTCACTCCACTGTTTACACACAGTACAAACATGAGCTTTTCAGTCGAGCCAGAGATGAGTCTGAAATTATTATTAAAAATATATTTCTCCTCTCACATTTTAAAATCCCTGACTGTGGTTTTACAGAGGCAGAATAAACAATGCTGACTACAGCAACAATAAGCTTTGGTCCATATACTGCAGTTTTAACCATAATATATGCTGAGTATCATTTACAAAATGTCACTAAAAAGAGAGTTAAGCTGAAAGAGTATTAATGCAACAAATAGGTAAATGTTCCCATTATATAAAATCACTAAATATTGATCAAAATCATGATTTCTAATAATATTTCTTGTTGGCGGTTCTGTCTGTGATTGAACTATTCCTCTTTGTGAGATCTTGGTACAAACTTTAGAGTCACAGGAACTGTCGGCTGAAAGAGGCTATTGAGCTGAATGGGAATCTGAAAAAAAAACAAGAAAGGTCAAGAAAAAGTCATTCAGAATAGTGTTCAGCCAAAAGGTGAAAAAAACTCAGATATATCAAACACAGCTAATATGCCCTGAAAATGATGCTGGAAATCATTTACTGTGTATCTACACTGAATGCCTAAGAAAAGCATTAAAGCAATATTTTTTTCATTTTCAATGTCCTCCAGCTAGCACCATGCAAGAGCCCATTTAAATCATCACACATTTGACTCATATCACGCAATGTGATTATTGTCATGTGATTATTTAGACATGCCGTTTGTATGATGCCAATCTGTGACGAAAAGCTTCCATTACTTGTTAGCTATATTAGCCACGGAAGCAAACGGGTACCAAGCATGTCTACATTTCGGATTACTGTGTAAATGAGATTTTCTTGCCAAACTATTGCTTTCAAGGAAAGAGCGCTCTTACCTGTGTCTCTCTGCATGTCTCTATGCTGAAGTTCTGCAGCAGCTTCACCACCACCAGTTTCATGATCATCAAAGCAAACCTCATTCCTACGCAGTTGCGAGGCCCGAGGCCAAATGGCATGAAAATGTACTGGTTGATGTCATTCTCTGAACTAAACCTTCAGTAATCAGAAGAAATCAGAGAGACACCCTTGTTAGCAGCACAGCTTCACCTCATAAAATAAAAGCATGAAATATGAGATGTCACATATTCTAGTTTTAGTTTTTTATTATAGCAAAGAAGCAAACCACTATATACATGGTGTTAAAAACAGTGTTGGGGTACAGTGACTAGATACTGATTACTTCTTTCAAAAAAAACTCGCATGTACCAACAGTACAAGGGAAAACCCAACAGTCCTTTTCAGTGATTCATCAGAAAGAATCAGTTGATTACAGTAAACCATTTTCAAGACATCTCAGTATTCCTGCTTTTGAAAAAGACACAGCCAGTTATGAAGATTAAAATTATGAATGGCTGATTCTGTTTGAAAGTAGAAACAGTTCAAAAATACCCATCTTGAAGTAAACTTAGCTCACAGTGCTGTTCCTGACTGAATATCAAGTCTGGCATGTAATTTATTTTGTTCTCTTAAAGACATATGAGTAACACAAGTATATCAGCTCTTATGAAGTCAGTGACTGTAACGAGATTACAACAATTTAATGGGTAATGTGTTACTTCATAACAGGTAAGAGTAAACACATGACTGGAACGTGCTATTCTGTACCATTTTACACCCAAAACTGGTTACAAAACTAATCAACCAAAAAGACTAAGAAGATGCATCCAGTCCTCATCCTTACATTCCACTTCTGACCCTTTGCTAAAGCTAATCAAAAGCCACCATAAAATCAGTTAATGCGTCCTAACAGGTCTTAGCATCAGAGGTAGGTAGAAACATTTACTCTGGTACATGAACTAGGTAAAGCAAAAAAAAGACAGATTTGTTCATTCCTAAGTATTTCAAATAATAATACTTTTACTTCTATTCAAGCATATTTGTGAGAAAAGGAATCTAGTTTGTCATTAATGTTTAGATACTAATTCCAATTTGTGTTTAATTTCATTATGTTGTGTTATGTTCATTATGTAACAGCATCTGCACTGCTTTGCAATTGGTCACACTGTTGACTTTGGAGCTTTAGCATTTTATTTAAGATCAAGAATGTATTAAATAGAGATATTAAACGGAGTCTAACAAACTTCAGTTCCTATGCAGACAGATGCTGGATTTACTAAGTTGTTTCACTAGGGCTGAGCAATATGACAATATACATTGTTATATACAACCCCATTTCCAAAATAGTTGGGACACTGTGCAAAATGTAATTAAAAACAAAATGCAATGATAAGCAAATCATTTAAACCCTATGTTTCATTGAAAATAGTACAAAGACAACATATCAAAAGTTGAAACTGAGAAATTCTATTGTTTTTTGAAAAATATTTTCCCATTTTGAAACTGATGCCAACAACACATTCCAAAAAAGTTTGGATGGGGGCAACAAAAGGCCGGTAATGTTGTGTAATGCTAAAAACACCCGGAGGTTGAGTGGCAACAGGACAATAACATGATTGGAGAAAACTCTGTATGCAGTGGACAAGGCCAAAAACCAGTATTTGCTGTCCATGACTTTGGGCCCTCAGGCGGTACTGCATTAAAAACAGACAGGATTCTGTAGTGGAAATCACTGCATGGGCTCAGGAACATTTCTGAAAAACACTGTCTGTGAACACAGTTTGTCGCTGCATCCACAAATGCAAGTTAAAACTCTAAAACACAAAGAAGTAACCATATATAAAAAGGATCCAGGAATGCTGCCACCTTCTCTGGGCCGGAGCTCATTTAAAATGGACTGAGGGGAAGTGGAAAAGTGTCCTGTGGTCTGACAAATTGACATTTTAAATTCTTTTTGAAATCATGGACACTGCGTACAATGTCAACCCACATTCTGCATGTATTACAACAGCATTGTTCCGTATTAAAAGAATCAGAGCACTAAACTGGCCTGCCTGCAGTCCAGACCGGTCACTCACTGATAACATTTGGTGCATTGAAAAAAATGACAAAGGAGACGCCGAACTATTGAGCAGCTGAAATGCTATATCAACAAGAAAGAGAAAAATTTCTCTTTCAAAACTACAGCAATTGGTCTCCTCAGTTCCCAAACACTTATAGTATTGTTGAAAGAAGAGATAATGAAACACAGTGGTAAACATGTCCCCATTTCAAACTTTTTTGGAACGTGTTGTTGGCATCAAATTCAAAATGGGCACATATTTTTCAAGTCACAATACAATACAGTATGCTTTTTTCTGTAAATACTGTGCAAATCATCAGTACTTTAAAACACTGAAAAGTGCATGTTTCATTATAAAGGAAGCAAAATTAGTCCTATTTAACTGGATTAAGTACAACACAGTAGGCCAAATACTGAATAAAAACCACTGTGTTCACAGTTTTTGATAGTATTTTTTAAATGTAGCATTACTGGTTCTTTTTCTCTGTTTATCTTTTTTCTCTGAAACCGATCAGATGTCTGAAAAAATAAATATTGACATACTGTGAATCTTTAAGAAATTTAATAAGTTATTTAACATTTAAATTGTTTTTTAGAAAAGCACTTTTCCTTCTGTTTGAGTCATTATTTGACCAAAGTAACAATACTTTTACTTGAGTGTGGATTAAGTCTACTCGCTACACCTCTGCTTAGCATACACTTCTCTAGGTCATTCTACAGAAAGATACCAGCTGGAGCAGAAGGGCAGTATGACAGGGATGCAGTGACATTACCTCTCAGGCCTGAACTCTTCAGGAGATTCCCACAGCTGTGGATCTCTGTACAGAACATAAGTCGGGATTGTAACAAGAGTGTCTTTAGGTATCGTGATCCCATTGAGCTCTATGGTCTTCTTACACACTCTCTCCAGACGTGGGGCAGTAGGGAGGAGACGCATCGACTCATTGATGACCATGTCCATGTACTCCAACTTCATCAGCGCATCGTAGGTCACTGGAGCCTGACAATATGGAAATGGGATTCTATTAAACTGCTCAAAGCTCACTGCTGAATATTTTTATTATTTGCTATTTCTATGGTTCTATTTCCTTCCATTTCTTCTCTTCATTCAATATAGATGCAGTCTTATGCAAAAGTTTGAACACCCCCTGTCAAACTACATGTTTTGTTGAGTATTGTTAAGTGAAAATAATTTAGCATATTCTAAGGGAACAAACTTAAATACGACTTTTCTTGCAAATGTAGTGCACAATTTCTTTGTATTTCTATTTCTTTCTATTTATGAGTTTAACGTAATGGAAAAAATAAAAGATAAAATATGAACAGCAGTATTACTTTGGCACAGGCTACATTTTATGTTTTTTTCCCCCAATATGTTAAATTCAGAAAAAAACAGTAGTTGTGCATTAAAATTGGGAGAAGTTTGTTTCCTGTAGAGGATGTGTTCACTTAATTTGACTTAGTAAATCAGCAAGAGGATTAATCTGACCATGGGTGCCCACACTTTTGCATACGATTATACAAATAATCCTTACTTCAAAGGTTTTAACAGCGTTCTTGTTGAGTTTATGTGGATTTTGTAAAGTCTTGTGCTCACATTATGAGGAAAGGCTTCATCAATCTCTTCGACCAGTTTGCTCAGGCAGTCTGGATTAGTTGCGAGATTATACAGTAGAAAAGTGAGGGTGGTGCTGGTGGTCTCATATCCTGCCAGGACAAAAATGAAGGACTGGGAAAGAATCTCATGGTCAGTCAACCCTAGGAAAGAAAACACAAAGCCACACTTCTCACTGAAAGAGCACCAAACTCAAAAAGAACAAAGACTTCAGGTGAAGCATTCAATTTCCACAGTGTTTGCTATTGTTCTTACACAGGGAGTTTGCTTACCTTTGACTGGTTGCTCACTCGAGGCTTTCTCAGCTTGCTCATCCAAAATCTGGTTCTGGATCATCAGGTGCAGAAAGTCCACTCGTTTCTAAAAGGAGAGAGTCTGACTGTAACATACATATTTGCAATACAGGTAAATACAGTGGCTCTTTGCTAAGAGGTACACATTCAGTAGTTATTTCACACATACATTATTACTTGTGTTATGCTGGTCTTTTATCTTCTTCAGGGAACTGTAGAAAAAGTCCATACTTGATTTTGAAAACAGAGTAATTCCCAATTTCCCTAAAAGTGAAGCAGTGAAGGGAAACAGAGCTGCAACAAAAAAGACAAAATTAATTAATAGCAGGAAAAACACATGAATCAATTAATGAATTCAGACATTTTCTCCTCATCAGCCTGTGTCACTACTCACCAGTAGGATAAACAAACCAACATGAGTTTGCGAGGCTGAAGTCACCAGCTAATGTTCCTCTGTATGTTTATTAGTAACGAGAGACTTGCAATGCACTTTGGTACATGTTGTTATCTTCAGTTTTCACTAGAAATTACGAGTGCACTGTGGGAGACTGTACTGCTCTCAGAATCACTCTAGAATTCCCTTTTATGATTTAGACACTAAGGGGCAGATTTACTAGGAGAGACACTAATTACCGTCAGTGTCTAGTAGTTTAACACATGACCAGCGCAACAGAAACTTGTTTAGCTCACATACTTTTTGTATGAAAGCCTGTTTCTACCAGACAGGAGAAAAAATCTTTTTATTCCCTCTAAAAACTTTGATTGGTTAGATTTCAATAATGACTTATATTCTCAATATTTTTACTTACATATAAATATATGAATAATGACTAACTTGAAAAAAATGTTATTACTCACTGAGAAAGTAATGAGATTTTTTCAACAAAAAAACAAGAAAACAATACACTAATTTCCCAGAAATTTGAGAAAATAAATGATTATTTTGACTTGCCTTATTGCTTCTGCCATGCACACATAAACCACAGCGCACAGAAGCCACAGGACACAAGAATAATGAGTCGGGAGTACGAACTAGCTTTAGTAAAGCAGAGTTTCAATAAGTGCTTTTAACAACTGTGAAACTGTCAGATCATTATTTAGGTAAAATGTGCTCTTTGATAATGTTGTACAAAATACCAAAAATATTAGGAAAAACTTTATTTAAAAAAACCTTTCAAATATTTTTCTTAAACTGTTTGGTTCATTTCTTATTTCCTTCATCAAATCAAGGATAATGTGGCATGCACGGCAAGCGTTGACAAGTGTTTTTTCTTCCTATCAAAATAAATGTGTTCGAAAAACTCTCTCTTTTCTCTGAGCACAAACACAGTAGCATTGGACCTGATTAGTAAATCGCAGACATTGTTTAAACACCAAAATGGCCAACATACTTACACATGACCAAAAATGCCCTAAAACACAAATAGGGATCCACTCTCATATTCATAGATTAGTCACTGTCACTGTCATAGACTAGTTACAGACTTCGACTGTGACAGAATTCCCAACAGTACTGAATTATTTTAACTAAATACAATAAGCTGATAACAGTGAATAGTACATACTCAGTATCAGGAAAATGGGGCTGAAAAAGTTGAAGCTAAACATCTTCTTGATGTGGGCAACAAAAGGATCATTCTGGTTGTTTATAGAATCGATTTCCACACTAAAGGAGGCGCTGGCAACAACATCCATAGAGTAGGGAGCGAGGACACTGCAGAAACAGATATTTAATATTATCTCAATGGATATGGAATAATAATGTGGAGTTTGTAGCAAGTGTGTGGTTGAACAGTGCAAACTGAATTAAATTAGATCATCACAGTGTGATGGCAATTTAACTTTTAAGTGAAATTGTGTGCAATTTTTCAGCTTCCTGTTTTTAGCCTGCTATTTACTGAATGCTTGTTAACACAATTCTGAATAAGTACCGATTTGTGAAATATTATAAAGCCTTCTGCAGTGTTTTTACACACATACTCTTTAATTTTAATTCCATCTTCTGGGTTCTTCTTCTTCAAGTTCTCAATGAAGCAATCTCCATACTTGTCAGCTATTGGAAAAATCTGTAATATATCAAAAAGCTTGATATTGCAATTCAAGATTCAAGAGACTCAAGATTCAATTCATCCTTTTCCAAGTAACAATTTTAACAGGTTACTGTTCTGTAGAGTTCTGTGGGATTTTCACATCAGGATGATCAGCAAATTACACGTGATTGGACACCTGATTTAATCAGATTTCATCAAATGCATTTTTGATGGGAGAGTGGTGTGATGCTGATCATATAAGCTGAGATTTTGTGCAAGTTTAACTAGTAAGCGTATGTTATTCAAAACAGGATAACTTGAAATTAGGCTCTGTACCTCCTTCAGTCGTCCACTTGTGAAGAATGGTGAGAGCGAACCACGGATTCGCTTCCATTTCTCATCTTTTACGACAGTTATCCCATCAGAAAAGGGGCCGACCAAATCCAGGTTTGTTTCCTGAACACATAAAAAATCTAACAACATCTTGTTTAACACCTTAAAATCCCATATTATATACTAAGGCTTGCTATTCAGCAGCTACATGGGCTACAATGCAAATTGGCTGAGTTATTTCTAGGTTATAGAAGTGTGTAGTGAAGCCTTGGACCTGCTGCCGGGTCCTGGCCATTTAAAAGCTTAATCCTAATTACACTTAAGCATATTTGACATGGAAAAAACCCAATGCACCCTAATTGTGGTGGAAGTATTTATGAAGGAATTAACATGTGGGTTTCAGGTATGTGAAGCTTCATGCGACTTACCCTTCTGTTAGTGAAGACAGAATAACAGTCTTTCACCATAATGGATTTGATCATTTCAATGTCTAAGACCATTAGAATTGGTAACCTTCCATCATAGATCCTTAGTAAAAAAAAGAAATGTGCATACGATCATATTAGAGCAGGGCAGTACTCCATTAAAGTCTTGCAGAGCCTCACAAAACAAGCAGAGTTAAGATCTAAGTGTCTTAAACTGCTGAAACAGGTCTGCAGTTGTTGCTGAAACCGCCACATGGTAAAGCTTTTGCATAAAAACTTTTAATAAAATATCTGCCTAATTTGCCTGCAAATATCTGTCTGTCTGAATGTCTGAAATATCTAAGAATGCCTGGCTGATCTTTCATTCTTACAACGTATTTTCATGATATTTAGTATAGCTACAGTACTGTGTAAAAGTCTTAGGCACCTAAGGCACCACAGGGCGCTGTGCCTGTAAAAACACTATATGACATTAGAATGAATACAAATAAACATAAATACAGTCAAAAGTAACAAGACAGGTTTGGTATCAGATTTCTCCTCAATGACTTCAGCCATTGCATGGATTTGTTCAGTTCCACCAGCGGCTTCATTTAAGTTAATGAAGCACTGATTAGCCAAATCAGGTATTGGATGATAACTATAAATAATACCAGGCTTTACTTGAGGAGAGTTTGGAAATGGTTAAACAAACACATTAACGTACATAAAATCACTACTTCTTGTGTAAACATTATTTGTATTTATTCTAATTTTTTTGTTTCTTTCTGAACAAATAAATGCTTCCTGTTCAATATTTTTTTAACATAACTTTTTTGGGAGCCTAAGCTTTTTGCACAGTACTGTATGTGTATTCATTTCATATCCAAAATGCTTTTTAAAAACTGCAGTCAAAGACTGTGACCTGAATCTTACTCACCCCCAAATCTTTCCATATTTCTTGTAACACTCAGTGTCAAATTTGTAGAAACCCTAAAATGGATTTCAAACACATGTGCATCAGTGACAAAAGCATTACTCAGTATCTACGTCTATGTGCTCTGTTACATCTGTGGAGTTACACACCTTTCTGTAAGCTAGAAAAGTTCCAAAGAAAGGCCAAGGCCTTGGTCCTGGGACCCCCAGCTTTTTAAACAATCCATACGGCCACACACCATAACTGCAGATAAAAAAAACACAGTCCATACTGAACACTGCTTACCGACATGGAACCACAACATATTTCAAAAACCCCATGGTGGCAGCAGACAGGTGGAACCTGGTCCACATGTAGCTCCTGTTAAACTTTTACAAGAGTGGACATACTTACATAAACAGAAGAGTGACCACCAGTACGACTAGACTCCATGTCACAGACAGAGATGACAGAATGCTCATTTTCTTCTCGCTCAACACAACAAACGCTCAGGAACTGTCCAGCCGATAGTTGAGTTTCGCTGTGGCTCTGAGCTAAAGAAAATCCTGCTGAGAGATGGTTTTTATTGAGGTCTAAGTAGGGTTCAAGTTCAGGGCAGAGGAAGTAGGTGAGTAACATGCCTAAATAAGGAAGACGGGTTTTATCTCATATTTGGCCGAAGGATCATCTAGATAACTTAATTAAGCATATACCTGGTCTTTCAGAGTGTTGAGTTGACCTGTTGCAGTAACATTTCTTAAGGCTATATCAGATCTGTTTTTACATATGTAACAGGACTGATTAAACAAAGTCAGCTAGTCTTAGTCCTGTGTAAACACGTTGCATAATACTGTTTTATGACTAGCTTATCATAAGGTGATATATTTTTTGCATTATTACAGCTTATCTTCACATTATATTTCTTATTTATGTGCTTTTGATTGTGACAAAGAGATTTATTAATAGCAAGTTATGAATGAAGCTTTAAAAAGAACTACAGTAATACCATAACAAACAGTAAGATTTCTGTAGTGCCGTATAATACTGTTATTATAATTTATAAGACGTTCATCACCGTCTTAAAGTGACACACACAATCCGCCCAATGACCGCAGGGACAGACTCCAGCTCCCCCCGTGTATTTATATGTATACATATCTGTAATACTTGTATAGTATCCAAAATATATTAATCTTTTGCCTGAATTTACTATATTTCTGTGGTATTGATATTTCTTTTTCACAGTGAGAATAATTTGCAGCCAAAAACTGTCACGACGTCATGAAACTCCTGTGTCTATGTGTGGAATATGAACAGAGAATCGCTTTACTTTTCTTCACCTCTGGTAAAACTCGCAGTGCTTCGTTCTCTGTGTAACTGGCGACTCTCCGCACCTTGTTCACTTCAGCAGACCGAGGTTCCTCAAATGAAGTCGAGTGAAGTTCGTTTTTTTCCCCTGTTTTTACGGTTTAACGTAAAAAAGACTGCGGCAGCAGTCACGAGACCATAAGCCCTGAACGTCACGTTTCATAGCCACGCCACTTCTGGCTTAAAGGGGAACTCCACCAGTCCTTTGAAAGTTCCACATAATTAAATGGGTAAGATTTCAACAAAGTAATTCAGAGTGGTTTGATGTGAAATGCTCCGTTCTAGAGAAACCTGTCAGAATTGTTCACAGTGGTGATGATAGGAACCAGAGGTCTGCAAGTTATTACATAAAATGGTTATGAACTGCCTGGTGTCTGACACTGTTTTATGATAGTTTTGTGGTAAAGGTTTGGCCTGAAACGTCTTAATCAATTTATTTTTATCCATTCATGGCGTTGTAAGGCAGAATAGTCCCCGAATAAACATATTTTTTTAGATTTTCCACTATTCTACCGTCGCAAACATTACATATAAAAACTCAGAAGACACGTAATGTCACTGGTGGTTTTGGATAGTAAATAAAATGGCTATACTTGCATAGATAGATGTGTAGATTATAGTTGCGTAGACACAGCAACCCCTGGTTCCTATCACCACCACTGTAAAGAAATCAGAGTCTGCAAGTTTCTCTACAATGAACCATTTCACATCAAACCACTCTGAATGAATCTGTTTACATCTCGAATTATTCAAAATCTGAAAAATCGGTGGAATTCCCCTTTTTGTTCTCCAGCTGTTCTAAGACGTCCTGCTTTGTGAAGCAGAGGTGGGTAAATCTATTCTCAAATAAAATGATTACTTCTGTGAAAATAATGACTCAAATGGATTCCAGTACTCCTTATACTACAATCTTAGAAGCAACTTATGAATTCCTAATATATCCAGCATCAACAGAAACCAGTCTCAAAGCAGTACGGATGCTTTAATGTAAAACGTACAGTGATATTAAACACAACTTCATGTTAATGACTAAACAGTAGAAGCTAGATTGCATTCCTCACAAGTATACTTCAGTCCAATTCCTTAAATTGTTGTAGGAGCACATGTAAGTGAGCAAATGTGACTGGTTTTATTTAACTGGTCATTACCTTGTAAGCGAATTAAAAGTCACATCAGTGTGGCCTCTTCCTATTTACGCTGTTATATCAAAACAGGCCTACAAAACGAGCCCGCGAGCGAGTTCTCAATGAATAGGGTTGAATGGAGTTAAAAAACTAAAAGTTAAAATAGTTTCTAATCACTTGCCCAGAACTTTCTTTTAATTTTAGAAAGTAGAAGCTTATATTTAACTAAAAAAAGCAAAGAAAACGTACCTGTGTCTATGTACTTTGTTTCTACAGCAAACGGGTTTTGGGCAGCAGGACGCTAGCATTACTGCTACTGAGTGCCGATTGGTTGGTGGGCAGAGCAGCTCATTGGCTGTTCGCGCTCACTGAAGTCATGAACGTACATGAGGCGCCGTTTTAAACTCCTAAAAGTCGAGTTCAAAAGCTCATATATAACATATATAATATATATAACAGCGAATACATTTAAATGTGACGTAAAAATGTTTTATGCGGTTCTGTGTTCAGGAAATGAATGTATTCTTTTATATTAAAAATGTTTAAGCATTTATAAACTATGATTTTGCTGAAATGCTCCATATCAACCCATTTTGGAATCGCTGAGCAGCGCCCTCTAGCGTTTGAGAAACCCAGAAGACATTACAGAGTGGTAATCCTCCTCTTTACAAGTTATCTTGTCACATCCGCTTCTGGGTGATTAGAGAAAAGAGGACAAGGCTGCCACCCGATTGGGCAGAGTTACCCAAACAGCTCACAGTCAGCGCCCGCCTGAACTGCACAGCCTGAACCAGAAGCGAAGAGAGGAGCTCGAACTCCGCATTAACTCTGTCAGCCAACACAAAACCAGCTGAGCCTCTGCTGTCTGTTATTTTTAGCACTCGTCCTTTCACGTAAGATGACTCTTTATCATCTTTAATGTATAAACCAAAGTCTCAGATTCTTGGCAACATGAATTCTGAATGTTCTCTTTATGTAAGAAATGAAAAAGTTCTTTCACCTTCCTGAGAGAATCTCAGACAGAGGGGACAACCGAGCGCGCTTCCTTGTTTTTCAGCTGTTTTTTTTTTACATCTTTTACATCACTCTGAGGGTGTACAGCGCCACATACTGGACACTGTGTTTGGATCTCAGTGGGAGTCGTTTTGCTTCATGTTCCGTATTCATCTTACAGAGAGCTTCTGTACTAAATATGGACAGCTGTTTTCGCTATTATTGACATTTTGATATATATTCAATAAGAGCAAATAAAATCAATACTATTAAAATTTAGCATGTAAAATCGAAATCTAATATGGTGACAATGTAATTGGACTGCTTTAAATAAAAAAATTCAAATAATTTCTTCCTAGAGACAGTTTTACATGCTGACATTTTGTATTTACATGTAAAAATAAAATGTTCTATTTGTACATGTAATCAATTTAAACAAAGTTGTCAAATTTGAATTTTTACTTGAGAAAATAGTGTTTACCATGTTTCATTTGTAAAATATAATTCATTCTACTAAAAATGGTTCCTCCTATTAAATAAATTGGGAGAGCAAAAATCCTACAATCCTAACAAAATATGTTACAATTGTATATTTGATACCAAATTTCTATATTTTCTTAAGTATTTATCATATTTTACTTGTTCTAATTGAATTTCTTATATCAAAAATTTCTGGATTAAAAGCCAAAATGTCATCCCAAAATTCCAGCCCTGTAATCCATCACTTTCAACCATAGGACAGACATGGGCCGCGATCCTGTCAGCTGTAGTCTCATAGAAGGCAGATGCAAGCACTCAAAGTAAGAGCCCAAAATATTACACTCATGTAGAGTGGATTGGAGATGTGTATGATTGTGCATTTGATCTAGAGAACGTCTATGGCATGGTGTATGTAGTGTCTGTGGATGGCAACAAAACAGTAGTTTGTCATTTACGTGAACAGCAAACATTTAATTTCTCTAAAAAAGTGGGAAATAGTCTTTACTTCATGAATGTCCATGACATTACACTCGTGCTGGGACAGATATGGCAGGCATAAACCATAAACATTTCCTTTTCCTTTACAGTTAATTCTTCTGTCCACCACTGTGATTGGCAATTTCAAGAACTGAAGAAAAATACACTGAAATGAACTGACGAATGACGCAGCATCACTCTGTAATAACATTACAGTAAAAAAAGAAAGAAATCATGAACACAAACAAATCCTAAATCACATTTACACCATTCAAGCATATAAAATGGAAAAAAGGCAAAGATTCAGTCGCTCTGTGATGAGTGAATCTGAAAAAAAGAAAAAGAACAGAAAATGATGTCCTTATGGCTTAAGAGTGCTGGAATAACAGGGTTCTCACTCCATCTCTATCACATCCAAGGACTTTTTGAGAATCATTCAGCTCCCATTCCAAGAAAAAAAAATCAGAAAGAAATGGTTATCCTTGTAACGTGAGACACAAAATGAAAGATTACAGAAATCTGAAAAAGTCTGAAAATGTATTTTTACCAAATGTACCAAATGTCCTTGCTGATGGAGTTTGGATATGGAACAGCTTCCTGAAAGTGGTGACTAAAATTCTTTTGTCTTGTGCTGAAATTTCACAGTGTCAAAAACATGAATTTTCTTAAAATTCTTTCTTTAAATGAAATAATCACTCCCACATCCAGAACTGTGGGAACCCTAGAAATCGGGTGCACACCTCCGGTCCTGGAGGGCCGCTGTCCAGCACATTTTGGTGGCTCCCCTACTCAAAGATGAGCTGAATCAGGTGTGTTTGAGCAGGAAGATGACCGAACTGTGCTGAACACCGGCCCTCCAGGACCGGAGTTGTGCACCCCTGCTATAAATAATGTGCCAAAGGCCATCAAGTTTCACCTCTCACACAATGCTTCAACTATTTCCCAACTCCAGTCCCTGCACTGCACTGTTTATGTGTCCCTCCTATCACACCATTTCTGTGGCTACTTCTTAGTCCTTCATGAGCGGAATATGGAGATTTAGAACAGGGAAAACATGAAAGTATGCAGTGAAGGGAACGACTGGTATTGGGAAAAATGCTCTTCATTCATCCAGCATAAAGAGACCTGCTTTCCAGATACAGATGTAAAGTAGCCTTGGAGTAAGTTTTAAAGGCAACTGGGATTTCTCTGAAAATATGCTTTGGTCCAGGACTAGGCTTTGACCTGCACCTGGAAAACTGGACTCAGCTCTTAAGCCTGGTAACCAAACAGTAGAATTTTAATGGCAAAGGTCCACGTGAGGATAATGTGACACTCAAAGAATCACTGCACGACGGATGCTCCGTCTCGCCGCCCCTGTGAGGAATACGAGTAGACGCTGTCTGCTCACTGCTAAATGACTCCACTGCTGACTTGCTGCTTGAGGCAGTAACAGTACTCCTTCATCATTTCCATTACAATTTCATGACTGCTCCGCTTTCCGCTCGCGAGTGGAACATGTATATATAGAGACACTGAAGGTGAGTGACGGATTATTCAGACTTGACATTAGAGTATATAATAATTACAGAGCGCGTGTTCCATGTAAAATCCTCCTGGCGGTTGGTCATAAAGGGAACAGTGTCAGGAATGCTTTCATGGTCATTTGGACTGTGAGAGTGTGCCACCATGTAGAGTCAAGTGTGGGAATGTAGTGCTGATCATCACTTCTGTAGATTGAGAACAGGACTTCCCTGTTGTACCCTGCTTTATCCCCATCTGATAAAACAAAATGGCTTTCAATCGTCTTTCGCAGCCAAGGCTGTGCCTGTGAAAACACGTACAAGTAACATTCACTGCAAACTGTGTGATTATCTCCAGGTCTGTGATTAGTGATTTTCCATGTTGCCGACTCTTGTTTCTCGCTAATCGCCACGCTCGTTGATCGGCACGAGAGTACATTCAAGTTAAATCGAAATGGGTCGGTCAAATACGTCTCTTGTAGTGCTCATGGTGAAAGTACTGCTGAAATGTCCTGAATACCCCCCACCCTAAGTCTTGTGCCTTTCCCCAAGCCCACCGTTGCCTGAACAAAGGGCCTGCAGAGGGGTCCCGCTCCTCCGAGCCCCGCAGGGCGTCACACGAAGGACGAGAAGCCTGTGACGGGAGTCCGTGAGCCAGTGGCTGGCTGGCCAGCAGGCGTGTACACACCCCCAACGCTGTGCTGGGTCACCACTGTCTGATAGTAGCCCTCGCCCTCCCTGCTGGCGCACTCCTCGTAGGCGCAGGCCAGCGTCTGCTTCAGGCCCTTCTGCTGCCGCTTCCACGAGTTGAAGTAGGACGGGTCACTCATGTAGTGGTTCACAAACGAATGCTTGATCTGTTCCTCCTCGCAGTCGCTGTCTGTGGCCTGGAATAAATCACAAGAGCAGAAACATGTTATAATCGCACATAACAAAATTCTCAACCAGTGTGATATGGTCTAGAGCAGGGGTGTTCAATTAGTTTCAGAGGTCCAGTTACATCAAATTTATAACAGTTATTTGTACATACTTAACAATTAATGATTAGTGCATGCAACTAATAAAATCAAACAAAATACATCAAATACAACTGGATAGACTGTGTTATTTTGAACATATTTTTAAAATTTAAAATTGTGGCTCTTGTTTGTAAAAACAAACAGAAAAAAAACATTCTTTACAACAGTAAAACAGCTTTAAAGAATATCTGTTCACAGAAGAAAAACATCCTGTCTTTTCATAAGGTAAAATAAATAAAATTAATAAAATAACAAATTCTGTTAGACAACAATAAAGACTATTCTTAATGAGCATTTCACACTTTTGTGCTGTCAGGGATGGACAAGCACTCTGGTGGACCTTTCATGTTGAGCTTTGATTTGATGTGATTTGTTCTCAGAAATGAATTCTGTAGATAAATAAAAAGTAGTAGACAAAATAAAATGTCTAAAAAAATATGTAAAATTATTAATTTTCTGATCTGATACTGTTCTGTTGATCTCAATGACACTGAAGTAAATAAGTAAATAAAGTAAAAAATAAAGTAAATAAACTGCAGCACAGGAATGCTCCAGAAGCTGCACTCGTTCATGTTAATGTATAACGCTGAAACAGGATCATTTTTTTACATACATTAACTGGCTTTGCTAGAGAAGTTAGTTGATGAGCCCTGGTCTATAGGTTACTTTGCTCATTCAATGCAGGAAACTGGGGTTGGATTGCCCACCCAGACGAAACATCTTGTTATATGAATAAGGGTCCTCTGGCAAGAGTCTTAAAGCTACTATCACCTAGAATCTCAAAAAGCTGTCACTGGAGTGGTAGTCACTCAAGGGTACGTTTTCATTACCTTTAATTAGGGAACTCTTGAAGTGAAGGCAGTGTACCTTTAAAACTTACTTAAGGTACACAATTAGACCCTAAGGACCACTGCTGTACCTTTCGGAGTATATTCAAATTGTACCTGTACAGTACAGTGTACTGCGGCTGGCAAATGCTATAAATGTAATAATCTATAATCTATTAATTTAACCTAACGTGACATTTTGAACATTTACAGTGGTCTGCCATGAGTGTTTGTTGGGTATTTCCAGTGAACACAGCCTTTTTTAATGAGCCTTCATTGCAATTGTTTATAAACCTACATCATTTTTTAACCATTTGTGACTGATTCTCTGAAAAACCTAGGAAATAAAACATGTATCATCAGATTTTGCATATTTTATCATCAGAGTTTCCTATCTAAAGCTTCAGTCTTAAGGGCCATGACACCTTGGTATAGCAAATCCTGTTTATCAAAGTTTTTGGTGCCCCCTTTTTTTTAATTTAAAATATATGCTGCATATACTTTATAAAAAGTATCCAGATACTGCAGATACTGCAGGCCACAGTCATCACATGTCATGGGCACCAATACACCTGCTTGCATGTTCTTGTGGAGCGCTGCCTTGAGTCACATTGCTTAACAGTTTTCACAACAAGCATTTTTAGGCTGCTGTGTATCTGAATGTTTACTATACTGAACAACGCTGAAGTCCTTTATTGCAGGTTTAACAATTTTGTGACCCTATTTTTATCAGTGCTTATCACACAGTGCTGCCTTGTGTTGGGCATACGCATGCGCAGAAGGAGGCAGACTGTCTGTTTGAAGGTGTGTGTGTGTGTGTGTGTGTGTGTGTGTGTGTGTGAGAGTTTGAGCCAGGACTCTACCTCAGACTCGGATAATTCTGCAGGCCTCTCTGTAAGCGCTGTGGACTCCGTGGAGACTGCACCATTGTAGTTGTTGCAGATATCTTCATCTGAGTATCGCAGACCTGCAGGGTTGGGCCGAGGGGGCGACCTGCCATAGGAGAGAGATGGGACAGTAGAAGGTGGGATGACATAGTGCATATCACCTCCTTAGAGAACCAGCAATGGAAAGGCATCACTCCAAAGAACCCTTTTTGACACCTTTATTTATATAAGACTGATACATAAGATAAAAAATATAAAGTTGGTGTGAACAAAGTTTACGCCAGTGGTTCCCAAGCCTGATCCTGGAGTAGGGGAGAACAGGGCACACACGGGGTGAAATATAACATAGATGTATATTTTAAAAGTTTAAAAGTCTCATGTAGAACAAGCATCTGTTCATCTTGTTTTAGATCCATAAAATTAATATAATTAATATAAATAATTTTACAAGTAGTGTTTTTTAATGACTGATTTGAGCATGTCAAAGAATACACTTCCATATAATTGTAATGACTCTCTCACTGGCAGTACCACTGTAAAGCATGTAAATAATTCAAGTGAGTTATAACCAGGCTAAAGTACAGCCTCCAGACAGCAGGTTTAGTTTTAACACAGGTTTACAACTAAGCCTCCCCAAATAAACAATGAGAGAAGCCCATGTTCCCCTTATACAAATTTAAGAGAGTCAATTTGTTAGAAGTTTTTACTCACAGATTTATCAAAAACAGACTACAGGTATCATGTAAACAAAGCCTCGGCCTATAAAGAGTCCTATGGGCTCGTTGGCTAGTCCCTTTTTTTACTCAGTCTCTCTCTGGCGTGTGGTGTGTACTTCAGAGTTCTCTCTTCTCTCTCCATGCATTAGACAAACGGTCTTTAAAGTGTCCCTGCTCTGCCCCTGATTTGCCACAGCTGTCTTGAATCAGGGACAGGAGCAGCGTGTGTGAGTGTGGGGAAGTGGTTATGGTGGCGTTACCTCTCCACTGCCACTATTTACATATGTGTGTGTGTGTGTACTAATCATAATTACTATGATGAATATTAGGTTGGAAAGCTCACCTGGTAAGACCTTTATTTACTGGTTTTACATAGACTTACCAGACATTTTAACAACTGTCAATCTGCCTCCTAAGTCTGTACATTTAACACTGCTTATGGGGTAAAGTTGTAATATTTGCACTCACTTTTTCTTTTGGCTGAATTGTTTATAAAAGACAGGTGCTGAAAACAATGTTTACATGTATGATGTATGACAGTAATATTAATCTTGCTCAAATACTTTTAAAATTTGTAGCAGTATGATTTTAATTTGGGGAGAGAACTTCTCTCTCTGTGGAAAAGGAATCTTAGTTAAAGTTTAATTCAGTCCTTAATTAAGGTCACGGTTCAACCTGGGGACAAGGATCTCAACCCTGAAGAGATAAAACATCCTCACACTGTATGGTTTACAAATAACTGGCTTGTTTAGTAATTGGTATAAATGAACACAACAAATAAAGCATTCAATAATAAGTCTAATCAGCGGGTGGGCATATATGAATCAAAAGACATGAAATTAGTCGAAGGATACTCTAGTTATTTAGGAGCAGATGGTAGAGGGGTCTCTGGTAAGAACTGGAACAGACTGTTAGCTTAAAGAGCACAGCTGAAGGCTTTATATGAATTAAATTTAAAAATTTCTAAAACCATGATTAAATGGAGAAAAGAATTAATATTTGACCAAATTGATTACAGCTTTAAGAAGAGAAAGACAAAGGAAGATGTCGCTTTAACCAGACATTATCCATTTTGGCATGATTCAATGCATCACGTAAGACAAATTAACAAGACAGCAAAATGAAATCTCCATGATAAAACCATATAGAGTTAGAATTGTATCACAGTCTTTAATGAAAAGGTTGAGTTCTGGTGGGTGGTAGGGGTAGGAGTACCCATGATGCTGAAAAACAGATTTCCACAAAGTTCATGAAATTCAGATCGTTTAAACAGATTACAGTCTGGCTTACTGGGGTGCAGGCTCCTGAAACACCTCAGTTTATGGCTTGAAATAAGAAAGAAGAAGAGGTCCGGAAGCTCAGCCATAAGTGTCCGAGTCCTATCCAGTGGGATCCAGATTTAACAACTTTGGAAATAGATGTCCATTACCTCTGGGGAATCTGGCTGTTATCAATCCTTTGAACTTTGGTGAGCAAACCAGGCTGCCTTTGGAGGACAACCAGGTTGGCTGTAAATTATTCAGCCAAAAAATATACAGGACTAGGGTACTCCAGGACCAGATTTGGAAAACAGCAATTTACACCAATATAATTTCATAACTGTTGCTATGGGTAAGTGATAAAGATATGGACCTGGAATAATGAACCAGAAAGAACAGTAGGAGATTTAAAAATAAAAAATAAAATGAAAGATTAAAAATAAAAAAATGCCAACTGATCACTGTTGATTCATTGAGAAGGTAAAGTTTAATCCATTTTTAAAAAATTGACTATATAGTCAACAAATTGTGACATGAGATGGGCATTGGGTTCTCACCTGGTGCCGTTTTTCCTCAGGAAGGAGCTCTTGACGTGGATGGGTCTGCTGTTCAACTCCAAAGCTGTGAAGCCTCCATTGTCCAGTGTGACAGATTCCTCCACCGTGGAGACAGCTGCACCTGTAGCGGTTGGCAAATCATCATCACGGCAACAACAGCACCTGGATCAACACCTAACGTACAGCTAATGCTAATGCAAAGACACCTTAAAAGGGTCATTCAATTAGAACAACTCTCGAGGCAAACAGGACAGCAGATCAACAAGCAGCAGCTGGAGCATGAGAACAGATTGTGAGTGTGTAAGTGGATGGGTTTTCAGCTGGCTCTGTAAGCTGTGCAGTGCTTGTATGTGGTGAGATTGGTGGATGGATAGGAGGTTGATGACCGAATGATGTGGTTTTGAACACACCTGTGCCACAGCTCTTATACTTCTTGTTCTGTCCATGCAAGACGAGCCCAAAAATCACCACCAGCAGCAAAATCAGTCCACACAGTGCTAGGACGATCAGGAACCACCACTCCTCATAAAAGGGGGTCTCCAGTTGGGCTGTGCAAGGGGACAGGAGACACAATACAGAACAACTCTTTAAGAACAACACAAAAAAGCAGCTATTTATGCCATTTAATCTACTTTTAATGGTTAATAATGTGACTTCACTGCATTTCATTACATGTATTTCATACAGAAAGAACATGACAGAAATAAAGAAAATTCTTCACAGTTCAGTCACTTTTTACTGTTACACAGTGCTTCCAACAATAAATGGCAGCCTTGTGTGATTGTTATACAATGATAGAGCACACAAAGAAAGCTCCAGCCCCACATGCTGATACATTTTTTACCTCCAATGTGGACATGCAATGTGTAAAGTGCCGTTATCTGTTATCAAATTCAAAGCCTAATAAACTAAAATATCACAACTGTAGTGTTGGAAATTTAGAATATGCATTTACAACACAATTGCTCCACTTGTTTTAATGGGCTACATGTAATCATAATAAATACTGAATAACACCATGCTTTTGTTATCACTGGCGATATCTGTAAAATGTAAAGATTAAAACTGGGACATGTAACTCATTTGAAACAGAAATTACGTTTAGTTCTTGCAACCCAGCAGCAATAACCCCTAGGCTAGAGGTCCTTGTTTTCATTCACCTGGTGTACGAAGCACATGTTACATGGCCTTTTTTGGTGCTGTTAGCAGACCTGCTGTCGAGAGTCATCAAGTGAGTGAGTGGGTAGAGGAAGCTGTGAGGTAAACAACCATGACATCATCTGCAATATCTAACCAGAAACTATTGATAACAGGGCACTCCCAAAACACAGCGATGGCAGTAAACTTCAACAGACGGTTTCACATTTCATTTCCTGGTGAAATTAGTTGTGGGAATTGCCGTCCATATTTGGAGGTGCAGTAAAATAAAATGGGCTGTCGTGTGAATCTTATCTCCTCTTGTGCACTCTCGAGTGTGAGCAGAGGATAGAGTGGCCTAGATGTGCCAGTGATCTAAAGACATGTCTTCTGACAGGGCTTGACTGACTGGTGTGACAACAAAGTTGAGAAGGAATGACACAGGCTCAGAGGTAGATGAAGTAATGCCTGTGGTGTGAAAGTTTGAGTCTGGACACATGACTCGTACGTACGGCCTCCTGCCCTGGGACAAACAAAATCTGAGGGACTCTTCTGATGCAAGAGTTTCTCAACAAAAAACATGCACTGTTTAAGGCTGCGCAATATATTGTTTGCTATTACAATATTGCCTTTTTCAATATTTGCCAGGATGTCACCAGAAGCTTGCAAAATTTAAATAATTATAAAAAATTACATTTTTTTTTTGTGTGCTGTGAGCATCCTGACCAGTTCTCACACATCTCAGATGGTGTTTGGATAAATCAAATCTTTCATGTCTTCAAACAAATGTAAATTATTTTAGACAAAATAATGCAGGGCAGTTTTTATCTGTGTCATATTAATGAGTCACCCCTGTGGTTTTAGTATACAGTACTATGCAAATGTCAGAGACCACCCATCATTTACTGAATTTCCAGTCAAAACATCTGTTAAGGTAATTTTTAAAAGATATTTTTCAGGAGATTAGATATAAGATGGTCTATTTGCATAATGAAAGGGTAAGTAAAATGAACATAAGCGAAAAAACAGGAGTTTCCAAAACTGACCACCAAAACTGTCCCCAGTAGATAAAAAGTACTTAAAGCGTTCATCTTTGAGAGAGTGGAAAAAAAAGAAGCGCCACTCTTGCTTTAGATCTGAAGAATTGATGGGTGTTTCTGTCCATCCTTCCACTGTGAGAAGACAACTCAACACTTTGAGTCTGAAAGGATGTGTAGCTGTCAAAAAACCATAACTGAGAAAAAGAAATAGATGAAAAAAAAGGACAAATCAACCAACTCAGAAAAATGGAATGGCCCCCACAGAGATCAGAACTCAACATTACTTGTTTTTTATACTTGGATTGTGAGAGGCAGAAAATGCAACCAAATTCTAAGATTGAACTTTAGAGGTGTGAGAAAAAAATCTCTGCAGAAAAACTGGAAAACTAATGTCCCAAAAAGAATGGAAGCTGTAATGAAGGCAAAGGGTGGAAACACTAAATACTGAAAAAGTTGATATTATATTTAGTTGTTGAGAGTTCTGTGTAATTTTTAGTTAAATAGGTTTTCTAATTTTTCCTGATACTGAAAAATGAATAACTTAATGGCTGTTCTGAGTGGAAGTTAAATAAATGAAGGGTGGTCTCTGACTTTTGCACAGTAGTGTATTTTAGGTCATATGACAACAGGAATATGTAGCAGTATGATAGCAATATATTATTCTGTCCCTATTGTACAGCCCTATCACAACAGCTATGCAACTTGATACCCATACTGTTTAGCTTGCTTGTTGAGTGATCAACATAAGTCACTTTTGAATTTGCAATGCATGCTTTTTCTGTGAATTTTGCAGAGTACAATATCTCCCCAGGTGGTTTTTGCAACCACGGCCAAGGGAAATGAATGGCCATTTGAAAAGCACTCAAAAAGACTGTCCTTGCCAAACATAAGGCCACCAATGTTCTGACAAGTGTCTTTGAATGTCATTATATTATGTGGCACAAACTATTAGTGGTGTATGCCGGTGCTAGTTCATTGCTACTGGTTCAAAGCTTGATTTAACAGCTTTTTAGTTACTTTTTACACTCAGACCGGTGGTTTAGGGGTACAATTAAGTGTGGCGTTGGACTCTAGCACTGCAAACTGCAAGTTTTCAGTAATGTCATTGCAATTTCTGGCTACAAAAAGCAGAACTCATTACGTAATAAGGATAATAGTTCTCTTTATCTGGTTAATACAGTGTGAAGCTAGATAATCATGGCCGTCCATTAGATCATAAAGACAGAACTGAGCAGTTAGCACTCTCCTCCACACATGGTGAGCTGACCTATGACACTGCGTGGGTGGCAGCTTGAAAAGTGACTGGCACCATCCCAGATTAGAAGATATTGTGGGATAGAAGTATTTTACAGTGGAGTGAGAATTGGCCAGAATAAATATCTGGAGAAAACTGGGGGCAAGAAAATGAAAATAAATACAAAAAATAGTAACTTTGAAGCAGCACTTTAAAGCAGTACTAATACAAAGCTTTATTTCTCAAATATGTTTTAGTTCGTTTATATGTGTAAACCTTGAAGGTATGTTATTCTAGTGAATTTGGAGAACATGTTTTTGCTTATGTTGTTGAATCTTATACTACCTTTGCTGTTTTTATAAATTAAATTTCCGAGTTATGTGATCATATTCTGATGAGCTACACCAACCTTAAGAATTATTTTCAGACTTGTTCAAACTTGTGCCCCTTCTATGGGTTTGTGTACAGCAGTAGCTTTTTTGGCTTGCATGTCATATATGACTTCACGCTGTCACACTACAGGTTGCACAGTTACATAGCTTGCCTTCTAACCCGGAGATCAGGTTTTATCAGTACTGATAAAGAACTGCTTAAACAAGGTCATGCAAATGCACAACTATAGGGTGCAGTCTTATCAAAACAAATGTCATCGGCACTAAATAAGTCTAAAGATTAACTTACACTAATTGCAGCGAGTCACGCTCCTATGCCTCATATTACTCTCCAGCTTACATGTAGCTCCTTTCCAAAATCCATAGATATCACTTTCATCCTGACCTCTTTTTCCCCCTTTTAAGAATCTAAATGTCAGAGAATGAGGCAAGTGTAGTTACCTGACATGGCAGCAGAGGGCGCACTTGGCTCACCGTAGCCATAATCATTGACGGCCAGCACTCTGAACTGGTAGCTGACTCCCTGGCGAAGGCGGTCCAGGCTGATGGCATGGGAGGTGCTGGAGGGGGGCAGGTGCCTCACGAAAGTGTCCCACAATCCCTCATCTGCAGTGGGAGACAAGTTCATGGGGAAAAGAGAAATGTCACAATGCTCTCTGACATCTGCACACGCTCTCTGGGAAAGCCACTCAGTGATGCTGTAAGAGCCCAGCAGGCAATCGCAATGGAAATCACTAGCAGGTCTTTAATAACAGCATGCCTTTCTGTAAAGCGCACACACACGCCATGCACGTAACCTAAAAGTTAAACTGCCTTGGGAACTGGGAACTGCCTTGAGTACTCGTTCTGTGATGAACTAATAAGACCTCAGTAGGTTACGATGACTATTTTTCCGTTACATCCCTCAGGCAAAATTGACATGTTGTTGCCATTCGGATCCATGTCACATTGCTGTGTTCTGAATTTGACACTTGATTAAATATGGAGATGAATTCACAGGGACTGAGGCATAGCCTGCTGCTTTGCGTATTTGCATAACAGTTTCATACCTGAGGGGCGGGCCTCGATGACATAGCCAGTCACACGGCCTGCTCCCTTGTCCCCTGGTTTCCAGTGGATGGTGAGGGTGGAGCCGGACTTTGTGATTGATGTTTCAAGGGGGGATCCTGGAGATCCTGCACAAAAAAGGAACGTATACGCTAAAAAGGAGCGATAGCAATATCTAACCAATGAGCAACTGTTTGATCCTAGAGTGCTAACACAGTTTGATTGGTTTCTTTCTCAAAAAGTAGGTAAATCTGGTGAATAACTGCTGAGTTGAAATGAGCAATGAAACCCCCCCCAAACTATGCAGGACTAAGGCCTTCGAGGGCCAAAGGTAAGTACCCTGGGTTTAAGTGGGTTATAAGTGATATATATATATATATATATATATATATATATATATAATATGTACACACACACACACATCATATACATTGAGAGGTAAACAATATAATTTTGACTCAGACTGGTGATAGTGGCGGAACAAGGAAATACTGTCTTCAATACAAATATAGCCATTTTATTTACTATCCAAAAGGATCCACAGGCCTTCTAAATTTAATATGTAATGTTGATAACGTTTTTGGTGTACTACTTTGCCTTACAATAACCTCCATGTTTCACTCTGATACACTACATGTATCAATTTATTTAAAATTGTCAAAACTATTATAAAATAGTATGCATCAGAAATAAGACAGCATATTCATAACTATTTTCTGCAATATCTTTCTCGGGGTATCTTTTGGAGGCTTTAAACACTTCAGATGTCTCATTTCTATCACCATCACTGTGAACAATTCTGACTTCGCAAGTTTCTCTAGGATTGAGCTTTTCAATTAAACCTCTCTGAATGACTTTATTTACATCTGAACGACTTGCTTAGGTAAAAAAAACAAAAAAAACAAAAACACAATATACTCCCTTTAAACTCTTAGAAGCCCCTAGACTATTCAGTTATTAATCTTGAGTTATTTCTAAAAACTACTGAATTCTCTGGCTGCTGTTAATATGTTAGTTATGTAGTCATGAAACTAAAGAGCTGAAAAGTGGGCCCACGTACAGGCCTTCAGGATTTAAAGGGTTAAACATGACATTGCTAAGGCAGAATGCAAAATGTAAACAGCTCTATCAGGGCCATGGGAGCGGTTCTTTTGCTTTAACATGTTGATGCATTGTTTAAACCTGACTTAATTTGCCCCTAAACCAAATTAGCGGTTTGAAAAGCTTCCAGTACACAGGAATTACTGCTTGACAGCAAAGCTTGGCAGTACACAAGAAGTACTGAATGCATGGCACTGGTATATACATAAAGACAACCAGAGCATGAAATGCAGCATGAGTGAACACTGACCAGTATGCCCACACTTCTGCCACCTATTTATTCTCGTTTAACAAGACGATTTTTTTCAGCCCTGCCACTCCAATGCCACATGTGGCAATGCACACCATGTTAGGCTGCAGCAGAGTCCAGGCATCAGATGATTTATTTGTTTGTTTGCATGTGGCTCACCCACCTTGCACAGGACCTGCTGTGATGTTGGCCTCGGCCTCCGGGCCGTAGCTGATGGTCTTGGCTTGCACGCGGAAGCGGTAGGTCACTCCTTTTGTAAGATCACGCACCTTCAACCAGCGCTGCCAGCTGCCCTGAATGTCCACTGTCACTACTTTACTTACGCCTACACACACACACATAGATACATGGATGAATGCACAAAGCACTTGCCCAAATGTATTTACACACGAGCCACACGAGGCGTATCTCTCTGGGTGGTAGTCAGTCTCGAGCTCCACAAAGCCGCTTATTTATTGATGAAATTAAAACAATGCTGTGAATGTTGACACAGAGAAAACGATTAACTCCCGTAATTTTCAGCTCCGGGGCAGAGCGAAAGAAAACATCACATGGCAGCACTGGAAAAGTGGCTGAGAAATGAGTTTTCCCACATAAATTATCATTGACTCATAACCAGCAACTTGTTTAAGAACCACTGAGAAGCCCCTGAGGGTTTCTTGGCACTTGATTGGCAATTCAGAGATGTATACAACTGCTGGGATTCAGCTATGAGTCACGCTATTTGTGGCTTAGTCCTGCTGTACTGCAAATTTACACCAAAATTGCTAAAGGCAGCAAAAGGACCTAATAGCAAAAGTGTACTGCTTGAAAAGCTTCTCTATCAGTGTACACGGAGTGGTGTGTAATGCATACCGTGAATGGGTGCAGTGGGCTCGTATACCACCCTGTAGCCTTCCACTACTCCATTTGGAGACACAGGGAATCCCCATGAGACATTGAGAGTGGTGCTGGTGACTTCAGAGAAACTGATAAAGCTAGGAGCACTGGGGGCTGAGAAACAGACAGACAGAAAGAGAAAGAAAGAGAGAGAGAGACAAAGAGAGAAAAGGTAAAACATCAATGACAATGTTTATATGCACACTCAAAATTGGCAGCGTGTATACTGCTCTGTATACTGTGTAACTGCACAACCTCACATTGTGCTAAATGAAGCTTCATCAGTGTCAGCCTCTAAAGACAGAAACCTTTATATTCATAGCTTCCAAACTGTATAAATTCATTGATAACTGTACAGTACATTTCTAATGTTAGAACTATTAGCAATGTTTCTTTACTGATATTCCTCAGGTAATCATGCAAATTACTTACTACAGAAACAGAAATGTTATTTTCACTTTATTTATTTAGTTTAACAGCTCTCACACACAGTTAAATACAGTTAAATATATATATATATATATATATATATATATATATATATATATATATATATATATATATATACAAACAAAGGCAGTCACAGAGAGAGAAGAAAGAGAGAATTAGGCAGTGTTCTGCATTGAGCTGATAGAACAAAAAGTCTAATGCACCTTCCATGTGACGAGGGACACAGCAACTAAACTTTCATCCCTTTTAACGACAAGTTGATTATTACAGCATAGAACTTTTTTTAAATTCTGGCGAGTGATGCTCTGATGACTTGGCTCATTTCTCTCATTTGGCGATATCTGTTTTGTTTTGTCTGTGTACAGCTTCTGTTTTTCACTACAACATTTCACTTAAATGAGTACACCACCACCCACAATCTGAGCACAGCACTTAGTAAGTGCAATAAAACAAAAAAAGGTGAAAAACAAATCTAGGCCTGACTAAATTATTGATATTAGTTGTCCAAAGAGCATGGGCAAAACTTTAACAGATTAGATTTCCTTTATCCCAGCCTTACATGACTGTAGACCTCCAAGAACAGTGGGGAAAAAACATATTTTATACGGACAAACCATATGCATTGACACCTATGGCTTATGTATGGTGTGGTGATTTTTTGTGAAATTAAGTCAAAGTGATAAGAATTCTGAGGACCACATCACATCTCACTGCAAGTGTTTAAACCCAGCATGAGTACTTGATCATTTGGTGATTCCACCAGCAGGTGCAAACAAAACTCAACAAAAAATGAATTTCTGAAGTTTTTTTTCGCACTTATTTTTTTCCTCTGGTATATCCACTGGCTATTAAACTATGTTCAAACATGCATCAGTTTAACAGGTAGTGTTGCAGTACTCAAGTCCGGACTGGTCTCAAGACCATATAAATCTTGTCTCGGTCTCAACATTTGGACTTGGCCTTGTCTCGGTGCAAGGTGGACTCGAAACTTATTCTCAATATCGGCCAGGTGTGATGCCTCCGTCTGAGGTGACTGAAAACTGAACTTTTTGGTTACATTTTATTTGGACAGTACACTTTAGATGCTGTGTTGATACTTCAATTACCTTTCATTTACATTACAAACCTGACTCTAATCCTAAACCTAACCTCAACTCAAAGCCTAAACCCTACCCTGGTCTTAACCTTAACCCTGGTCCAAATCCTAACCCTAATCTTACCACTGCTTAGAATCAACAGTTTGTTAACAATTTGAACATCAGTAGATAATCTACAGGGCGCTACAGTGTACTATCCAAATGAAGGGAGAAAACTTTTTCTATCATTACTGAATACCTTCAGTACTTTCAATACCAGCAGTACCTTCAAACAAAATAAAAGTCCTTTCTCTACATGTTTAAATAAAACCTGTTTGCTGCTGGCTGAGGATCTGATTCTTTCCATGATTGCTTAACTAGGAAATATTTGTTTGTTGATGTTAATCGGTACAAAATCAAAACATTCCCCAAAGTCAAACAGGAATGTTATTATTGTGTTTTAATGTAATAATAATAATGTTGTTTGGCTTGTATTCAGTTGACTTTAGGTGGTGATTCAGAATAAGCTTTAGAGAAGAAGGGACAGAGAATGACCTCACCATCATTTGCTTCCAAAAGTTATGATGCAAAGTTGGACTAAGACTATAATCTAATAATAATTTAAAATATTATATATATTTTACACTCATTGTCCATTTTATCAGCTCCACTTACTATATAGGTGCACTTTGTAGTTCTACAATTACGGCCTGTAGTCCATCTGTTTCTCTGCATACTTTGTTAGCCCCCTTTTACCCTGTTCTTCAGTGGTCAGGACCCCCTTGGACCCTTACAGAGCAGGTACTATTTGGGTGGTGGATCATTCTCAGCACTGCAGTAACACTGATGTGGTGATGGCTACAGTCTGTAATTGTAGAACTACAAAGTGCACCTATATAGTAAGTGAAGCTGATAAAATGGATAATGAGCGTAGAAACAAAGAAACAAAGAGGTGGTCATAATGTTATGCCTGATCGGTGTATATTGAAGCATAATGAATGTATAATGAACTACAAATGAATTTTTACATACTGAAAAGAAAAGTATCTGGTCTGGGCCCTGTCTCGGTCTTGCCACTCCTGCTCTCCGTCTCAACTCAAACTTGACTACTACAAAGTCTTAGTCTTGACTCAGACTCAATGTGTCCAGGTCTCGGTCTTGACTCAGACTGGCCTCTAATGGTCTTGACTACAATGCTGCTTATAGACCTTCCAGTTTATAGCTTTTCTACCTTTTGTAAGTAGGTCTTATTTTGTACGCTCAGTTGTTTTGTTGTGCTATTTGGCACCTTGAACACTTATCTGCTGTGAAGCATTCATCCAGTCATTGTGCATAATGCAGCTTTTTAAAAGGAACGAGTAACACGACTGGCTGAGAAAATTCAAATTAATCACTTTATTACTTCCCGCAACTCCCTCATGCATAGTGTGCATGCACCTGCACAAAACAAATCATTAAAAAAAAAAGGTAAATGCCTTTTCAACATGCCCTCAAGTCTTTGTGACACGCAGCAGTAGTTGCGTAGGCTGTTGTGCACTGCCTCAGGAAAATAAGGCCCCATTTGTGCAGAGAATAACAACAAAAAAGAGGAGAACTTAAACAGATACATCATGTTGAAACAACAACAGAAGTGACCATAGGTTTGCCCTCTGTACAATTACTTTACAATGTTTGCTGCCTCTATGCAAATCTGCTCTCTTCTGCATGTGCTGCGTGTTGCTTTGGGAAATGTCAAAGAGAGAACGAGGGGCTGTGTTTTCTCGGCTTGCGCAAATGAGGTCACATCAAAGAGCATTTGAATAATTTTTGAATTGTTTTTGCAGATGACTCACAGGTAGAGAACACCTTCTTGCCATTGCAACGAGCTAGAGCCTCAGGTCAAACGATTCCCCTGCTAGTAAATGATTCAAACTGACAGTGTTCTTAGAGCGCACAATTTAATGTGCAACACATGAATTGCTAATATGAGTGATACTGATACAATGGCAATTTAAAGTGGAATAGTTTATGATCTGGAAATAAAAAACAATCAGGTGCAGACCAGGGTTTCATGAATGAGAAAGGACATGTGAACAGACAGGCTCTTGAACCTGCTCTGAGGTCTTATTTATGGTTTAATCCTTTAAGGTTGACATAAAAATTTAGCTATTTTTGTTAGTGACATAATTTCTATGTGCTGTTGTATTTATTTAATATGTAAGGCTGGCTTTACATTTACATTAGTTGCAATATAATTTCTCTGCCCTTAGGAGTTACATGAAGCCATTCAAAACCAATCAAAGATGCACATAATACATTAATTAATCCACAAGTTATTCAAATTAGTAGCTCATCTGTTTTGATACACCATATCTTTATCGCTATAAAGTGATCTGTAAGGTATAATTTCACATTTGCAGCATTTTTAGCATATTTGTATGTTTTTTTTGGTGGTCATTGCCATTTTTTCACACATATGTATATAAAACATAAAATCTCAAGTATATAGTACAGAACTGTGTAAAATTAGAAGCAATCAAGAGAAGGGAAAATTAATCTACGTACGTAGATCATGAAAACGGCAGGCTAGAAGAATAAATGCTGGCACAAGCAGCTGTTTAAACAGCTGTTACCTGGCTAACGTTAGTTAACGCAGCTGGTTACAGAAACATTAGCTTTAAGAAACTCAGGTTTGTTGTCACTGTTCAAAAAACTGTCAAAATAAAAAACTACAACTTGAGTCAGTCGGGAGGGTCTCCTTTTCAACAGCCCAATAAACCATCTTCTGTTTCATTTTCTTGCTCACTGATCCAGTGACACCAATGTTAATTTGGTTGTTTCATGAAACTTGTTCCACAAAGTTCAAATGCATGCAACTGTTGCAGCTAAGTTTCAAATGAATTGCAAGATACTTTACACTATGCAACTCAAGTGCAATTTAGTTTAATATAGATTTCAAGCAACTCAAGAATGTGATCTAACAAAGCCATTTAATCACAATCAACAATGATTAAACATGCTAGTTTGGACCTCGCCTCCTACATATGGTTGTAGCATGAGAAGAGAATGTTTGATTGTAGGAGGGGAGAGAACTCTGAGAACTGGATGGAGTTCTGGGTGGCTTCTGCTTCGACCCTGAAGGCTGGATCCCTCTTTTTCTTTTTCATGAACAGAGATACTGAGCAAGGACTGAGGAACAGTAAACGAAAGATAAGAGATGGATAATTTATAGGACGTTAGATTAAAAGGAGAAGCAGCTTCAGGCATGGTCCTCCTACCAAGCTTTAGTTATTTAATGACTCCCTTAAGTCTCAGCCATTCTGAATTGCTTGCATGCTGGCTCAGAAAAAGAAACTGTACATCCAACAATAAAGGAAGCCTTGTGCATCTTTTATACAGAGATAGAAAATACAGTAGAACATAGAAAGCTCTGATTCTACATGCTGACACAATTCGCTGCATCCAACATGGACATGCATGCACCGTAACTTGTCTGGCAGCAGAGTCAAATGATTTAAGTGAGCCAAATTGTCAGAATGGATGGACGATGAGACGCTCAGTAGGGGTAATCCATGCAGAAAATGGGCTGGACTGAACTGAGGTGCAATCAGATTGTCTTCACATTACAAGCCTTATTGCTCAATTCTGATGTTTTCTCAGATCTAGTCTTTCAGCTTTGACACTGCCCTGAAAAGACCCACACACTGCTGCTGATAAGCTGCTCACATTGGCAACATTGTTATGCATGCTGGTGATGTGAACCAAACAAACAAAAAACATTAATTCTGATCTGACTGTTACCATCACACATGGCCTAGCATCAGATCTAGAACCATATATGAAAGTGGTTCCATTCTGATTTGAAAAAATCAAATTTTTGTTTTACTACAGCTCTGAAATCATCAAATGGGTTGCAGACTAAAAACAAATGTTTTTTTGTGTTACTTCAACCCTATGTTGCCAAACTGAAGCACAGACTGACCTGCCTGAAGAGTGCGCCCCCTCCTGGGCTCACTGAGTGGACCGTCCCCTGCTGCATTAAAAGCAGATAGCTTGACCATGTAGTAAGTGTAGCTGGTCAGGTTCTTCAGCCGCATGCTCGCCTCAGGCAGAAAAAGTATCTTTACCTTCTCTGTCTCATTCTGGTTGTCCAATTCCCAATAGTAAATCTATAGGCAGAGTAACAGGAGGGAGAAATTAAAATGTCAGTGTGCATGCCTCTGCAAACGATTCAGATCTGTGCTGTGGTTATATTCCAACCATGCACATTCCTTCCCATGCTTGAATGGTGCTTCCTAACAGGTGTATGATGCTGCAGAAGGTAGACACTCAGTGGAACTGGTAGGAAACCAGAAAAACAATTCTGCTACATTAATGCATGGTTTCTCTTACAACTTATGCATCCGTGTCATGCATATTTCAACAGAGGTTCACTTAACCCCGACCCGTGATAATTATTTCATGACCCAGATGTCCTGATCTTTTAAACATACTGTCTAACATCATTATCTATTACAGTACATTATAATGGTGAAGACTGAAAACATTTATTCTGGTTATGCATCCCCAGGGAGGCGGAGATGGGCACAGAAGCGAGACAGCGAGTGAGAGATAGAGAAAGGGAGAAAGTGAGCTTGAGAAGAAGAGAAGAAGGAGAAGAAGTCATGACCTTATAGCCTTGGATGATGCCATTCTGAGTCTCCACAGGGGGTGGCTCCCACTGCACCTCCAACTGGGTGGATGAAATCGTGTTGACCTGGATATTCTGAGGCGCAACTGAGGGAGCTGAGAAAACACAATACTAAATACAGTGCTATAAGGAGTATTACAAAAATCAGAATACTATAAATGGCAGCATTACAACACAGTACCATAAGGCACACAGTGCTATGATTTTTTTCAACAAGGGAATTCCACAATCACTCAAAGCTGGTAAGCCATTTTTTCTAGTATATAAATTTGTCTTACAATTTCCGCCCACTGTTCTGTATAGAAGGTGGTTCAATCTCAATTTTGCGTTATTGCTTATTTTGCTGAGTATCAGTAGCATCCTTCAGTAGTATTAAATATTTGTCATTATCCATAACATGGTCATTTATATCTCTAAGACTGTGAGGGCATTTTCAAAAGCTTCAGCTTGCGTTTCTTGAAGTAGTGTGTCGTGGATTTTATGGTATGTTTTGGATCACTGTCCTGCTGTAGAAACCAGCCTTGTTTCAGCTTCAGTTTCTTGACGAGGTTCCAGAATTTTCTGATATTTAGTAGAAACTATTCTTCCATCTACCCATGAAATGTTTCCCATGCCAAAGGCTAACATACAACTTCAAAGCATAACAAATCCACCCCCTTATTAATAAGATTGGCAAGGTGTTCATTACATCAAATGCTGCCCCTGTTGTTCTCCAAACATACCTATGGTGACTGTGGCGGGTTCTATTTGCACTTCATCAGTCCACCGGACTTGGTTCCAAGATGCTTTTGGCTCATCTACATTTTGTTTTGCATACTTCAGACATTGATTTTTGTGATGAGGTCACAGGTAAGGTTTCCTTCTGATGACTTTTGCATGCAGGTTATATTTGTGCAAGCACAGTAGAACAATGCACCACCACAACCTTCCTGCAGTTCCTTTGCTGTCATATGAGGGTTTTGCTTTGCCTTTCTGGCCAGCATTCGAGCAGTTCTAACTGAGAGTTTTGTTGTCTTCCAGGTCTTGTCTTTACTTTGCCACAGTTCTCCTTAACTTAAAAGCCCAGTGATATCTTTTATGACCTTCCCTTGCTTTGTAGAAATCAAACAGCTGCGTACCTGAGCCCATGGTTGCTGAGTGTTAATACAAGGTTTGAAAAGGCAGAGAATTTATTACACTCTGGAACTGTCATTAGCTGACAAGTCTTAACCTGCCAAACAGTCCTAATGAGTCAATTAAGGCCTAATGAGTTAATTAAGTTCTGAGACTATACCACTGGAAGGGTGCCCAGCTGACTTTTGCACAAGCCACAATTACTTTTTTTAAGTTAATCAAATATAAAACAACTCTGCAATAAAATTTACAGAAAATGTTCATTTTTAAAAATTGTTTGCTTCAGGGTTTGTGTTTACTTCTTTTACTTTAAAAATCAATAAAATATGTAATATGGTCAGGGATGCCCAAACATTTGCAAAGAACTGTATATAAGACAACCCTCAAAGGAACACAGTTCTATAGGGACCCAGTGCTAAAATAGACACTCTAAGTATTATAAGTGACACAGTACTGTAAGATGCACTGTACTATAAGAGACACAGTACTTTAAGAGCCTCGTACTATAACAGACACAGTACTACAAGGGACACAGTACCATAAGAGACAGAGCGCTATACAGGACACAGTAGCAAAACCACACTGCCTGCAATCACAGCTTCAACACAAACCCACAGCGCTTACAGATACTGACACTTTCACTTTACCAGAACACTCACATACACAAACCAAATGCCAAGCCAACTCCAACTGCACACCAGTATGACTAATGTCTCTGTTTCTTCTTCGCAAGGGCAGAGGGATATGAGACTAAAGAGCTTTCCAACACAGATCACAGCGGTAGATAGAGCTAAGAGCCACACTAAACGTTGAACGTTTCGAACTAGAAAAATATTTAATCAGGGAAGCTGTTAAAACCAGAGACGACTCATGAAGCATGACAGCATGTTCGGTTCAATTTCGTGTACAAAAGCCCTGCTTATGTGTGGCAGAGCTTGTGGAATAATTTATGAGTGGGAACGAAGAGCAGTGGCGGTGGAGTTCAGGAGGGAGCCGACTCTGAGATGCTCCATCAAGCGAGTCGTTAAAACAGTGCTAATAGGCTGCTGCTATCTTCTCCACCCCAGCTCCAGAGAGGCATGGCAGGCAGCACAATGTTTAAAGGAAAAGTTTGGTGAAAACTCAATTTTTCCCAGTTTTCCTCTGAATGCAGCTGATCAGCCAAGACATGTTTGGTGTGTGTTTGCACTGGAGCTCCAAGCCTAATTTGGCTAACAAACAACATAAGTTTTTATCCTACAAGATAGCATCACTAAAACTGCAGGCTTAAACCATTACACATTTGATTCAAACTACGCTTAAGTGTTGAAGGGGCTGGTGATTTATTTTGTTAATTTATTTTTTTTTGTTATACTGACCACCAAATAAAGAAGATACGGAGCCCCGGAGGGGACGGAGGTAAAAAAAAATAATTAATTCGAGCGAACGTTTTACAGTTCGTACACAGGTTTTCTTTTATTCGTGGTCACGATTTCTTAAATCGTTCTCTCGTTTTCTGTTAAACGTGCGCATGTTTTCTTTACTTTGTGGGTACGTTTTTGTTTATTCGTGATCACGATTTTCTAATTTGTTCTCTCGTTTTCTTTTAATCTTTGTCATGTTTCATTTTTAACGGAACGCACGTTGTTTATTTTTTTATTCGTGTGCAAAATCAATGTAGTAGATACAGGTCGTGTTATTTGTCCGGTGCAGAAGTAACTAACAGCTCCCTGAGACTGTGTGACGGGTTTTGATGAGTTAGATTGATGAGATAATGGACAGAGATGCTCATCAGGTCTGATTTTGATTTGGGGTGTTATGAGGAAACTTGCAGCTCCTCTTCACAGAAAACGGCCCACAGATTCATCAGCGCAGCTGCAGTTTGGTGGTGAAATGAAGGAAGACAACAAACTACAACCACAACCTTCACTAAACTGCACTTTCTAATGATCATATTTAACAGAGATATAGAAGCAGCGCGGCCACTTAGCACTGTTTCTGCTCCCGCGACAAATCATGATCACGGATTAAAAAACGTACCCACGAAGTAAAGAAAACGTGAGCACCATTAAAAGAAAACGAGGGAACGATTTAAGAAATCGTGACCACGAATAAGAGAAAACGTGCGTACGAACTGCAAAACGTTCATTCAAATTAATTATTTTTTTTACCTCCGTCCCCTCCGGGGCTCCGTAAAAAGATGTTGATCATTTCGATTGTTTACATTTTTGCCCATTTGTGTTTCTTTGATTTAATGTTAGTTGGGCAGGACTATGTTGGAAGATGTTGACAAATAGTACTGACCAAGCACCAGTGAGCGAGCTAGATAGCCAGCAAGCATTTATAAAGCAAGCCTTAGCTCTGGTAAAACAATAATAAAAAATGTTCATGCACTGCTACCTTCTAAAAAGATCGGTTCTCCTTCTCTCCCTTTCCTGTCTCTGGATGTCTGAGCTGCTGGGCAGCTATGCAGTTCTTTCTGCATAGTGTGTTGCTTAATCTAACTTAGCTAACAAGTGCTCATGTTGCCTGCTTATGGTGTTTAGCTGATTAGCCTAATTCCAGCTGTGTTAGCTAGGAATTAACACTTACAACCACAGTTAACATAATCACTACAGGTGAACGTAACTTTATCTCCCTAGTTCAATACCTTACACAGATCCAAAGCCTGACTTCTGCCAGAAAACAAAAGCTTAAACAACAAAAAGTAGCCTGCTGTTGTGGTGTCGTTTACATTGCCATACCTACACCACTGTTAATCACTGCGCAGTCTGAAACTCCCACTCAGTGCTAAAATTATTTACTCCATATAGTTTGAGGCAAGTGTGTGATGATCTAGACATGCAGATTGAAAAATGCTAAGATGTTGGGTATAAGCTTGCATCACTTGTAAACTACATTAGCCTTGTAGCTCCAGTACAAAAACAATACAGAAGTAAACTCTGGACACTAAACATGTATTGGCTGACTAGACGTGAAGTAAAGGGTAAATTGTGTAAATTTAATTTGTTGATGAACTATTTATTTAAAGGGCAAAGCACCATTCATCAGGCCTCAGCCTCTCCTCCCTGCATGCCCATGACTCCCACCTCCCTCCCTGCTCGTCCTCGAATGGCACCAAACCTGACGTTAATCAGCGGGAAATTCATTTGTTTGTTTGCCGCTCCCCCTCCTGCTGCTGCAAGTAATCTCTCCGCCTGGCCCCCCTCTAATGGTGCTGTTAATAACCTGATGCTGATAACCCTGTGCAGCTCTGCCAGCTGCTTGAGTTCTTTATGACAGATTCATATTTACTGCTTCATTAAGCCTCTTACGAGAAACAGCCAAAAGCACCCCAAAGAGGCACGGAGTGGAGAGATGGCCTCACCATTCGCCACCACTGCTCTTAAAGGAATAGTTTGGTGAAAAATCAAATTCACACAATTTTCCCCTTACCTCAAATGTAGCTGATCAGCCAAGTTGTGTTTGGTGTCTGAACGTATCAGCTTATTTACTTTTGCACTGGAGCTACGAGGCTACTTATGATTTAATGATAGCTTATAACAACTAACATCATGAAAACTGCATCACATACTTACCTCAAACCATGTCAAATTGTAAGCAATCTCAAACAGACTTAGAAGCTATCTGGAATGTTTCCATTTTTTGTCTCTTAGCCTAATGGTCAGGATTAAATCAAACAGCAAAATGACAGCTCGCATTTGTAACACTAAGGTGCTGTTCGATACTCGTGAGCGAATTCGAGAACCATGATGCTAATCTATCTGTGGAATTTTTTTTTCTCCCTTCCACTCTTATGGGAGGAATTCAATTGATCATATAGGGGATGCTATAGATCTACAGATAGCTCTGTGTCAGCCTGAGTCGGCGCTGAACAGCGAAGTCTGTGTATGGCATCATACAAGGCAGCGCAGCAATTAGGGCCCGGTTTTCCAATGGTGGAGCTTGGACGTCATCGTCACGTCCTGTCTTGCGGTTTGGCAGCTCATTAGATGCTGAAGCCCGCTCAGGTTCGGCTGTTTGCCAGGGCAATGGGATATTACTCAGCCAGTAATTGCGCCGAACGTTGACTGTTTTTAGCATCGAGGCGACTTGTGCTGAATTTGAAGAGCACTCTAAAATCCAGCAGTTCATTACTTTCAGCTGAAACACAGAGGCAATGGGCAGGCATAAAATTCTATACTTAGACACAGAAGCGGTCAGTGTGGAGGTCATTAGCCTGTAAGAGGAGGAATCTTTTGAAAATAAAAAGTAGACTCTGTCTGTGTCTATTTGTGTGCGTGTGTACACGTTTAGGTGAGTGTAGAAACAATACACTGGAACTGTCAGCCACACAGCAAGCAAGTCTTTTTTCTGCATGGCAAAATCTCTATTTCAGCAAGGTCAAGCCTACAGGAATGTGATGTAACGTCAGAGAAAAGTGGAAACTGTACAAATAGCCTCTTGCCAGCACCCTTTTTAACGCGCTGCTCAAACCTATCTCACAGGCCACTCCGTGGGCGGTAAATTCCAGCCCCTCGCACCATTTCTTCACCTGTTCCTCAGAACCTAGGCATCACTCAGTTTCTTAGAGGACTCCAGTGTTTTATAGAGGACACTGCACCGGTAGGAGAGCTCAGTGCCTGGCTGGTGATTATCATGACTAAAATGTCCACTGACAGCTGTCAGTCAGATGAGTGAGTGATCACCCATTCCCAATGCTCTCCGGCCCCCTCTGCAGGCCCAGCCTGGGTAGGACCACTGTCAAACGTGTAATCCACACCCCGCTTCACCCTGAGCCCCTGTGTCACCTGCCCTCATGCCTGACCGCTGCCGGGACACAATTCATATCTGTCAGGCTGCTTTAGTAACAGTCAGACCAGCCAGACCACAGAGTTCCAGCATGGTGCTCCACTTCAAACCTGCCATCCAGCGGGACTAATCGAGACCAACTTCGAGAAGACAGCGGGTTGGAGCTGTTTCACCATAAATTGGCTCCCTGGCCAAACAGGATCTTTTGTGTGATGACGTTAGCAGAGCAGCGCTTGGCTGGATGAAGGCATGGCCGCTAATAGGCCTCTGCCAGCATGTTCCACAACTGAATCAGAAGCACCAGAACTTTCATGATCTATAGCACTGATGAAGAATAATGAAATAGAACCAAAAGAAAGACATGCAGTGACTAAAGATGATATTATATACACTGCACCACCGCAATACAATATTATGTTGGTATAATAAAAGAATAGCTAGGCATTAAACCTCTCTTAATTTATTTCGATATAAATGATTCATTTAAATTAAACAATAAAGCTGCAATAAAACTCACCCTTCTTAGCTACTTTAGCCTTGTTGGCCAATGCAAAACCAAAGAAGCAAACATTTGACATCAAACATGGCTTGGCTGATGGACTACATCTAAAGTAAGGGGAAAGTGTGTATGTTTGATTTTTCACTGAACTATTCCTTTAAGCAGCTTTAAGGAAAAGTTAATTTCATAGCGAGTGAGGGTTGGCTTATATTCACACAGTTATAAATAGGTTAGGTTAAGCCAATGATTACCTGCTTCCCCTACAAACACCTCCACAGGCGCGCTGGCAGGGCTCTCGCCAATGATGTTGTAAGCCGTCATCACGATTTCATAGCGCCTGTACTTCTGCAGCTCTGTGAAACACAATTGGAGGAGGGAAAGATGTACAATGGTACTTAAATGAATGGATCTGAGTTTAAAGATAACAGATAAAAGGCATTTCTCCAGTAACGTAGTGTAAAAAAGTGCTGCTCAGATAAGGATCAGCTGGTGAACTGATGTTATAGTAGAGAAAGAATCTATTCTAGGATTGTTACTGGAATAGTACGAGTTGTTTTCTGTGTTGTACTGATGAGGCAAGCCCTCACAGCAGAGTGAGATAGCTCTGTTTGGTGTGAGGAATAGGATTCTGTCTCTGCATAACTGAAGTGCAGATTGTTCCTTGTCAGAACAGACAGACTAGAGGAAGCACCTTGTCCTCTGAACACGGACAGAATTGGGCATTATACTCTTAGCCACAGGGAATGTGAATATTTTACTTGGACTTCAAAGGCATAGTGCCTAATTTAGACAGACGACTGAATGAAACTTACGCGTGAGTTCGAATTCCGTTATCGAAGGATTGCTCACTGTCTTCACAGTGCTTTTGGCTGGTGGAGGGAGAGAAAAAGAGATAGAGAGAGATAGATGAGAGGCACATTACTAAAGGATGAAGCAAGATGGAAATACACAAATCAAAGAGCTATTTCATCATGGCTGTAAATTTTTGGTTTTCAGCTCAAGTTGCACATCATCACATATTTCTTCACAGGATTGATCTCACAATGCTCATCTCTCTCCATCCACACAGACTGGAATGAAACCCCAAGAGCAACACCAAAGAGCCTGAGTGATTAATGATTCAGCAGTCAATATAGAGCACTATATAACAAGCTTGGGTACTAGAACACTAATAAGACTTCTGAAATGCACTGCTTTAACTACGACTCAGAGAACCTATTTCAGTTTTTTCTTAAAAAATGTTGAAATAAAGAGCTGCATTTCATGTAAAGTATGACAACTCCTGAAGGATTTGTTTTTTTCTCATCCCTGTGTTGTGTGTGTACCATGTTTGGCAATACAACAATATCAGATATGAATAAAAAATGCATTAGCACTTCAAAAGCCACACGAGCGCACACTTCAGTGGAACGCTCCTGAAAGTGACGGAGGGCCTTATCGGGTTTTGGAGCACCTGCTGACTTTTGAACATGAGCTGTTAAGATTGAACAAATAGGGTGAAGCTGTAGTAATTTGCTTATGGATCTTTGTGTGAGCGCCTGAGCAATGCTGAGAGTTAGCGGCACTTAGGAAGGTGCAGGGTCTTAGCCTGGAGGATGAGGGGAGAAGAGAAGAGAAGAGAAGAGAAGAGAAGAGAAGAGAAGAGAGGATAGGAAGAGATACTTTACTTCTCCCCTGGCTGGTGAAAAGAAGAGAAAAAATATTAAATACGCTTTCGTGCTTGGCTGCTCCAGGGTTGTGCATTTAAATGCTGTCAACAGTGCCGAGTCCAATTTGGCAAAGGAGATTTATTGGCTGGATGGGGCCTAGAGCGAGGAGTGCGATGGCATGCTCAGTGCCAAAGACTCTAGTTCAAACTCATGATTCTGCGACTCAGGAACCTAATGAATTCACCTCTGTGCAGCCATCCGCCAGAAAATTATTCTCTAGCCACCAGGTGCACAGGCATGGATGATGGGCACCCGTTCAGATAACGTTCAAGCTGACTGTCCTGCCTTTTGACCATGAACTAACCGACACATTTCACGGGAAGCTTCAGCTGTTTCAGTTGCCGTCTCAGTGCTTATAATCCAGCCATGTCTCAAATAGCCACAGACATAACTGCAATTCTTTTTTTTATTATATTTATTTTCGTAGCATTTGAAAATGCCATCTACTCCTTTGCATTATGTAAACACATCATGATTACTGAATCCATAGAAATGTTAAAAAAAGCCAACTTTAAGTAAAAAATAAATAAGGGCCCTTTTTGGAAAACGGAACTTTCATCATTTTATTATATGAAATGAAAGAGTATGATGCACTGTACCATTTTTAAAAAACTGTTAATTCTACAGTCCATATGGTACATAAATGGGAAAACAGCCCATTTTGGCAGAGATCAGTTACGTATTTCAGCCTTAAGAGGTACAGTAACAAATACAGCCTGTTTACAGGATAAAGAGAAGTTGGAAAACAGTCATGTTAAACTGAATTTGGACTGGTTTTGGAATACAAACCCAGACAAACGTCATGAGTGAACCTCAGGGAAGAAAATAAATTACAAGAAAATGTAGGATACGGGCCCTAAGTTAACTTTAGCTAAATAACATAAAGAGTTAAGAATATTTCCATTTACAGTTACAGCTAAAATTAAATGCTCACTCTTTCTTGTTTAAAATGCAATAAATGAACATGAATATATGCAATAAAATGATGATCTAATTATTTTTAGCAGTAACTGATTAAAAACCGATAAAAAAGCATATAATGAGAACTTTTGTAAAGAAATGCACTTAGAAAAAAAACAAAAGAAAAAGAAAATATACACTCAAGCTCAAGGTTTAGATTTTTCTGCTTGAAAGGACAGCATGTGTATGTGGAGCGACACTTGCTAGTCCCCCTACCTGTCAGATCTCCGCGCGCTGAAGAGCTGTTGATGGCCTTCTTGGACTCCTGTGGAGTGCTGTCATACTGTAGCTCACGGTAATATAGCCGGTAGCCCACCAGCACCCCGTTCACACTCTCCTCCTTGGGCGGCTGCAACAGTGCAGATTAAATTAAAGGTCACATTCCCCTGGCTGGCCTTGCGCTCCCTATTAAAGATCCAGGCCAAGGGAAAAAAAACAGAAGACTGACAAGAGGGAAGGGAGAGTTTCTCCATGCGTTGGCCTCAAGACCAAGCAGACGGCAGAAATGAAAGATGGGGATTTCATTTCAGGGCCACCCGGTCAGCAAGTTGTTAACAAAGACCGGCACTGAAAGTAATCAACCGGGCGAGGCCCCCACGCCCGCTGATAAAGCAGCCAGCTGGAGAAATGATCCGGCCCTCGTAGGTCAGTGGAGAAAGGTTTTGCTGCTAATTAACATCCCTTTGGGGTGCGACGACTGCAGGCGTGCCTGGGTATTAATTATCCTGGCCCTGCCGGAGTCTTCGGTGAACACCGTAAAAACGTGTTATCAGTACTTCATGTCGCTGAGATATGCTAAGTCGTGGGACGAATACCAAGCGAGCTGTGACAAGCCACTCAGCACGTTCTACTAAAGAGGGCTGTTCATCAATGAGAGCCAGATAATTAAACAGATAATAGTTGTAACGCATGCATTTAACAGGCAATTATTTTCACTACATTGGTCCGTCCCTACAGACTGAAACGGTCCGTTTGCAGTGCGGTAACTAAGGACAGATCTTTGTATAACTGGGCTATAAAGCGTTAATGGTGATTATTTAAATCAAAATCCTTTCTATTTGTGCATTGAGATATTTTCCATAAAGTTACTACATCGTTTTGTTCCTCAGTAGCCATAAACTGCATAGCCCTGAACTTTAGCTACTGCTATTTTAACAATTATTATTATTATTATTATTATTATTACAAGTAATGCAGAGCAATGATATCTGGAAAATTTGTGGACTGTGTGTAGCTACCAAAACAGGAAACAATACCCAACATTAGCAAATGCACATTTCAACCAGAAAGGGAAAGTTTGTGAACACTAAGTTTGCTTGATAAAGCCAGCTAACACACTTCAAAAGTTAAAGCAACTTGGATAACTTAATTGAGTTTATATGGCAATTCCATTTAGTTGTTATGGTGTTGCTATGAGGTTGCTATAGTAATCCAGCTTCTTGTTAGGGTGTTGCTTGATGATGTTAGGTGGTTACTAAGGTGTTGCTAGGCTGTTGCTATGCTATCCCAGGTGGTTGCTAATGTGTTGCTAGCACACTTGTATGATGGTGACACAACAGAAGTGTAGAAAGTGTGTACTGACTGGTGCAATAAGAGGTTGCGGTATAAGCATTATAGATCATGTAAGTGGAATAACTCAGCTTCAGGATGTTGAGCATTCCCTCATTTTTTCAAATTTCTGACAAAAGTAAAATCAGTTAAAAAAGCACAAGCTGGTATAGAATCTACCATCCAGCAAAGTTCTGTGGTTCTAGCATGAAAGCTGTAGGAGTAGTGATGTTGCAAAGTTGTCTGGCTGTAGTCTAGTAATAAGAAGAAAATGAAGAATGTTAAGTTGGCCTTTTCAAACCAACTTAATTATCCATAATTATTAATAATGATGTGACATGGAAAAATTGTAATAACTTCTGGCCATATCACCCAGCCTGTACACTTGACGATGCATGAAGCTTACCAGGGCAGCTGATTATAAGAAAGAGAGCAGTACCATACCTGCCACTGCACCAGCACAGAGGTAGTTGTCGAGGGCTTCACAGACTGAATAACAGGAGCTTCATCAGGAACTGGAAGAAAATAGCACACAAAAAACTCACAAACCCTTCTTTCGTCCATTTCTGTAGATCAAAACACTCCAAAATCACGGGAGAGAAAAGGCAGGGTTTTCAAGCTCTTCCGAAGCACTTTTATTTGAATCAATACTGGATCAGCTAGCACCAGAGGGCACGTGTGCAACACCTCCATCTTTACTCACCATCTTGTAAAGTCGTAATTGCATCGGTCTCTTGGCTGTACTTGCTGTCTCCAATGTCATTAGTGGCCATCATTCTCAGCTTGTATGAAGTGTAGGGTTTCAGCCTGAGGGATAGCACATCTCATGAGTTATCTCGCATCGAACAGAGCCGTTTCCCATTGTCAACAATGTGGCATGCGTGTGCTACTATCTATAAATGTCACCCAGACAATGCTGGGACATCTAAGGGCACTGTTGGCAATTACAGTACAATTGAAGTACCTGTTATGAAGGAGACAAAGTCAAAAAACTCTGTATCTGTGCAATCATATCCAGGCACAGACAGACCTAGGAGAAAATGCTCCAACCAAAATGATTTGCTTTGACTCAAAATCTGTTCAGCTCTCATTTAGTTCAAACATTAAGTTCAGCTCATTAAGCATAACATTTAACTACTTTAACTTCACTGAATCAGTTCAAAGTAAAGGTACAATCAGTGGGCTTGAGACATGTAATTTAGCAGTTTCTGAACATGTCATCTAGCTTTTGAAAGGTCAGATACAGGTTGACTCTAAAATAAAGCTTTTCTCATGCGGACCAATCTGTTAGCAAGTGAGTTTGCACGAAGCTTCTGTCGAGCTGGAAAGGAAATGTTCCTCACAAAGCCTTTCAGTGTGCAACTCTTCTGGGTCTGCAGCTACCAAAGACACAAATCAGGCTTAAATAATCTATTTGACGCTAGTCGGACTGTTTAAAAGGCGATAAAGAACTGACGGGTTAGAAAGTCCTAAACAGAGGGAGGGGAGTCATCATGATCAAAATGAGATGGGCCTCTGAATGCATATAAAATACCACTTGACTGGCCATATAATCACAGTAGCGGCTCAAACGTAATTCAAATGCAAGGCGGTCCAGCCTCACAGACCCGTCCCTGCTTTCTAAATGGGAGGGTGAACGTTGTAAATTGCTACAGAGTGAACAAGCCTGCTGAGCTTTTAATAACACTCCCATCATATAATTCTTACTGTACGCAGTTAGCCTGGGAAAGGCTGAGATAGAGACATGAAAGAATATAAAGTAATGAAGTTATGAAGGGGAATGGAATCAGCTGAGCCTGCATTTCAGCTGGCTCTCTGGGTAGACACAGGTGTGCACAAACTTGTGTGTATGTGTTGTAGAGGAGAGTGGAAGAATGGGGGAAGAATGGAGATGGGGAGAAAGTCACAGGTACTAGCTCCACCCTACTCCACCTACCCATCACACATTGATGAAAGAGAAAGGAGTAGGCCTACTTTGCATATTACAGCAACTTCAAATACAAAAGTAGCATATTTCCTACACCATAAAATAATTATTTCAAAACAGTAGTCTAAAATAAAAAACCATATTATGCACATACTAAATTTATTTGTATCAATTAACAACAAGAACAACGACAACAACAATAGCAGCAGCAGCAGCAACAACAACAACAACAATAATAACAATAACACTAGTGGCTAGTTAAACTAAGTGGTTACTGAGGTCTTGTTAGACCATTGCTATGGTATTGCTGGTGGTTGCTAAGGAGTTGCCAGATCATTACTATATTATCCAAAGTAGTTGCTAAGGTGTTGCTAGAACATTGCTATGGCATCCCAGGTGGTTGCTAATGTGCGTCTATATATGTGTTATTTTCTCAACATTCCACCACTCGTTTATTATAGGAAAAAAAAGATTAAATGATCAGTCCCAGAAGCACAAGTGCACTATTTCCATATAGGCTCTGTGATCCTGTTAAATTTTGTAGTTCCAGCTCGAAAACTATAACTCGTGAAAACAGTACCAAAAAAAGTCCTTTACAATAAAATTGTAATACAACCTCATTTCCAAAAAAGTTGGGACACTGCACGGGAAAAAATAAAAACAGAATGCAATGATGTGCAAATCATTTCAAATCTATATGTAACTGAAAATAGCACAAAGACAATATATCAAATGTTGAAACTGAGAATTGTTATTGTTTTAAAAAATATAAGCCCATTTTAAATTTGATGCCAGCAAAATGTTTAAAAAGTTAGGATGGGGGCATGTTTACTACTGTGTTGCATCAGCTCTTCTTTTAACAACAAGACAGACTGTAAGGGCTTGGAAACTGAGGAGACCAGCTGTAGTTCTGAAAGAGAAATAGCTTCCCTTCTTGCATGATACAGGATTTCAGCCACGCACCTCCATACCATCAAAGACGCTGGCTTTTGAACTGCGCTGCTAACAAGCCGGATGGTCCCTTTCCTCCTTGGCATCCATGATTTCCAACAAAATGTAAAATTTTGATTTGTCAGACCACGTGACACTTTTCCATTTCGCCTCAGTCCATCTTAAATGAGCTTGGTCCCAGAGAAGTTTCTGGGGAGCTTCTGGATTCCGTATATATGTGGTTTCTTCAGTGCATGGTAGAGTTTTAACTTGCATTTGTGGACGCAGCCTTTTACAGAGAGTTGAACCCCTCATCTCTACTTCTGAAAGGCTCAGCCTCTCTGGGATGCTCTTTTTATACCCAATCATATTACTGATCTGTCACAATTAACTTAATTAGTTGCATTCCATAACTTTACAAGGCTTTAACTGACCCTTTTCCAACTCTTCTGAAACATGTTGCTGGCATGAAATTAAAAATGGGCATATATTTTTCAAAAAACAATACATTTCTCCGTTTCAACATTTGATGTGTTGTCACTATCTTCAATTAAATATAGGGTTCAAAGGATTTGCACATCATTGCATTCTGTTTTTATTTTGACCAGTGTGCCAATGTTTTTGGAAACATGGCTGTAAAATATAACACAGTAAAATGACACAGAAGGTAAAGTAAAAAATAAATACAATTGGTGTTCATTATAAATTTAAATAAAATAGTTAAATTAAAACTGTTTTAAAACTTCTTAAACTTGTATACTGAACTTGACTGCCTAACGGTGAAAGGCATCAAGTTCCACAGTTTTAAAAGGCCTGTCCACTTTTTAGACCTAAAATCATGGGTTAGAACACACAGTAACCCAGGTGCTAGTTCATTTAGCTTTACAAACAAGCAAAAGAACTTTCAAATCTGTGATATTTTAACCCTAAAAGCCAATGCAAATATGTGGTATTTTTTGAAAATGAAAATCTGCTGTTCTTCTTTAACAACATGATTTCTCAGTGTTGTTGTTGGATTTATTTATGTAAAGAATGTAATCTAACAAAGCCAAAAAATTACATTTCTATTAAATTAGTCACAAACTAAATTTTTTAATAAGCATGAACAGCAACAGCCACACATAAGTGGCATTTTATCCTAACTTCAATGAACCCAGTCAGTAATAAGTGCTTACCGATCTGAATTGCAGTCTGAATAAGGTTGCACTCTTGCTTCGAAAAAAATCACACCGCATCCAACAATGAAGGAAGCCTTATGCATCTTTTATAGAGTGATAGAAACACAGTAGCACTAACGATAATTATCACGATATAACTTTTCCCTTCCTACCTATACACCATTCTCACACTTACACGTTTTAGCGAAAGCCCTGGTGGCGTTTTCAACTGCAAGGAAAGCGACACTACTCTGCTGTCGCCAGGAGAGGGCGCACTTCCGAGTTGCTCGACTTGGTTAGAGAGGGAGGAGGCCACGAGTAAAAAAGGGTCGCCAAATATACTTTAGCAACATCTGAAACGTGGAGTTATACATTCCCTGTTTGAGTGGAGCGACCGGCGATCTGTTCTCCTGTGACCGAGTGTGAGTGACGAGATCAGTGACGTAACTGTACTGCCCTGCGGTGAACTCACCTCTTTCCGTGCCTCCTAACAACTTTAGCGGTGTTAAATCACGTCTGCAGCACCGTGTTACAGCGCCAAACCGTCATATTTTAGTATTAGTGCATTCTCGAGCAACGAAAGTGAAAGAAAGAAGTGGGTTAATGTGAGTTACAGCCCTGATTTAAACGAAAGCAAACTGAGGAAGCTGTGAGGCATTGGGAAGTGAGAGAGCGCTATCTTTCCAGGCTAGCTGTTTTTAGCTGCTGGCTAATTGAAGCGGCGCTCCGGCACAACACGGTGAATTGATGATACGGTAGATCAAACATGACACAAAAGCACCGCTTTCAGTTTAAACATACCTAAAAGGAGGACTCTGTTTGTCTGGTGCGAGAGATTCACACTGCAGATAATCTTTTTACACAGCGAACGTCAGATATTTTGCGGTTCACCCCTTAAACTACTACGATAGCATAGAGAAATCCAGTCTTCGCTAGCTGCTGTCTGAATACTGTGATATGCTCTGACATGGATGTGGTAGGAGTGACAGCAGTGACCTACCGAACCGAGTTGACGTTGTTGAGAACTGTTGTTGGCCACTTGTTTAGCATTTGTAACTGGATAGCCGAGCGCTCGTCACCAGACAGCTAAAAATAAACTGTTTTCTTTCTTAAATTATGACTGTTACAAAAATTGCAGCTGTGCTTTTCCAGCTGATAAAAACAGCTCAGAAACTTTCTCCCACTCTCCCAAGACAGATTAGTGAAATGTTCCACTGTTTGCCGAGTGTTTGTCATAATCCGACCATAAGTGATAGTTTAAAACCACAGTTAACCACCCAGGAGCAAAATCAGCCTTCAAACGTGAAAGAAATCATGATTTGACATTTATCGCGATATGTATCGATATCGAACGATATGAATTTTGTTTATCGTGATAATGTTTTTGGCCATATCGCCCAGCTCTAAGTAGCACACAGAAAGGTATGATTCTACATGCTGATATGTTTCAATGTGTCCAACAGGAACATCTCTGCACTGTAGCCGGTGTAACACCGGAGTTTAATGGGCCAACGCCAAATTTTCAGAACGGAGTGCCAGTAGACACACAGTTTAATAGGGTTAAAGCAAGTGGCAGCCTAAGCATATCTAGCCTAAATTATATTGCCTTTACTCATTTTAATGGACTTGAAGTGCGCACTGTGTGGCTGCATTATCTATGAATGTAAAAATATTAAATCAGACTTGATAGATACTGAATATTAAACGATGCAGCTCGGGAACAGGGTTAAAACACCTGATCTGAACATGATTCATTTATAACTCTTTATTTTTTTTTCTTTGTGGAGTCTCTATTTATTTTCACCTGTTTTCTGTTTGTTTGGCTGTTCTTTTTGGTCTGAGATCTGGAGACTTATGGAACGTTCTACTATCTATCTCTCCTCTTCTGCTATTTTCAATCTGGCTGCTGAGTTTCTTGCTTTGTCCATTAATGACTCTGAGTTCTGGAGAAGCCTGATAAACATGACTCCAAATTTATACATCCTGGCTCATGCATTACAGAGGGGAACAGAGAGAGAGAGAGAGAGAGAGAAAGGGAGTGATATAGTAGCTCACCTTTCCACTATGCAGGAGGTGCTGTTGTGGCTGATGGTGGAGGAGTGGGTCACCCAGGCTCCGTCAGGCAGCTGGCGGATCTGAAGGGTGAAGTAGCGGACGGGGGAGGAGCCGTCTCCACCTGGCAACCAGCTCAGCCTCAGCTGACGAGACTGCACCTGATCCTGAGGCACACTGAGCCGCAGCGGTGGCTGAGGACGCTCTGAAAGTTCAGAAATTCTAATATTTTTTTACTAAACTTTATAAAATTTATCTTTTTATGTCATGCAATGATCTTAAACTCTTCACGAACGTTCTGGCAAATACAAGCATTAATATTCATAATGACAATAAAGCAACGTTGAATTAAATTGAACTGAATTGAGAGAGAGGGAGAGAGAGAGAGAGGGGTAGCAGTAAAGAGAGAAGGAGAGAGTAAGAGAGAAGGAGGGAAAGGTAGTGGTAGAGGGAGAGAGAGAGGCAAAGTTAGAGGAAGAGAGAGAGAGACAGAGAAAACTAGAGGTAGAAAGAGAGAAAAAGGCAGATAGAGAAAGGTAGAAATGGAAAGAGAGAGAGAGAGAAGAGAGAGAGAGGCAAAGGTGGACAGAGGTAGAGAGAAGTAGAGAGATAGATAGAGATAGAGACCGACAGAGAACTATAGACAAGAGACTGAGGAAGAGATAGGCTGATAAAGAGATAGAGAGACAGACAAAAAGCTAGACAGAGAAAGGTAGAGAGAAGTCGAGATAGAAATAGAGAGCAAGAGAAAGACAGACAAGCTGAGAGACAGAGAGAGAAACAGACAGAGAGGTAGAGCGAGAGAAAGGAAAAGGTAAATGGAAAGGTAGAGAGAGAGAGATGAGCAGCAGTGCAGAGGTCAGGCCAGTCTCGCTGACTAGTCTTAATCACACTGCATCAGTCAGCGGCCTGGCCGTGCCCCTGCTGCCCTGCCTCGCCTGTGTAGCGCTCCAGCGCACCCATCCCATCGATTTTAATGCTCCCAATCGATGCATGCAGCTATAATTGTTTATTTAAAGGTGGGCATCATCGATCGCTATTAAAGATGCAGATCATGCGAAAGAAAAGCCATCGAGTGGACCCTGCATCACTGATGGCCTTGCAATGTTTTTTTTCTTTTAAAGGTGTAATCAATTGGTTTCAGAAGGATCAGGGTTTGTAATGACTTTGCATGTTTAATCCCACCTTTCCTTCAGAAGATCTCTGAGTAAGAAAGGTCGATGGGCTTTTTTCCCCAGCTAGATTAAATCTGGGCATTAATCAGGTTAAAAATTTTAACAACAAGATCTGTGAACGATAATGCCTTTTTTAAAATCAGCCTATTGACAGAGAAAACAAATAATCTTTGTTTGAAGGGTTAAAGGACAGTATTTCCAGGGGTTATACAAGCATTGTGACCCTTTCAAGGAAGAAAATAAAAATCTCTAAAGATTGATGGCCAGTGTTTACTCTGTGTGGGTGCGTGAGAGAGAGATAGAAGATCACCTCTGATCTCAGTAGTAATGACCACAGCCTGTGCAGCGGTGCCCCAGCCCTGTTGGGTCTTGGCTGAAATGCGGAATATGTAGGCAGACTCGGGGACCAGACTGGAGGCGGTGAACTGCTTTGTGTCTGGGCCCACCTCCACCGTGGTGAACTGGTTCGGATCTCCAGAATCCAGCCTGTAAGCGACCTGGTATCCTGAAACGACAACGGTCGAGTTGATTTTCCCAACACTTCTTAACTCCTGCCTCGCTCAGAATAAACGGTGCCACGGACCACATCAAATAACTGAGAAAACAATTCCGCCGACGCTCAAAACAACCCAGTCGGAAACTCAGAGAACTCAAAGAACAAATGCAGAGGAGGGAAAACAATTTTCTCAGTGAAAAAAAAACAAAAACCCCACAACTGTTTGAAGGCAAAACCTACTTCAGAAACACCCGCAACAGTCAGAAGTTTTGGATGATGAATGACTTTCAAAAGGTCTTCACTGTACTGGAAAATTTGCTAGCACCACCACTAACTTCAAATGAACCCACCTTAAACAGCCTTTCCTACTGCGTATCTGGAGAGAAAAAAGAGCATGATCTACACACACAGTTCACAAACTCTGTGCATATGATGTGCAGCTGAAAAATATTTGCTGTTCTTTGAAGTCTTACAGCACAATCTGATATACTTTTGAAAAAAAATGTGTTTACCTCTGCATTCATCTTGTACTCCATTGCTATTTAGTCCCTGAAACTTCAAGGGCATGTATGTCAGGCCACACTTTCACTACACACCACTTTCTTCTACCTAAAGTAGCCATTAAGTACATATTATTTATTTTTTCAGCTTTTTGCTGTAATTACTTTTTATTTTAATATTAACTTGGAGTCTTTTTGGGAAACTTATTTTTTAAAGAAACCTGCAGTGATGTTTTCCATGCATGTTGTAAACACTTCAAAAGTTCTTAGAAGTTAGTTGCTTTTTCTCTTTTTGTGCTTTTTCACAATCGAAGTACAATCTCAATTCCACATCTCAGATGTTCTGGTGCAAGTTTGTTTATTTCCTTTTCTCAGTAATGGTATAATGAATATATGTTTCCTGCTTTTTTCTGACAGTGAAAAATAAATAACTTGTAAATACAGGCAGTTTTTGACAGGAAATTGAATAAACAAAAGGGTAGTATCAAAAATGGTAACTTAACTTTCAATGCAAGTTAATTTAACCTGATTTTTTTTTTCAAGTAATTTTGGCCCATTCCTATTGGCCCATTCATCATGAATAAAAAAAATCGAAAAGAACAACCGGCATTTTTAAATTCTGTTAAAAAATAAAAAAACAGCAAAAATGGAGATACAAGATTTTGTTTAGACAGCAACAATATATCAGTTTTATAATAGATACAAAATAATTTACAGTTGCTGCTATATAACTTAGAATTTAGGGGGTTGACTCTTAGAGGAGAGAGTTACCAATGTTATGCATTACATAATTATTTATATATAATTACCTACTTACATCATTAGATACATAGCTGAATTGTGAATCACATTTACAACAGATGTATATTCTGTATCATCAGGATTGAGTTCCAGTTCTGCTGTTTGTTTAGACGTCAGAAAATGACAAACGTGGCAAAAATGTTAAGGATGGTTTTCTTTCTGCAAAAGGAGACAACAATAACTTTTCATAAATTTTTATCAGATCATAATATGTCCTGTTCTACTTATAAACACAAATGAGGTATAAAAAGTATAAAAGTTACTCAAATGAAAGTTTCTACTAGAATTCTCTCTGCTTGTTTCAGTGAAGCAAGAGTGAAAAAATGATTATTAACCAAATGTAAAAGTAAGTGTTTCAGTGTGTAAACACCTTAGGGGACTCAAAAGGGTCTTTAATAATATCTCAAACGGAAAGTGTTTCTGGCAGCTGCGATCGCTAAATGTGAGGTTTGATCCTGGCTTCCCCACTGAGAGGTGCAGAAGAGAGGCATGGTGAGCTGCATCAGAGTGCTATTTTATCTGTGGAGCTTCAGTAGGAGCAGGATGTGTTGCAAGTGAGCACTGACATTACAGGGATCGGAATGTGTGGGCTGAGTCCGACCGAAGTGGAGAACATTATTCCATCTATCTTGCTGCATGTTTGCTCTGTGCGCTGGCCCTTTCTATGTACTGTAATAAAGTAGGCCATCCCACATTGTGGAACAGGCAGCACTGTCCAAATGGCATTTTATCCTAATGTCCACTCCAGCCATGAGGGGCTGTGAAAAATAACATCCTCCCACCATTACTGTACACACGCATGTGCACATGCTCACATACACACACACTTTCACTGCTTTTATGTCAGGCTTTGTTTTTCTCAGAGATGTGAGGAGTGCTGTGGGCAGGAAATGCTAGAAAACAGTCTGAGCTCTGCAGGCCTGGGCCATTCGGCCTTGCACTGACCCTTGCCATGTTTGCTGGGGCTTTGCGGGGTGGACAGGGTCTGTGCTGCAGGGGCAACAGCCCGTGTGATTGTCTGGGTCATCACCTCTGTACCCCAGCAGCTCCATTCTGCTCATTCATTGGTCAGCGATTACTGGTCCAGCCGTGGCCAACTACATTGTGCTGCTACGGCTAGAGCATTGCGGCAAAAGGTTACAGCGGTTTCACTAAATCTCCAATCTCCAGTGCGTTCATGAAAGCTATGCCACAACCTCATCAACACAGGGGAAGGTCAACCCATGCTTACTCTGTCACCCATGGCGAATTAGAGACTGAAGAAATGTCACTCGCTCCTTTCAGAGATCTCTCCAAAGAACTTTCAAAAACTTACTGTAGAGCAACTGAGGTAATGAGACGAAATGAAATACGAGCACAAACAAATAAACAGCACAGTACTGCCCGAAAAAGCAAGAGAAGGTAATTAACTGGGGTTCACAGCTAAGGCCGCGTCTGATTCCACATCTATTCAGCTCAGAGGCTGAATGTGATCTTGCTGTAGCCCTAATGTGATCCCGCATGAAAACCGCAGATGAGCATTCTCAGGCCCTGCAGTGTGCTCAGCGCTGGCTGAGAGCAGGGCAGGCTGGGGGCAGATTTAAGCAGGATTATTCTAAAAGCGAATTCGAAAGCAAACTCCCAAGTGCTGTCCGCCGACTCCAGCAGCCGGCTTGCAGATTTCTACCGAGAGGCAGGAAAAGAGCACGTTTTTTGATGCCTTTCAAAAACCAGATTACATTTGAGGCTGGCTATGAATAAAACAAGCTTACAAGGTTTCGAGCTAAACGGCCATGCTGTGCAGTGTTTCTAAGAAAAACAAACAAACAAACAACGGGGCGAATCATGAGCCAATCACATTTTTTCACTGCACGCCAACAAAGTCCTGCTTTTGGGCCCCGTGATTTTGAGCAGCATCGGAGGACTTAAACCACTCTTATTTCTGTTCAGAACATTTGTTCCACGGACGAAACTCCAATCCTGACAGAAATAAAATGACTCACAAGGCCTTGCGTAAATCTCTCTTTCCCTTTCTATGTTAGGACCACGTCATTCCATTGCAGTCAGGTCTGGTGTATTCTTGCTTGGTGTGATCTGCAGCTGTGGTGTGATTTGGCAGCTGTCTATTCTGAGCTTCATTCACTACAAGGTGTTAGTCAGCCTAATCTCATTAAAGCACAGCATTTTTCCTCCTTTCACTCTCTTTCTCCTTAGCCAAACAGATGTCTCAGTGTGACTTGGCTGTGTGTCACAGAGTGGAGGGAGTAAAAACTTCAGTCCAGACGGAACTTGACCAGAGATCAAAAACCTAGAAGGCCTGATTGTTCATGTGAGGTGAAGTATAAAGAGCTCAGGTTTATAATCGTGGAAAGATGGATGACGGAACATCAAGTTATTTTAGATAGACACTGTGAAGAAAACTCAAATCTCAGAGCAGTATTACATTGTTTGTTTTCATTTTTAAAGGTTACAAATAAAATGTAATGCACATAATTTATCTGTTCTCTCAAATACAGTTGATCAGCCAAATTTGGTGTCTCAAGATTGCTTAGTATAGCAAAGTATATTAAAGTATATAGCTAAAACCATCTTTTTGTGTGAATTTTGTCTATATGTTTTTCCGAATTTTGTCTGTACGTTTATGCTTATCAATAACAGCATGTCAGTATTATAAACCACATATGCAAGTCTATTTGAGACATAACACCAGCACACCCAGACCATTTAAGGGGTTAAATAAAACATATTATTTAACTCCTTAAATGGTCTGGACCCACCAGCTGGTTTAAAGTTTTACTGCACCCATATGTAATCTAAGAAGCCAGTTTGCATCATAGTCCATGTAATTACTGAATAAGAAGAATGTAATAACTTGGGACTGTAAGGGGTTAAAGGGGCATTCCGGGCTTAAACTAGCATTAATTATGTTCTTGTCAAGGAATGTTCTGTCACTCAGTCTCATCAGTTTGATAGTGTACACAATTTTGTATTATTCTTTGTTTTCTGCCATTACTGTTAGCAGTACTGTTAGCTATCTGGTTTCATTTTGCATTAGCCAGCTATCGAACAGCCTGCCCTCAAGTATCCACCCAAACTGCTTGTAGTTCTCCAAAAGTTTCTTCCACCTTCAAGATCATCAGATGGGTTTTTTTCTAGTGTTTTCTAGTGTTTAAACCAAAAAATCCCTCTGCAGACACTGTAGAGACTGTGGCGCTGCTGTAGAATGTGAGATGCCATGTCTACAGCAGATGTAGAAATAGTGACATTTTCATTTTGGCCAAAGTGTATCTTTGTTTATTAACACTTGCCATTCATTAACTAGTAGTTAGGAGAGGAAACATAGTCGGGAAAATAAGGAATTGTGGGGTGAAGATTTCAAAGATTTACCTTAATGCAGTTTGAGGCAAGTATTTGATGATCAGACATGCAATTTGCATAACACTAATTGCCAGGATATACGTTTCCAATACTTGTTACCTACATTACCCTCATAGTACCGGTGCAAAATTAAACATGCTAATTTTGGACACCAGCTGATCAACTACATTTGGAGTAAGCGGAAAATACAACCGATTCCTTAAACACCCAGAGTCAGTACTCTCTTACCCATGATGATGCCGTTTGGATCCACCGGGGGCTGCCAGACCACTCTGACCTCCATCAGACGCACCTCTGGGAACACAAGCCTCATGGGCGGTCCTGGAACTTAAGGCAAAGTGTAGAGGAGAAGCGGTTAGATGTCAGGACCATATGACTGTAACAATCATACTAATTAGGATAAGACATTCAGTGGCCTTTGATCACTGGCCTAAGGACTTAAGAAACAGAAGTCGAGACAATAATGCCCAGGACAGTCATCTGAGACTTCACTTGCAACTATAATGGGCAAAAAAACCCATCAGTAAACTCCAACACTCAGCTAGCACCCGTTAATCCTGCTTAGAAGAGGCGAACTAAACAAATAACACATAAAAAACACAAATTAAAAGGGTCTTGACGTGACAAAAAGACACAAAAGAGAAGAGGCTGCTGTGACAGCTTTTAAATAACTGCGCTCCAATAAATCCACCTCCAACTTCTGTGAGAAGATAAATGAGTCTTCTGCTCTTTGTCTCTTTGAAAGCTTTTTATCAGCGTGTGTGTTTGTATGCAGATAGAGCTGCAATATGCTTGCCTAAAGAAGTCAGACAAAGTGCGAGGGTTCTGGGAGATCAGTGGAGGGGTGGTTTCTCCAACGCTACGAAAGCCCAAAAGAAAAGGGAAAAAACTAAACCGACAGAGAGATGGATGTGGTATCATTTCCTAACTCTGCTTGATATTCCAAGGCTAACGCTTGGGCCACTCTAATAGAATACTGAACCTGAACAAATGTGTGCAGGTTTTTCCAGGTGCTGGAGGAGCTAACAGTTAGTGTGCCGAAGCTTAAAGGGGCCATATACTACACTTTTCCTGTATTTAATTTTCCCCCGAGGTACACTTATAATGTTTTTGTGGTTGTATGTACCAAAAACAGTTGTATTACATTTTCACTCTCTTTTTTAAACAGACTGTTTCTGTAATTGCGCTTTTAAGATGTAAATTGGCTGCCCTGTACTGTGAAAAAGTAGTCCAGGCTGAAGCACTTCTATCATGGGAAAATGATGCCCTGTGGTAAACAAAAATGTTGCAAACTTGTTTTTTCCTGTGTACATTTCCCCCTAAATTTCACTGATACTGATGAAGATATGATGATAATATTAGATAATCCACCTGCATCCTCAGAAGACATTTACTTCACCAAGTTTTGATTGAGTTCTACTTGAATACTTTTTCACTGCACTTGCAAATCAAAAACGATACATTTAAAATGGGCTGTTCTTGCAACTTAGTCTCCATATATAGACTATATGGACTATGTGGTGAATGGCATGTTTTGAGACAATGGTCACATCCTCTTTTATTTAAAAATGTTGGTAAATTTTGTTTTTTCCATAATACGGACCTTTTAAAGACGTAGGCTGCTAGTACAACTAAAAAGGGGCTGAAAGTTGTTGATTAAGGAGAATATTTCCTTCCTCTGTTGGTGTGTCTCTCCTCTAAGCACACACACACACATATGCACACAAACACACACACACACTCTTTTCTGGTTCCCAAGAGTCTCCTGACAGGCCTATACATCCACAAGCAGGACACAAACAGGCTAACATGAAGAGAATCCAATAATACTGTGGAACACTTACACTCACACACACAGACAGGTACTCATGGCTCCTTGGGCAAACACAGACTACTGCTACCGCCCCTGGGATCTTGGTCCCATTCTCCAATGCAAAACCCAACAGTATATCAAATGCAATCAAAGCTGGGGCTGCTTCTGGGCTATTTGCTTATTTTCTCACCAAGCTGCAACGGTTGGTTAGGCAGACTTTGTACTTCATTTCCTGGCTGTTATGGCACTTATAAATCTATCACATATGACATAGATTTGATTTGTATTGCTTTTCTGCAGTTATGGTATGAGGGGCTACAGGGACATGCGCCCACACATGCTAAGACGAGAACCTGAAATGGCAAAGTGGAGCTTTTCCCAAGATGCCGCTTTCTCTCAACACCACGTATTACATGCATTCATCATTCTGCTATCAGCTTCGCAGTGCACTGCTGGGGGTTCGAGAGATTATGCTTAGACGAGTGAGGCTTTTGTTGCTTATTATGCACAAAATCACAGAAAGTAAATTTCTCTTTAATTAATCTGTAATTAGAAAATCGGCTATGTAATTATTTCATTAAGGACGCCACTAATAAAATCACTTTTTGGCCCTGTCTTTAGATGCTGTGAACCCGTTAATGACCTTCTTTTAATCTGATCAACAGACTGAGAACGGATGAGTGTCCAGTATGCTGTCAAGTTTTGCTGAGACAGCTTAAGAAACTCAATAACAGGACGTTTAAGATAGCAGGCCAGATCCAGAGAAGTCGTTTAGCTTCACCCGTAGCATTTGGTGCTTGTGCTCGCAGTGATAAAGGCCAGGCATGCAACATCTTCAACTCCTCCAATCGCAGGCCGGCATGTGCTTGCAACTTCGTTGAGCATGGTATGGGGGTCTTAATGAGCCCTGTTCTAGAGAGGAATTTAAAAGGCAAACACAGAGATAATTGGTGCTAAGGTTGAGCAAGCACGGACGGCAGAGCCTCGCTTTTTAGGCCCTGTCGTCTCCATCATAAAAGAGACGCTGCCGTCCAGAGGGGGCTCCGTTTGCCGTGCTGCTTAAAAGAGACCTGTTATCTCTTATTCAGAGAGCTGCATGGTTCCACATGGCCGCCAGCCTACCGACTCCATTAACGTGACTCGGTGGCCGGCCGGATTAAAAGCTAGTCCTGCGTATATATCTCACAGCCCTGGCTTGTCTAAAAGGCTCTTGTGAGCCGAAGAATGCTATTCTCCGGGGCTCTTTTAGGTCAGGCACTAGAAAAGACCCCAGCCTTTGGCTTTAAGTGCAGGGGTGGTGCTAAGGAGTGACCAGTGTCTGCTGTACTCTAATGTAGTGTATGTGGGTGGTATCATAATTGTAACTGAGTTTCAACTGGCTTTGTCGGTTTATTTCTGACTTACTTTAAATTATATAGTGCCTTTCTCACACCCAAGGACACTTCACGACTGAGTATCAATATACAACACTGTGCAAAAGTCAGAAATCACCTTGGCTTTAGTCAAGTTCCAGTTAAAACAGCCATTAAGTACAAGTTATTCATTTTTATGGAGATATTTCTGAGGTGATTAGACAGAAAACTTGCATAAGGAAGGGAAAAGTCAAAGAAAAAAAAACTGAAGTTCAAAAAATGATTAAAAGAGGTAGACAAAATGGCACTCCTAAGACCTGGTAGACCACCAAAAATGTCACCATCAGATATATTAAGTACTTAAAGCTTTCATCTTTGATAAAGAGGAGAAAGTCAAGCTCCAGTTTTGCTTCAGATCTGAAAATATCCATGCCTGTTTCTGCCCATCCTTCCACTGTGAGAAGACAACTCAACATTATGAGTGTGAAAGGATGTGTAGCTGTCAAGAAGTTGTTACTGACAAAAGGAAACTGCCAAAAAGAAGAAATTCGCCAACCAAACAATAAACTGCTGGCATCAGACATAATTTAACGTGTTTGGGACTCGGATCATGCTCAGCAGAAAATGTGACTAACTTCTATGACTGAACTGTGGAGGTGTGGAAAAATATCCATGCAGATTTCTCTGAAAAACTGAAAGCACACACACACACACACACACATATGCATCTTCTATGCCGCTTATCCTTCTGGGTAAAACTGAAAGCAAAGTCAGACTAAATTGAACAACTTGATTTTATATTTAGTTGCTAATGTTTGTGTGTAATGTCTTGTTAAACACATACATACATCATCTAAACCGCTTATCCTTCTGGGTCGCGGTGGGGTGCTGGAGCCTATCCCAGCTGTCATTGGGCAGAAGGCAGGATACACCCTGGACAGGTCGCCAGTCCATCACAGGGCAGACAGACAGACAGACAGACATACACAGTCACACACACTAACATCTAGGGGCAATTCAGCATGTCCAATTGGCCTAACTGCACGTTTTTGGACTGTGGGAAGAAACCGGAGTCTCCGGAGGAAACCCACGGAGACACGGGGAGAACAGGCAAACTCCACACAGAAATGACCCTGGTCGCCCGGCTGGGAATCGAACCCAGGCCGTTCATGCTGTGAGGCGACAGCGCTACCCACTGCGCCACCGTGCCGCCCCTTGTTAAACACATGCTTTCCATTTATCTGAAAAATTAATAACCTAATGACCATTTTGACTGGATATTAAATAAATGAAAAGGCAGTCTTTGACTTTTGCATGATACTGTAAATAAATGCACACATTAACCCTCCCCAAACAAAGAAAGACATTTCAATTGATATATAAAGGAACGCGAGCAGACGGTTTATTACATGGATTTCAGAGTCTAGTAAGTACAAGTGCTTGATTTAAATTTGCGTGTAGCTTAATGAATGCAGTTGCCATTTAATGAGAGATAAATCAGATAAACAGTTAACAAACTGTAATTGCATTTGGTTAAGAGCAGTCTGACAAACATCTTAGCACATCTGCTATTTCCTTGGTGAAGGAGGGCAACCTTGAGAATGATTTTCTTCATGCCACATCTGAAAAAATACAGCCCCTCCACACAACTCCAAGAGTCCCCAGTGCATATGTAGGCCTGCCTGCGCTGTGTATTAGTTTTCGGCAGTGATCTGTTTGTGAAATCCTGTCAGGGTGAATGACCATTATTTCTAATAGATGGCAAAACAGCAGACCTCCCTAGAAAGCTTTCACTGCTAAGATTTATGCTGGCACTTGAGAGTTTGCTTCATATTCCAGTCCATAACATAAACATTCAAAGACTATCCCTGCTAAAATCGACAGCAGTTGTTGCATCATTGATTTTTTATTTAGCAGATTGGTTTGTATGACGGCATAACCAAATTTGGCCCTAAAAGGCCATTTCAGAGAGCTATTCTGAGGATCAGATAGCAGTGAAAAGCAGTGAATGAATGCATATAAATTCTGAAAATGCAAAGCGTCATGTCATGGAAGAAAGAAACTACTTGTTATTGCAGTTTGTGCCCGTGCTGCACATAAAAACATGGAGGCATATAACTGACCTTGGCACTAAGAGACAAGGCTGTTCTGAGGTAATTTTTTTTTAATCTCTACCACTCTATTAAAGATGCCACTGCATCAATCTGTCCACTTCTAGTACTGTCGTACAAGATGCCCATTACTTATGACATCCAATAAAACCTGAGAGTGCTTGGTCAAATCTTAGCTGATGAGTCATAATGCTCAGCTCCTGCTCAAATAATCAAAAACATGTCAAAGCTACTTTTACTCTCCACAATGACCACTGGACGCCCTCCAAAAAAACAGAATCTGGCACAAAGAGGTACTCCTCTAAGTCAGGGGTGTCTAAATTCGGTCCTTGAAGACAAGAGACCAGCATATTTGGGTGATTTCCCTGATTGATCATACCTATAAATACAGTTTAAGGAGAAAAACCATCTTACTGTGCTGGCCTGCAAACATCAAGACTGGAGCTGTCTCAGTTATGCCCTATTAAAATGCAGTATTAACGTGATTATAGCACACCGTCATCCTTGGTCCTCTCCAGCACAGGGGGGCTGCTGAGCTGGCCATCTCCTATGCGCGTGAAGGCCAGCACCTGGATCTCATACTGCACGTATTTGCGCAGGTTCCTCAGCAGTGCTGACTGTGTCAGGTTCCCCTTTACCAGCTGCACCTGCGGCTCTGCACCAGATCCCTTCTCTCTGTAAAGCACCTGAGAAAACACAGAGGAAGGGCATTAGACTCAGTTTCAGCATATTTAGCACAGCAATTCCCAACCCAGGTCTTAAAGTTTCCCTGTCCATAACTGTGGGAAATAGGGTGTGGTATTGCTGTCCAAAACATGTATCCCCATATTTTCCAATTTCTATTTTTCTGCATCATTTAAACAGCTGTTCTTTACATGGTGTGAAAAATTCATGATGAATGGACCAACAGAAATGTTTGTTCTTGATCTTAAGCCAGAACATTAGCTGCTCTGACAATCAGCAGCAGGAAGTTTCTTAAAATGGCGAACGAATCCCTTAGTAGTCTCTTAGTGCACAATGAAATAAAAAAAAACTCTGTAGCCAAGTCTGAAGCCAGAAAGTTGATCAGCTCATCTAACTTCTGAGTACCTAGGCAAGAACATCAAATCCACGCCACTGCCGCTCCACAGACTGATGTGCGTTCTAGGTGTATTGTGTAATGATGCTTTTGCTATACATTATCAATAGGCAGACTACCTGTTACCACTAATGGTATCTATCAATGTATATATGGATACTATGTATTATAATTCAGCGCCACTCACTGTGCATAACAGAGTGCACTGTTTCAAACTGCTTTCAATGCGAGGAACAATGTTGCTGTTTTTGGGGCATACAATGCCTTATTTTTGCATCCTTGGTGGACTTTTTTTGTGCTGTGTGCAAAGTTGAAAAGATTTTAACTCAAAATAGTCACGTAGTCCATGATATTTGTGTTTTTCTTCTGTGCTGACCAATCAGATGAGTGTGAAGGCGGGCCAGTGGACAGTATGTAAACACTGAGAGAAAAGACTAGTGGTTGCAGTCACCACTTAGGCTAAGCTCTTTGATTTTATAGCTCCAAATTATCAAGATGTACCCATATGACAGCTAGCGAGCTATGCCAGACATAACTTAACTAGCTTTGAGGGAGCTAAACCACAGCTGATTGACACTTAATAACACTACTGATGCTTTGCAACAGAGAAAAGTGCAGCCAGAAGTGTTAAAAAACAGTGTAAACTCCCAAGGAAGAGTGATCGCCTGCTTATTAATTATGAGTGTAGTTAAAGTTGAGGTGGGCAACTGACTTTATATTATATTTATCTTTATTTTATATTTATCTTGATACATTTTGTTATTGTGATTAATAAAATGCTTTCTGAGCATATCATTGATATCGTCTTTAGCTAAAGAACACTGACCAGCTGCATGTGTCATGTGTCAGCTGCATGTGCGTACACATGCACTCAATAATCCGGTCCAAAAATCCAATAATAATGGTCATGTAAACACCATACTCCAATCTAGAAATAGAGCTGAATTTTAGCTCAGTAATCAGGTTTCTTAGCGCATGTAAACTCATACTCCGTTTTTTATCGGATTTCTCAGTCTGCGCATGCGTGAGAACAGACGGAGGATGTTGCGAGATGGCAGCAAAACACTGTTGGAGCAGCGCTAAAACCAAAGACAAAATACAGGATTTGAATATTCTTCATCTTCTAGATGATGTAAGTTCATATTTTCAAAAAAAGCAGTGGTATTAAGTTTGAGTTTTACATTATGTTTACGTCACGTCTTCTTCTGTGAGTCTATTGGCTGGTTGCAAAACAGAAATCCGATTATTGTCTGACTCGTGTAGACCCAGAGTTTCCCATTATCTCATTACTCAAGTGCATTAAACGTGTTGATTGGATTACTGACAAACTGATTTTCTGCAGTTATCGGATTATTGAGTGCATGTAAAGGCACTCATTGTTTTTGATGCCAGTTTTATGTGGCACTACTAGTGTATTGTGTTTGTATCCAAATATTACGATACGTCATGAACTGTGATAAGGTTTTTAAGTATTGTGATATGATATTTTTTACCACATTAAATATATATAACACGTGATCTTAGATCTGCAGCTTCTGGCTTCTTCTGGTTATTATTCTTCTAAACTGTGGAACTTAATTCCACCTTTTATTAGACAGTCAAGCTCAGTGCTCACTTTTAAGAAACATTTGAAAACGTATCTCTTTAACTTAGTGTTTAATTAAAACTCTATGTCTTTTTGGTATTTATCTTCTTAATTTGACCTATGTCACAGTCTTACATGATTTTAAATTAATACTTGTAGTTTCTTTCATTACTGTTAAGCTTTATCACCTGTCTGTAAAGCACTCTGAGCTGTCATCAGCATGAGAAATGCTCTATAAATAAAGATAATGGGCCTCATTCACCAACTGTTTTTTAAGAATTTCTTCTTAAAATCCACTTACACAGTTTTTACAAGGATTGTGACATTACTATTATCATTATAGTGCCCAACCCAAGTTTTTTGTTTGTATTTATATTCTTTCAAAGTGTAGAAAAGCAAAACATGGTTGTATTATTTTATTAGATACTGCTATTTCACCATCAAAATGGCATTTCTCTCCAGTTAAGCTTCAAAATCATCATCAACCCTTTCAAAAACAACCCCTAAAAAGTGGCTTTTTTTGCCTTTTAATTTACTCTTCTCTTTTGATAACGTGAATGCTGTGGCCACATTTATTTATTGTGATATGTAAAGAACCTTTTCCAATAAAGCCAAAAATTCACAGATTTTTTTTGCAGATATCACCTTGAGCAAACAAAAACCTGAATAGGAATACACTTCACATTTCAGTCACCTCTGATTAAAGTCTGTGTAAGGGAAATTCAAAGAGAGCTGTTTATAAACACATTATACATGTTAGAAAATAAATGCTGAAAACATGTGAAAAGACTGAACTATGTAGTAGTGAATTGTGGAGTTAGACCATTAAACCATTTTTCATCACTTTTGTGTTCAGGATTTTTTGGGTGGGTCTAAAGTCACGGCTCAATGACATAATGGAGCCATGCTTAGTTCGACCCCTCTCAGAATTTTCCTGTTCCACCTTAAAGCAGTCACATTTGGAGAAGATGAAGCTGAAGTCTTGAGAGAGGCTGCACCTTTCCCACGATTGGCTGTGGTTTCAGCGCCTTCAGTAGACACTCTCCCAGTGTTCAAGAGCAGAAAATACTGCTATTTTTTCATGATTTTTACATAATTGGTGATTTTTTAATCACTCAAATTTAGCTGTGTGGTTAATAACACATTTTAAAGAAATCAATAATAAGCTCTTCCTGTTTTAAATATGCATATATGTTAGCTCAGAAACTACTGCAGTGCATCCCACAATAAAGGCAACATGTGCGTGTTTTCTATATTGACAGAAAACACTGTAGCATACTGAAAGCTCCAATTCCACATGCTGAAACTTTTTCATATGCTCATTGTGTATATGTACAGTAGGGTCTAAAAGTCTGAGACCACACTGAAAATCCGGGATTGTTTTCATTTAATCCTGGAAATTATTAAAACAATTATTAAAACAAAGAGAAGTTATAACAACTAAAAGGAATAAGATTCAGCACTGTTTCTGGTCACTATTCCAATTTAAGCAAATTTGTATCACTGATCATATTGAGGCCTTTGAACAAAAAGATATTTTTCCTTCTATTGAAGCTCATGTTCAGACGATTCTGAACAGGTGGATTTGAAAAGCAAAACATGGTTGTATTATCTACTCATCAGAGGCTTTTGTCACTAGCGATCAGAGTCCATGCCAGCACAAGTACAAGCTTTTATTAAAGCAAAAGCAGGACAAATTCATGAAAATATTTCAAAGATTCTGCTTTGCAGGCAGATCGTTCTGCTGATAATATAATTTGTTGCATTAAATTAGAAAAGAATGCAAATAAAGGCATTTTCAGTAGTGGTTTCAGACTTTTGGTCTCCACTGTACGTGTCCTGACAACACTTGACTACAAGGGGAGTCTCTAAATGTATTACTGACATTTTCTTAGCTAAGTAAGAGTTAACAAGCCCTTACTGACATGAAACCTATGGACACTCATGACTGAGCATTTCTGTGTACCTCTGTAAGCCAGATTGCAGACATTTTGGCGTATGTTATATTATCATCATCTCCTGTTGTGGCTCCAGTGATTCCATCTTTCCACCATCTTTTACTATCAGGTCTGAAGTATTCTTCCCACATCCTTCCCTGTTTGAATCCTCGTATCTCTCTCTGTTGGTGACCTTTGCATATGTCGATGAAATTAGTTTAAAAGGTAAGCTTTTTATTTTTTTGTCCATTGTATTTCTCATTTTAATGTAAAGAATGGAAAATGAAAAAAGCTGAGAATTCATTATTTAAATGTATGATGTACATGAAACAATCCATGTTTGTTTTAAGGGGCTGAAATGAAAAAAAGAAAAGAAATATTTTTTCGTTTTTGATTTCAAAATGGATGTGTTTTGAAAGGAAGATACATGGATTCACCAGGGCTAGGGACCACTGATGTATCAGACCGCTCATCATACGAATCTGACACAGACATTTGAAACGGGCTTGATATCATATTTAGAAAACACAAGGTTAATCTTTCCTCAGCTCAGCAATATGGCAGAACTGGATGAGGTACCTCTGGGTCCTCTTTTTTCAGCAGGGTGGGTTTCCGATAAAGCCTGCCACCTGTCTTAATTACTGTTGATTTTAGACCAGAGGAGCTGCTCTGAACATATGAGTTCACAACTCCTCATCCTACCACAAATATTTGCCCTTCCATAAGCACTAGACTTTCAATTAATGCATTTGCCATCCAGTTAATTACCAAGAGCGAAGAAAAGAGACAATGGTACATTAGACATTAATAGTTAATGGGAAAGTCTCAGAAAAAGTGGATAATCTTACAATCAATCTTGATATACAGTTCCATAATGGTTATTTCAGTTATGAAATGCTATAGTTCCTGTCTTTATTTGCAATAATGATTTGTTCAAAACTAATCTGAGGTCATTAGCCACGTTTATATGCAGCCTAATAATCCATTAATAATCCGACTAATAGCTCAATCGGAATAGAATACGTCCATGTATACACTTCAATCGGAATAGACTAGTCCGATTGAGGCCATTCGGAATACAATTTCTATCCGATTGAAAGAGGTGGGTAATACTGTAAATAATCCATTAAATAGAAGGATAATAGCCATGTAAACGCCTGTATCTGATTATATTTCCAATCAGAATGTGTAAGTATGTTCTGCGCATGTGCGTTCGCATCATAGCAAAAGCAGAGAACTCATAAACCGGCTCTGGCAAAAGTTTATAACGTTCAACATGGCGGGAGCAGAAACTGGTCTGCAGAGGAGACGAAGTTTATGCTTTGAGCTTTAAAAGACGGCGGTGGGACGGACATCCTGCTTATGTGTCTCAGAACACGATGTCTTCCTCTCGGACTTCTTTAATAACGACATGTGAGGTACATTTTTCTGAGTCTGACATCTTTGTAAAGTAATTAAAAACATAAGCACGCCAACTGAAAACTCATCTCACTCTGACTGGACTCCTGTGATGTTCGCTGTCATGGTAAAGTTTACTCTAAGTGGTACTCCACGCATGCACGTCATTTTGGATCGGATTACTTGTGCGCATGTAAACAAAGATTTTCTATCAGATTGTTTAATAGAGTGTGCATATAACACCTCAGTCTGTAACCATCTCATCTGTAATCGGAATGTATTTAATTGGATTGGCAAAAATCTTTGCATGTAAACATGACCATTGAGACTTGTACATCTTTAACACTGCAAAGCAAAGAAAACTTAGTAAACACTTTAGTATAGGGGGCATAATAATGCCCCTGTAATGCTCTTATTAAGCCTTATCAAGCCAACAGCTGGTAATTAAATGGCACTTTTATTTGCGTATTACACATCACTGTTTGTCATCTGATTGTCTGGCGAAGCATTAGTTGGTCGTCTTCATATTAAACAAGGATGTGCAAAGGATTATGATGTATAATATACAAAGGAAGGTGCTTAATAATTTAGTAATGAGCAGATAATTCTCAGCTTGATAAGGCTTAATAGGAACATTACAAGGACATTATAATGCCTCCCTATACTTAAATGTTACTGAAAATTTACATTCTAAGAAGTTGCTTCATCCACTGTGAACCAGCTGTTTTTGTTTTATTCCATTTTAAATTAATCAATAAAATATGAGGGCATTTTTCAACGCAGCCAGCAAAATTAGATACCTCCGTCAGCTTGAATAGAAAAATATATTTTAAGAGGAACCTGCAGGGGTTACAAACAGTAGGAACATGCTGAACTGCTATGAATAAGAAAGCACAATGCCATCTCCTCTTAGCGAAAGCATCTAGTCTTGCATGACATTTCATCATATGGAGTGTGGTCCAAGGGCCTATGAGGGCTTGATCACGCATGAAAGCAAAGCCTTTACTCTGTTAAGAAACATTTATTCAGCGGAGTGGAGGGCTTGTATTTTCCAACTAGTTTTACTTTGCTCTACGAGTATCCCTCCCTGTAAATGCCTTGACTGCAGCACTACCTTATATCCCAGGATGTTGCCGTTCTGCTCAGGCTCTGGCACAGGTCCCCAGGTCACCAGAATACGCGTGGAGCTCATGGCCTCAGCCGTCACGTTCTCTGGAGCTCCTGAGGGCACTGCTCAAAGACAAGGCCAAACAAGGCCAAACGGCAATCAGATTTTCACCTAAATCACAGACTAAAAGTCTAGAAGCAACACAGAAGAATCAGAATCAGAGCCTTTTTTCTGTTGATGTTACGACATATGTATGTATAAAACGGAATAGTGGATATACGTATAGATAACAGAGAGAAATTTGTTTATTAACACTGAATGAAAATGGCTAGACTACATGTCTGCAGCAGTAGCATACAAGTGATTCTTAATTTATTTTGCTGCTGGTGATAATCCTGCAGACTTATTGCAGCTCTAATCATATCCACCTCATTCTCACATTCAGATGCTACTTAAATTTTGATTTAGGTACTGAGTCGGGTGCATAAAATTAAAAGTTTGTGAACAGATTAATAACTAAATAATTAAGTAACTAGACAAAAGGAAACATAGTGTTTTGGGTTGGTTGTTGGCAAATACGAACCTCAATTCCAAAAAATTGAGACAGGCAAGATAAGACAATTAATCTTTTACCTTATCAACTTCGTTTTTTTGTAAACATACATTCATTCCAAAAGTGATGCCTGTAACACTTTCCAAAAAAGTTGGGGCAGAGGCAATTTAAATAGATGTAATCATGCTTGGGTATAAAAGGAGCATCTAGAAAAAGCCTAAAGCTTTGCAAGCAAGGATGGGTCAAGATGCGCCATTTTGCTAAAAAATGCATCAGTGAATTAATTTAAAACAATTAAAGAACAATTTTCAACAAGCATCTGCAATGATATTATATATTTCATCCTCTATATTGCATAATATCATCAAAAAACTCTGTCCCAACCTTTTTGGAATTGAGGTTTAAACAATTAAATTAACACTTAACTGTGAAACAAAACAAAAAAAATACTGCTTTCATTCTTTTGGCCTGCAGTGTATGTCAGGTCTTAACACACAGCTCCAGATGTTGTGCAACTATTTAGGCTGGATTAGATGCCTCCCCAGTGTCAGCAATGGAGGAGTGGGAGGGGAAGCAAGAGGCTAAAGTAAACAGCATTAGCATTAGTGTGTGCTTTGAGCAGACACAGTTGGGTACAGGGAGGGTGTTAGAGCATACACCTCTGAAAGACTGAAAAACACATACTGGTAGCCAGGCTTCATCGGGCAAATGCCCAGCTCACCCTGGGCCCCTCTGCACCATTAATGCACAGCACCCCCATTAGAGATCAGCCCCTCCAGACGCACCTCATTTTCTGATTACAGTTGGCCAGACACGGCCTTCCAAATGGCTTTATTAAAAGGCTGATTCTCACCGGTTCTGCTCGGCTTTGCAGGAGCTGGGAGGCCACAGGGCTCACTTATGGGTGTCTCGCAGGGAGGAGGATAAAAGATAAGTGGCAAAACCAGGCCGCGAGGCAAGGCAATCAGCGCTTAGCTTATCAGCACCGGAGGCATGTAGTCAGAGCTGCGGTGAGAATTAGCCAAGAAACGCTGCACTGAGAGCGGGAAGGAGGCCACTGCGATGAACGCACAAAGAGAGTGAAATTGAATCGGAGAACCACCTGTTTACATTTCGAAATGTGATTAACAAGAGAATGGAAATTTCCAGATGCGTGCTCTGGGAAAGGGGGCTTTATTTCAAAAGGCATCTGCTGGAGATGCACTGACTGGAACAATGTTGTTTTGTTTATTTCAGGTGACACGGCGGCTGTGTATCTGTGTGTCTCCTCACCTGACTCACGTGTGCGGCCTCTCACCGGCTCGCTCCAGGGCCCGGGGCCGATGGAGTTGAAGGCTTGGATCTGCAGCAGGTACTCAGTCCACTCCTCCAGCCCCTCCAGTGTGATCTCTCGCTCCAGCCTGTCATTCACCACCCGCGTGCTGAAATCACCTTGCTGATCCGCACGCCACAAACGCACTCTATAACCCACACTCTCCGGATTACCATTATACTCCGTCTCTGGCAGAGGCTGAGAGAAAGAGAGTGAGGGAAATACGGGGAAATTAAAAAAAAGAATAAGAAATGAGAAAAGGGGAAAAAGAGGGTGAGAGAAAGAAAATGAGAGAAAGTGAGAGATGGAGAGAGAAAGAGAGATGGGAAGAGAGATAGATGGAGTGAGAAAGAGAGATATGAAGAGAGAAAGAAAGGTAAAAAGAAACAGAGAGAGAGAGAGAACCAAAAGAGAGAAGGAGATTGCCAGATCAAGAACGATAGAAAGAAAGAAAAGGACAGAGAGAGAGAGAGTAAAGAAAAAGAGAGGGAAAAAGAGTGAGAGTGAAAGAGAAAAAGAGTGAGAGAGAGAGAAAGGGGAAAAAGAAGAGAGGAAAAGACAATGATAAGAGAGAGAGAGAAAAAGACAGAGAGGGAAAGAGAGAATGGAAAGAAGAAACAAAGAGAGGGAAAGAGAAAGAAGCAGAGAAGAGAAAGAGATTGACAGAGCAAAAGGGAGAAAGAAAGAATGAGTAAGAGGGCTCACACTCGCTTTTTCACACACTGGAGCGGCTGCATTGTGCCTGGCCTTGCCCGGTGCTGCGATGGGCAGCCTATTAAATTGACATGCCCCAATAAAAGAATAACTCATGCTTGATTATGCTTCATCATCCTTATGCGTCTTCAAATCGACTTAACAATTTTGGTAGCGCTCCAAAAAAATTAGGGTAATGTCACAGACTGGCCAAACCATCAGCGCTTGTTCACTTTTAATCTGAACAGTAAAGAGCTTCAATTCAAGAAGCTCAATTTGGGCCCAGGCTCCCACATATCAGTATTCTTTATTTCACAGGGAAATCAATAGATGTCTAGAAGCAGCCTGCATTCAGTAGAACACATTTAATACAGGATAATGACCCTATCTACAAGAGCTATGTGAAAGAGGTGGGATGTCCTTACCTCAGTTCTTTCACTGTTATTTTCTTACATGGATCACTTCTCCGAAAGACACAGTAAAAAGAAATGAATAGGCCTGAATAATGCAGCTGAACTCACCTACTCGGGCACTCAGTGCCACTGTATTTAGCTCAGCTCAATTCTCTCTCCCCAGACCAGACTTTGTAATAATATATCGCTTCAGCGCTTTCCATGGAAACCGGCAGAGCTACAAATGTCAGGGTGGTATGAACTACACAAGGTAATGTTTTACAGTCCCAATATGAGTGGGCTTTTGTACTGAGATGATTTGCAGAGAAAATGTCTCAAAAGTTTTTACAATTTTTGCCCTTCTGAAAACAACAGAAGGGTAAATGTTCACCAGGGAGACTGTGCCTCTTTTGGGCCATGCTATGCCAGGATACTTTTAAATAATCTGTGTGCATTTGTGTGTATGTGTGTCCAATAACCCCAAAACAGCCGAAGAAGGTCAGGCAGGTTATGTACAGTACCAGTCAAAAGTTTAGCCTAGCCTACTCTTGAAATGGTTTCCTTGTATTTTCCACATTTTGTAATAATAATAAAGACATTAAAACTCTAAAAGCTCACCTGGGATGCTTTTCTAACAGGCTTGGAAAAGGTCCACATGTGCTGAGCACTTGTTAGCTGCTGAAAACTGCATTTTGAAACATTTTGAAAAAAATTTACAATTTTAATTCTGGAAATTAATTCACACATAGGCATCAACTTTTTTATTTATGTTTGCCCTACAAACAAATTTCAAATCTACACATTAAGATGTTTTAAAGAGCCCATATCATGGAAAAAAACTTTTTTTTTTCTGTTTTTTGAGATAAAAGCATTTGATGTAATATGTAAAAATCATCTGTTACATATATCCATCTATTAAGTCAACAGCACTTTAACCCTGTCAACTCAAGTTACAAGTAATGTTTCAGCCCAGACTGCTTAGTGAATGAAGATCATTATAGGACAGCCAATAAGAACAGGGTTATTTACATATTTCAGTCTTAAAGGCACAGTAGCAAAACAGCTTGTTTAATTCTAAAGGATAAAGAGAGGTTGGATCACTGGAGTATGGGCCCTTTAGGACGATGAGAAACTAGTAATGCCAGAGTTAAAGCTACACTATGTAAGAACTGGGGATTTAGCGACCTCTCTGGTGGAGCCCTTCCCTGAACAGATGAATGTGATGATTGTGAGTGTATTGAAAGAGTATTTAAAGAGAACTTAGTCAAAACCCGGTGAAGGATATGTCCTCCGAGCATGTGAGTAAATAATCTACTTTTGTCATCATATCTTCATCAGTATAATGTTGATCTTGCATTTGAGACATAAACATCATTCCGGATCTTCTTTTTGAGTCTGGGCGTGTGACGTTAATACGTAACGACGCGTGACGTGGTCATTAAAATGCCTGTTAAATCTGATCCGACACCTCTGACTTTTAAATGACTCTTTCAGTTTTTACAGGGAGACTCGCAGCAGAGCACACACACAATATCTTTTAGCATGTTTTTTCTCTTGACTCAGAAATGCTACTTCTTTAAATTTTAATAAAAAAACGTACACAGTGCGGCTTGTTGTTATTAAAGACCAGCCTGAAGGCCAGCCGCTCGCATGCTGTATGCTGCATGTTGTATGACTCTGCAACTGTAGCCTTCTTGTTCAAATACAGCTTTTGTTCCATTGATGGCTCTGTTGATAAAAGTTATTTCCAGCTACTGCCATGGTGAATTTGTTAATCAATATTTAAAGTAAGCAAAACACATGACTGATGCCAGTACTACTTGATCAGTGCTATCAGTAATGTTAGGACTGGAGGAGAGGAAGCCTATTTGACTATTTTTGGACAGAGCTTATAGGAGAAATCTGGATAAATGAACAAGCAGAAAACAGCAAAGTGGAAACCTATGGTTCCCTTCCAAAGAAGACACAATGCAGCAGTATAAGAGTGATGGGACTACAATTAGGCTGCATTGAGATGGCTGAGCATATTCTTCTGAAAATGCAATTATATACTACAGCAGGTTGTGGATTTCACTGGCTCCACTTCTTTCACGGCAGAATGCATTTTTTCCACCATGCACTGCAGACTTTTCTGTCGTGGATTGAGTTGGCCAAAAATGTTCAGCTCCAGCATAAGAAAAGCTCTGCTCATCATGCGTCACATTTCACAAGGTAACCATTTAAAAAAGAGGGAGGGTAAAATTTAACCGGAGAGTGAAATAATGCGATCAACTGCGCTGAACCATTTTAATTGCTTGACAGCCCTGACAAACATTCAATCGGGTGTGTCCAAACTTTTGACTGGTACTATACACTGTAAAAATCCAGTAGCACACACAATCAGACCAGTTCTTGTTGATTTAGCAAAGCTCTAAATGGTGAATGACACTTGAAGTCCAGTAATCACTTTAATTACAAAATGAACAAACAGAAGTGTGGCTTAAATAATCAAACTTAAAGGGCTCATTTCATGGAAAATAAGAGAGTTGATGTAGTACATAAACATCATCAATGTTTCAAAACGTACCATTCACTCCCTACTACATTCAGTCCATACATGAAAATGAAGCTGCAAAAACAGCATGTTTTGAATTCACTAGTTTTGTGAGGTCACAAAAATGAACATGTTTACATATCTTCCTGTTCCTGTTTAGTCTATTCATGCTGAAGGTATAAGTAGTGTTTCCCAGAGACACAAAAGCTAGCATGAAAACGGTCTGCTGATGGAGAACACAGTATAGATTAACACAGAGAATAGACAGAGAGGAGCTCATACCACCCATCGCAGCCACACACTGGTCTCACTGGCTGTTCGTACAGTCACGCTGCCAGGGGCCATATCTGGAGGGGCCTGCAGGGTCTGGATCACCCGCGATGGCTCACTGGCCGTGCTGGAGCCCACTATGTTTACTTGGCGCATGCGGAACCTGCAACAACCCACAAATACATTCGCTTTGGTACCATCGCACAGTGCTGCTGTGGAGAATAGACCACCTGAGCACACGGACTTGCAAGGTGGAAGTGAAACAGCTGTACAGGCAGCAAAGTGGCCCCATGCTTTACAATGCACATTCTAATTGCTGCAATTAGCATAAAATCTTAATTTATCAGAGAGTCAAACAAATGGAGGGACTGCAATGACATCCATAAGGTCTGACACAAATTGCAGAGAGGAGAAAAAACACAGAGGCAGAGCAGTTCATCAAACCCCTCCTGGTAAATGAGAGAAAAACACCACTGAGGGGAAAAGAACAGGTCTGATGAGGAGCAGCTCTTCTCTGTGGTGTGTATGTACTGACCTGTAGTGAGTGAAGGGGGTGAGGTTGGGCACCTCCAGTACTTGAGCTTCTGGATCATTCTCCTTCTCGTACAGCACCTTCCACTCATCTTCTTCTCCAGTATTGCCCACCTGCACATCAGAAACTCTTAAAGACTTCATGCTGACCACCGCAGGAAAAAAATGAGGCAAACTACACAATCTATACCTTATTCACTGATCAGCCATAACATTAAAACCATCTCCTTCTTTCTACGCTCATTGTCCATTTTATCAGCTCCTCTTACCAAATAGGTGCACTCTGTAGTTCTACAACTAAAGAATGTAGTCCATCTGCTTCTCTGCAACTAGCCGCCTTTTACCCTGCCCTTCAATGGTTAGTACCACAACGAGACCACCACAGAAGAGTTACTATTTGTGTGGTGGATTATTCTCAGCACTCGGTGACACTGACTTGGTGGTGGCAAATTAGTGTGTGTTAGTGGATCAGACACAGCAGTGCTGCTGGAGTTTTTAAACACTGTGTCCAACCACTGTCCATTTTATTCGACTCACCTTGTTGGTCCACCTTGTAGATGTAAGTCAGAGACAATAGCTTATCTGTTGCTGAACAGTTTGTGTTGGTCATCCTCTAGTTCTTCGTCAGTGGTCACAGGAGTCTGTCCACAGGACACTGTTAGCTGGATATTTTTGGTTGGTGGACTATTCTCAGTAACACTAAGGTGTTTAAAAACTTCAGCAGCACTGCTGTGTTTGATCCACTCGTACCAGCACAACACACACTAGCACACCACCATCATGTCATCATGGCTGATAGGTGTATATAGTGTAGTATAAAGCTAGTTAAAAGAGTATAATGCAGCACAGCTTGAGGATACTGATTATAGAGGATCGACTGTGTGGTTTCTTACTCTGTATCTCACTCTCCTAGGGACAAAATTCTGGCTTTGAGATGGCTGCTATTACTGTTTAACTATGGTATGTATGGTACTACGCAAAAGTAACACAACACCCTTGTTTTATTTTGTTTCTAGTCAAAACAGCTATTAAGTAAAAGTTATTCATTTATCAGTGTCAGGAAAAATGCATAAGTCTCAACAACTAAATGCAATGTTTTTTGCCTTTATACTTTATCACAGCTTCCATTCTTTTTGTGAGACTTGGTTTCAGTTTTTCAAAGAAATCTGCAAAGATATTTTGCACACCTTCAAAGTTCAGTCTTAAAAGTTGGCTGCATTTATTGCTTCTTATGATCCAAGCAATCCCAAACACATTCAGTGATGTTGAGGTCTGGGTTCTGGGGTGGTCAGTCCACTGCTCTGAGAACACCAGCAGCTTTTTTGTTTGATTCACAAATGTTATTTTTTTTGTCTATTTTCTTTTCTTGTCGCCTTGACAGCTACACATCCTTGCAGACTCATAGTGTTGAGGTGTCTTCTCACAGTGAAAGGATGGACAGAAACACCTGTGGATTTTTTCAGATATGAAGCTTGATTTTCTCCTGTCTCTCAAAGATAAAAGCTTTAAGTGCTGTTTTCATTTGTTTTCCTTTAACTTTCCCCTTCCGTATGCAAACAAATTATTTTAAATTGAATGGCCAATATCTTGGCTGTGTTGTGCAGTAAATGAAGGTGGACTGACCTTTGCACAGTACTGTACTTTGTGTATTTTTATAGATAAATATCATCATACAGTGTCAGAAACTACATAGGTAAGTCTATTGGAGATCACTTAAGAATTTAGACTGAAGCAAGGGTGAGATCATATAGGTATGCAGTTTATACAAGGCTAATTGGTATTGACATGCTTTCATTATTTGTAGTTAATTATAATTCATTAATTTACACCCTAGCATATATTAGATTTTTAGCCAAATTAGTCATTAGACTAGCTAAATTCCTGATTTCCTTTCTAAATTCCTAAAAGTTGACAGGGTGCGCTGGGCTTGTTTGGGGTTCAGAGCTTCGTCCTCTGCCTGAATAAAATCTGTCTCTCTAACGGCATGGCCTGAGCACTCTCCTGAGGGCACTCCACACAGTTTGCAGTAAGTGTGTGATGATTTAGGAATGTAGTTTCCACAATGCTAAATGCTATTTGGAGGTGTATAAGCTTTAACCTCACAGCTCCAGTGAAGAACTAAAGAAGCAAACTTCTGACCCCTAACACGCTTTAGCTGATCAACTACATTTTGAGTAAGTGGAAAACTGTGTAAATCAGACTATTCACTGAACAGTTCCTTTAAAAGTATTTAGAAATATTAGCAAGGCCAAAAGCAGGGCAGGTTAAAGTGCTCTTTAAGCTGCACACCCCAGATACGGTGCACGTTTCAGGACCAACGTGCAGGCCAGGTCTGAACCAATCAAATCTCAGAGAGCTCAGGGAGATTTACGATGACCAATGGGGTGTACTGGATGTGGTAAGCATTTATGCCAACGTGATCGATGTGCGACGCGTGGCACCTTATGCTGGTGACTGCTGCTGTATTTCATAGCTTGTGTGTATGCACCAGCTCACAACCCCCCCAACACACACAGTGACGGATTTCTGCAGCTGTAGATAGCCCTGCCTCAATCAACTTAGCAATTCAAGTGCCTCTAGATGAAAAGCCGAGCTTTCCCTCAGCAAGTTCGTGGCCGACTCTGGTCTAGAAGGTTAAGTCAATTACAAATTACAAGTTGGTGGCATGATTCAATCTCTCGTCAACTTTTGAAGAAGTCACCTGCAGTACGAGTGGGATGCGCATCCGCTAAGATATTTTTCAAAGGTGCAGAGGACGCTGTCAGAGTTAATGGAAATTTTCAGAGATTTCTGCAGAAATGCAGAGGAGCAAAGTGATGCATACTAGACCTGAACTTGCTGAATGATCGACTCAGCGTTGACAAAGCCCTATGATAACAGCTAGCTTCACTAAACACTTTTTAACTTTGTTTTTACCTTTGCTCATAAGAAAGCACTAAGATATTGCTCATAATACAGTTGTATGCAAAAGATTGAACACCCCTAGTCAAATCACACATTTCTAAATGCGTCAATAAGTTTACACTCTACAGATTCAACACTTAAATCTGGCATTTTTCTGCAAATTGTTGTGCACAATTTTGATTTTTTTGTTGAGTTTCACAATTTTTTTTATAAAATATACTATAACTTTTGCACAGGCCACATTTATCTCATATATTAAACTCAGTAAATAAATAGTAATAGTGCATTAAAATGTGTAGAAGTGTGTTCTCTGTAGAGGATGTATACTTCTTTTTTATTTAAAAAAGACATATAATTTGACCAGAGGTCTCTACACCCTTGCATACGATTGTATATGTTATACTGATGCATTACATCAAAACTGCACATGGGAAGTGGTGACATCATCTCAATCAATCTTAATCAAAATCTTTAAAAGGATGCAAGTTTTTTCATTAATGTTATAATACATAATCATACAACAGCCAGGCACAGACAGGTTTGCACAAGCCAGTGAATTTTCTTGCCAATGAATCTTGTGACCAAAACTTGCTGTATACACATTGTATTTAAAATTAATAAGCATGCTTTGGTACCTTGGCATAACGACAGCTTATTTAACACCTCATTAAGTTGGCTTGACAAAGTTTTTCATTTCATTAATATTTTTTTGGTAGCGTTTTCATGGCTTGCAGTTTTCAAGCTAGAACCATGAAACTTTGCAGGATCGCAGGGCCTATATGGAAATAGTGCACTATTAACTATTCACTATGTACTTTTGGGACCAATCGCCAGTATGGCTCTTGGGGAGCGCTTGTTCACTTTTTTGCCCTTAGGAAATGAATGACAGAATGTTCACCGTAGTGACTATAACCGCCTCAAATTATGTCACTAAGGCAAATCTCTCACCCTCATAAATATTACATGCAGACTCACGTACATACTAGTACATGAGTATTATGAGTAGTATATGAGGACAAAAATTTTGGGACACACATTTTACTCACTGAATTCAGGTGTTTCATTCAGTCCCATTGCCACAAGTATATAAAATGAAGCACCTAGCCATGCAGTCTGCCTTTACAAACATTTGTGAAAGAATGGGTCGTTCTAAAGAGCTCACTGATTTTGAGTGTGGTACTGTAACAGGATGCCACTGTTGCAACAAGTCAGTTGACAAAATTTCTTCCTTTCTAGATATTCCACGATCAGCTGTGAGTGGTATTATTGAAAAGTGAAAGTGTTCAGGAACCACAGCAACTCAGCCACAAAGTGGTAGACCATGTAAAGTTACAGAGCGGGGTTGCCGAGTGCTGAGGCACATAGTGCCTAAAAGTCACCAACACCAACGCTGAATCAGTAACTGCAGAGTTCCAAACCTCCTGTGGCATTAACATTAGCACAAACACTGTGTGCCAGGAGCTTCATTACATGGGTTTACATGGCTGAACAGCTGCCTGCAAGGCTTACAACACCAAGCACAATGCAAGGCATCAGATGGAGTTGTGTAAAGCAGGCTGCCACTGGACTCTGGAGCAGTGGAAACGTATTCTGTGGAGTGATGAATCACACTTCTCTAGCTGGCAGTCTAATGGACGAGTTTGGGTTTGATGAATGCCAGGAGAACGTTACCTGCCTGACTGCATTGTGCCAACTGTAAAGTTTGGTGGAGGAGGGACAATGATATGGGGTTGTTTTTCAGGGGTTAGCCTAGAACACTTAGTTCCAGTGAAGAGAAATGTTAATGTTTCAGCAGACCAAGACATTTTGGACAACTGTTCCAGCATGACTGTGCCCAGTGCACAAAAAGTCCTGACTTCAACCTCATCGAACACCTTTGATATGAATCAGAAGAGAGGTTGGGAGCCAGGCCCTCTCGTCCAACATCAGTGTCTGACTTCACAAATGCTCTTCTGGATGAATGGGCAAAAAAGACACATTTCAAAATCTTGTAGAAAGCTTCCCAGACAAGTGGAAGCTGTTGTAGTTGCAAACTCCATATTAATGCCTATGTATTTAGAATGGGGTGTCCTAAAAGCTCCTATAGGTGTAATGTGTAGGTGCTCCAATACTTTTGTCCATAACGTGTACACACACACACATATTAGCAACCACCTGAGATAGCAGAGCAATGGCCTAGCAACATCTTAGCAACCACCTGAGACAATATAACAACACCTTAGCAACCGGCAGGGATTTCTCAGAAACAGCTTTATGAAGACAACTTAAAGTTCATTCATGAACTTTCTCCTTCTACATTTAAGATCTTATTTCATAAAGTAATATTGGCAATTTTCAGCCAGCTGAACAGCATCTATGACGCAAGGTGTACCAGCTTGGCAGGAGGACCACAATTGTCACCACACTATTACATAAGCAGTGGTTACAATTAACAAATTCTGATCATTTCTAATTTGACACAATTACTGTCCAACCAAACAGGTTTGTTAAAAAGGAAAAATGATACAAAACAAATCTTCAAGGCAAGTGGCCAAACGCCCATGTCAACAACATTTTCAGATTACACTATATGTGCAGTTTTAGATGTAGCTGATGGTGGTCAGTGTACTATACTAAGAATGTGAAAGAAGGAAAGTGTGTTTTCTCACCTGTCCCTCCACAATCCACTTAGAAATGGATGTTTTCCCATCATCTCCTGCCCGGAACTTCAAAGTCGCTGATCGTGGGCTGATTTTGGAGATAACCAGGTTTGAAGGGGGTCCAGGAAGTTCTGGATTTAGAAAAAGACACTATTAGACTGCTCACTTTTCAAACGGTTCTCGCACATCACAGGAACTGGTTGGAAGGAGGCATCAGTGACTTCTGAACTGCCTAACTCATTGAATCATTTAATCGTTTCTGTGAACAGCTTCAAATGAAGCGAAGGATGTACAAATCCAGGATGCACTCAGCACTCTGAAAAAAAAAAAGAAAACCATTCCCTTTGAAGTTCAGCGATAGAAATCCTTTTTTTAATTTTGGGAAACTTTGATGAAATTACACTGGAATTAAATCAAATAACAGACTATAGCCTTGCATCTGTCTAAAATCCCCACTGAGCTTTGTAGCTGTCTGTTCCTCTAATGTCTCACAATATGTAATTTATCAGCAGGCATTATGGCTCTGGCTTGGCATTCAGCCACTTTAACATTCATCTCTTTTTTTCTGAGAGAAATTCTGCCTCTGAGCTAGTTTAAATGAATATTTCTCCTTCGCAGCCATATTTGATTTATGGCTGAGCATGTGCAACAACTTGCCAGCTTCCGAGTGGAAAAGGCCAACTTAAAAGATCATCGCTCATTTTCATAACCACAAGCTAAGGACGACTAGCCCTGGGATGAGTAACGCAAGCTCTGTAGTGCGTTCTCGTGAACAAATGGCTGCTTAGTGTATCGTAAGAGGAGTGCATGAATGAATCATTGATTGCATGCACACCACAGTGCACGATTCTTGCTTCTGTGTATGTGAGCAGTGGCTTCAGATTCCAAGTGAGGTGCTGTGCGATTGGTGGAATTGTGTCAACAGAGCTAAATGAGTTTTATAGAGTAGAAAATGTGGCAAATTTAATTTGGCAAACATGTTTATGCAAACATCCAATTTCAGAAATGTTCTTATTCTTATTTAATTTAAAATCAGCAATGAAAAAGGCCAGTCTCAACGCTGTTGAGGCTTCCCAGTGGAAAGAACACATTCAGAGTTTCTAAATGCTACACAGCATTTGCAGTGAGGAAAATAAGTAGAGAAATGCATCTAGGTTAGGATGCAGGTTGGCATGGGTGATCCCATTACAATATTCAGTATTTTCCATGTTTTTCAATATTCAATAATTGACTGTAATCATTGAATACACTGTCTATTGCTCAGCTGAATTTTTTGAACCCTGAAGAGAACAAAAGGCTTGTTCTGCTGTAACATACACAATCTTGTTTCCAAAAAGGTTGGGACGCTGTTCAAAGTATGTATATAAAACAAAATGCAATGATGTGCAAATCATTTAAACCCTACATTTAATTGAAAAATAGTACAAAGACAACATACCAAATGTTAAAACCGAGAATTTTTTTTGAAAAATACAAAAAGCCCATTTTAAATTTCATGCCAGTGACTTGTTTTAAAACAGTTGGGACAGGGGCAACGAAAGACTGGTAAAGTTGCGTAATGCTAAAATCAAAACACCTGGTGGAACATCACCACAACTAATTACGTTAATTGGCAACAAGTCAGTAACATGATAGGGTGTAAAAAGAGCATCAGAGGCTGAGCCTTTCAGAAGTAAAGATGAGGAGGGGTTCACCACTCTGTGAAAGACTGCACGATCAAATAGTGCAATAATTCAAGAATTATGTTTCAAACATAAAATAGGAAAGAACTCAGGGGTTTTATATATAATATGATTAAAAGATTTAGAGAATCCGTAGAAATCTCTGTATGCAAGAGACAAGGCAGAAAACCAACACTGGATGGCCGTGATCTTCAAGCCCTCAGGTTGCTCTGCATTATATGCCATTATCCAATCATGAAAACCACTGTGTGGCTCATTACTTTTTTTGCAGGTAGACAGAGAAAATATATAGCGTCAATGCGACATTTGTTAGCTCTGTTAGCTCATTAGCTCATCTGAAGAGGCAGCCTCTGTTACTTACCCAACACGAAAACCTACTGATGTCCCCTGGCTGTTTGAATAATAAAACATCTTCCTCTGTGTGCTACTATTTTTTTTACCTTAAAAGTTAAAGTACAGTCCTACATTATTTTTGGCCATTTTTTGTGGTTTTGTATTCCCTCCCTGGGGTTGACTGTCTGTATGATTATGAACTCTTACAGATACTCAATATCAAAATTAGTTGAATGCACATCCCTCTAATCATCATTTTATTGCCCAGGCCTGGATGTACATGTTGTTGGGCGGGGTGGATGAAATTTTGTTGTAGCTGTGGGAAGAACTTCTCACCTGGGGGCACTCCAGAGGAGATTGTGGATGACGTGACCGTCCCTATGCCTGCGCCAGTCATGGCAGCCACCTCCAGGATGTACGTGGTGAGGGAGGTGAGGCCAGTAACCTTGTACTCCAGCGTGCTGTTGGGCATAGTGCGCGCCACCCGCGACTGGTTCTTTCCCTGTGCCTCCCAGGACAGCAGGTAACCTGGGAAAAAGACCCACAGCTAAAAGAAGGACTTATGCATTTGGGCTGCTAACCACCTAATGCCTAATGGCTGATGACTAGAGGGAATAAGCTCATTTTGGAATCCTCAATCTGACTGCGTGAAACCATGAAACCTGCTCTCGTAAGCCCAAAGCAGAGAGGCTGATGTATTTTTCGGCTGGAAATAAACAATCCCTCACACTCCATACTGGGTGAGATGGGGGACCTGGTAGAGTGAGTGGTCCAGACCTTGGACCCTGCCCCCTAACCTGAATCTAACTGAGACTAATAGCCAGCAGAGGTCCTGTGTAATTTGCTGTTTATTGGAAGTATTTTCCACCACAGTCAGCACTGTTTCCAATCACTGAATGTCCTCTTCCATTGAGGCACTCATAAATCAAGCTTTGCACTGAGAGACCCTGCTCGAAAACAAGCATACCTAACATTCAAAGGGCACCAACGCTGGGTGTACTGATATAGACAAGAGCCATTCGCTCTAATGCACTTCTAATCTCATCCGTCTCCATGCCCTTAATCTACATTCAATGCCATTTGTTCACTGGGGCTGTTTAATCTATGTCCAGTATCACTGCACTGCTTACACATTCGTCTTCATCTCTTTGCTTCTCTATAGAGTCTTCATGAGTGGAACTCCTTCCTTTTGCTGGACCCACAACATTGCAATAGTCTTGAAGATACCACAGACATGTTTAAAACCCTGCAGAAGTCTTAAACCCAAACGAACTGAGCGTCATGTGAGTGATCCAAACTGAGAATTTGGCAATGGCCCCTTAGACTCATTTAAATCTGCCGCCAGATGAGCTACAGCACGGACATGTTGAACACTGGTTGCAAACACTGGTTGTGGTGAAATGTGTTAGCATGTGAAATCTGAGCTTTCTTTGTGTTACCGTGTTGCCTATCACTGTATAAAAGATGCACAAGACTTCATTTATTTCTGGATTCACTGTGATTTTTTCAGAGTGAGCGTGCGCTCATTCAGAGTGCAAAAAAAGCAACTGAAGCGTTCTTTCCTATTCATGTGTTTGTTTGCTTGGTTAAAAAAATGCAGTTTACAACAAACTAAATAAAAATCTGTTCTTCAGCTTTGTTGGATCAAATAAACCAGAAATATTTAATAACAGCATTGAAAATTAACATTATAAACAGAATTAAATAACGCAGATTAAACAGTAGAAATAGTCATTTTTTTGGAATAGCCTTATGGCACTGAACAATTTGAGCATTTAGTTTTGGTAATATAAAAGCTGCAAGCACTTTAGACTTTTTCGTCTTTAGCACTGGGATAAAAATGACACAAAATGACTCTAAAAGTATTATTTTAAATAGGTGTAACAAATTATCATTCCAACTGTGAAAAAAACAAGCAGCATGTAAAAGTTTTGTATTTTAATGTCCACACTATGAACAAACAGATACTAGATTTTCTTCATAACGATTCAGCTTTACCACAACGGGGAACTATTAATACTTAAGAAGTCTTTTTTTGGCACTCTGAGTATAAGGAAACCCACACCAGCAGTATTGCATATATGACTTAATGTATGTTTTTTTATGAGTTAATTCTACATGATAAAAAAAGACCCAATTTTTGTGCATTTTGTAAATTATGAGGCCCTTCATGTATAAATATCTGGATTAGTTCTCTAATGTTCATATTACCTAATGGGCTACGACTACCATACACTCATAATCTTAACCTGCATTGCAGTTTATATGACTTTGCTTGAGCAGTTGGAAAATGTTGACCAATATAGCACAAACCACACAGTTAGAACAGCACATAAATAACTGATAATGAATAAATGACTACAGCTTCCATGGCCACTTGGACTTAAAAACATGCACACACAACAGTCTTTTTTGGGCTCACACTGAATTAGCACCTCATATCACATGTGACAATATTGCCGCATTGTACGTCTCTGCCTTAATGGGTTAAGACACAACAGACATCTCTGCAGAATAAGACTTCTTCCATTTTCCCCCTATGTTTTTCAAATTGATTCAGTCCTGGTCGTAACTATAATGATTGTGGCACAAGATGCATAAACACACACACACACACACATACACACACACACACACACTCATTCACAACATCATTCTTTTCAGAACAGAGCTACAGGGAGCGCGAATTGTTTCTGGCAACCGAGCCGCGAACAACAATGCTGTAATTGCCTTTGTGCAAAAAACCAATGAAGTGTTAAATAGAAGTATATCCATTAATGAAGCTTTAAAAACACCAGCATACTGTGGTAATGAAAACGAAACACCTCTGAAAAGACTTACCTGTGCTGTCTATTGTGATGTTCGGCTAAATTTAAACAGGGGAGGACAAATTTGATTTCATTTAAGAACAAAGAGAAATGCAACGAGCAATGAATCACTTTGACAGACAAATGTGTTTTGCAAGTGCGGGGAGAAAAAAAAGAGGTTCTGGCCCGTGAGTTTTAAAAAGCACCAAAGGAATAGTATGGCAATCTATTTTCCTGGACGCTTACTGTGCAGCGTTGCTAACATTTGAAATTATGATGAAACTTTGCAAACGATTTTTGACAGAAGGGATGATGAGAGGCTGTAGTAGTGAGTAAGATGAGGTTGGGCTTTTAAACATCAGCTTCCCAGGAGTGTTGTAGAGGAAGCAAAGAGCTTGTATCTGACATGAGAGCACAACAAGTAGGATAAACTCACCTGTGATGATTCCATTTTTCTCTACAGGTTCCTCCCAGCTAACTCGCAGAGACGTGTCTAGGATCTCAGTAAAGCTCAGATGCCCTACAGGGCCTGGAACTGAGGTGTAAACAGACAGACACAAACAAACACAATGACAAACGCCACACGGTTTATCCTGCTTAATGCCGCGTTCCGACGCGTTGTGCTGCACCACAGCGTCTCTATAGCAACAACTGTTGATGAGCTAATCGAATTACCCTCACTTGTACAATTATGAATGTATTTATGCATACCCTAAAATGTCGAAGCATGTTGACATTATAATTCTGGGACAATGCTTTTAATTAAAGTCACTTTTATAAGCTGCTGATAATTAGTATTCCACACAATGCCCCTCAGAGCCACAAAACAGCAACGCAGTGTCACTGTGGTGATGTAAAAGCCAAGACCCAGTGTTAAGTTACACATATCACAGTGACACAGCATATTAATTAAATGAAAAACAACAGATTTTGGTCTTTAGGTAATTAACGAACAAGTCCCAGCATATGCACTCCGCCTGAAACCTCATCGTCTCAGAGGTCTCCACTGCGGCAAAGATAACGTATCCGATGAAATAATGCTTTTATCAGAGGACGGCCAGTGTGGAAGGTCAGTACTCACTGTCCTCATGCGTCTGCACAAGTTTGGGCGTGCTTCGGGGCCCGTTCCCTGGTGTAGTGAAGCACAGCACTGAGGTCAGGTACCAGGTGAACTTCTTCAGGCCGCTGACGTAGCCCAGGTGACGGGTGCCGTGGTAATCTGGAGTGATGGTCACCACCGTGGTGTCCTCGGGAGAGTGCTCAGGCCATGCCATTAGCTGAGAGAGAGAGAGAGATGTCATTCGGTCATTCAGGCAGAGGACGAAGCCTGAACTCCAAACAAGCCCAGCACAGCCTGCCAACTTTCAGGAACAGAGAGAAGAGCTACTCAGCTTCCAACTGGAACAACTGTCTAAGCATGGCTGAACAATTTGGAGAAAATATCTAATTGTAATTTTTCTGATTGGGATTTAAATTGTGATTATTTTCTGTAAATTAACGTCCAGGCCTTTTCTGGCTAGAGGCTTGAACACTTAATGCTGGTTATGGTATTGAATCATGAATACAGCACACAGGTGCTTCTGATTGGTCTAACTTATCTACAGGTAGTGCATAAGCTTTATGATATTGGGTTAAATTATCCCACGTTATAATAAAAATTGCAGCTCTTGCGATTCAAAAACCATACTCCCTGCAATTTAAATACAAAAACAATTCATTTTTTAGCCATACGTCTAAGCACTGGCCCTGTCATTAGGAGAATGTGAGTTTGATCCTTGCAATGCCACAGCCACCCGTAGCCAGGAGATTAAGACAGCATAACTGGCCTTGCTCTCTTCTCTGAGAGGTAGTTAGCATTCTCCTCCAAACATGGTGAGCTGTCTAATGTGATTACGTTAGGGGCAGTTAGAAAGATGGATGGATGGCTTCATGTGACTTGGAAAAAGCATGTGATGGGTGAAGACCTAACTAATGAGTGGCAATTGGACATGACTAGGAAACTGAGGAAAACTGAGGAAAAATCCAAAAAAATAAAATTAAAGAAAAAACAGAAGAGCTAATCCAATGTGAGAATTCAGCAAAACTTTAAATATATACTGGACTGCAGCTCTGAGACTAATGTATGCTAATGGAAGCTTATAAGCACCAGTTAGCAATGTGCAAACTGCAGGCCTTACACTTGCCTCAAAACCCACTGAGTTGTTAAGTAAGCATATCACGTCACATAGACTTGCTTATGTGGTGTCTAACACTGTAAACAACATTGCACAGCTTGAACTCAGAACAGAGCATTTTCCTTGATGGTACACCCAAATGTATTACCTTGTAACCTTGATTGATGCCATTGATGAATTGCTGAGGTGGTGGATTCCATGTGAATTTGATGGTGGTCGAATTGACAGCTACAGCCTCCACACCCTGTGGGGGAGCTGTGGGAACTAAAAGAAACGAAAACATTTTTTTCACTTTTTGTCTTTCCCTGTTTGGCCATATGTGTGGTGTAGTAAGTGTACCGTGTATTACAAGAGAGTCAGAGAGAATGGTAGCTAGATAGAGGCTAGCACTGCAATCATCTGCTTACCACTGTGTCTTAGGCTGGATCTCAAACGGCTCCCAACACCCTATATAGTGCACTATGTAAGTTGTGAAATTTTGGCATCTACACCCAAATAGTGCACTCTATGTCCAGCAGAGAATTGTGCACACTCGGCTCAATCGCAAATGTTAGACATAGTACGCAGTTTGGCTGCAGGAGCTATTACTTTAAGACCTATGTAGGGAGTAGGAAAACATCTGAGATTCAGCCTTAGTCCTAACTTTCAGGTGAATTCTGTAAACTTTGCTACTTGATTGTGTAACTGCTTGATTGCATGGCACAGCACTTTGTCACAAAGGAAAGAAGGATCCAGCTCACAGTGAGAGCTCAGCTAACTGCAGTGGCCTCCACTCACTTGAACACTGGTGCTTGACAACAGGTTCACAAGAGTCCTAAACGCTATGAGAACATGCAGCTTTCAGGGTGAAATATGCATCAATTCATACTCATGTTTTACAAGTCAAGAAAAGGCAAGTAAAATGTCGCTCAACGTCAATCATGTTCCCTTGCCATTGGACCCATGTGTGAACACGACTCATATCCCACACTGATGAAAGAGCACACAATACCTAGCTACCCATTTTGCCGTGGCCTACAGCATCATTTTTTCTAAATCAAAACCATAACCTTTGCTGGCGGAGACTTTTCAGCGCTGAAACGATAATGGATCAGAATGACCCGCTCTCTTTTCATGTCCGTAGTCCTGTAGAGGTCTAATAATTGGTTTGGTGAAAATATGGTTGCAAAAAGCACTTCAAAAGGTCCGTAAAGTCCTGTCTCGTCCTCACTGTCACAAAAAAAACTCTTTTCGAGAGTAAAAGCTGATGTCCTAGATACACTAGCCATTGTCTAATGACTACCTATTTCTGACGTCACTGGAAGCTCTCAGCGTATACAGCCTTGCTGCCGACAGACCTAGACTTGGGGGGACCTGCTCTGTAGTATATGAGGCTTAATGCACATTAAGTCTCGCTAGCAGCCATACTCCCTCGCTCACTGACCTATCAGCACTGCCATAATCCCTCACTGTCGAGTGGCACTAAAGGAAAAGGTGCCCTTACTTGATGGCTACTTAGAGAAATGCACTGTTGACTTCTCATTTGCTGTGATGGAAAAGTGTGCACGTTGTCGCAGCTTGTTTATATGAATATGAATAATCGCAGTTGCATCCTGTTGTATTAGTTGGTTTGACCTTTTTCTGAAGCTGTAAGCTGAAGAAAAAGGCACAATAAGCTAAAAGCAGATGAAACCCTATGAGTTTGATATCCAGTGACCTTGCGAAAGCCCAGGGATAGCCAGATGGACAGGCGTGCAGCAGCCGAAAGAAATGAGCCACTTCATTTAAACAAAAAACCTGAGGGAGACTTTACAAGCCAGCCATCCTTATTTTCAGAGGAGCCAGACTGCTCTTTCAACACCTGTTGTGTAGTCTGAATTTTAAATCGGAGAAGCCGCTGCCTGTATGGTACGTATGGCCACTGCTTCTGCTCGTTTGACTGAATTTCAAGCAGTATATACCCAGAGACTATATCACTGGATACATAAGAAATCAGTTAGTAATACAGAAAGCATATTCATGAATGCCCAGAGAGGGGCAGAATGCTTCTGAGAATAGTACTTCACTTTGTCAGGCAAGCTTTGACTTATTATGAATGGAAAGCCTCTTGCTCAAATGTCGACCAATTAAGAGTGACTATTTATATATGTTTATGTATTCGAAATGCAAGGCGTATGCTGCACTCCTCTGTTCTCCTCCACTATCAGATCTCTCACAATTAATATGGATAACCTCATAAGAAACCAGCTCAACAAGGTGTTTATTAACCAAATCAAGAATGGCATAAAACCAATGCCTCTGCATGCTGCTAAGCTAACCTCCATTTTGATACTTAAACTTAAACGTGTTGAGACAAGAAACTAAGATGGTCTGACTAATGACAGTAACATTCGGCTACATCAGTGGCTCCCAACCTTTGCCTGGCAAATTCTAGGCTTCTTCCTGCTCCAATACGCTTAACCCAACTAAACAGCTCATTAACAAGCCGTTTCTAAATACAACTGGGTGTGTTTTTAATCACTATTTCTTATTTTCATTATCATTAAATAGTGTGAAGTCTTACATTTTGACTCTTTGCTGAAGGCCTATTAAATCTGTTTTTAATTTTTTTTCGTTCAAAAAGGCCCACAAGGAAGGATGGAAATTTAAGAATACAAACTATTTTAATGATAACGAAAATGAGAAACAGTAATTAAAAACACCCGTTTGATGAGTATGGCGCCATTTCATGGTTTCTACGAGGGACATTAGTCAAGTGCTTTACAAGTTCTTTTCACACAGAGTATCAAGGGGAGATGCAACACCCTAGATACCACTTCATCCCACCTGATATGCACAATACAGTAAAACAACAGAAGTGAAAAGTCCCAGCTGTAATGCCAACGGCATCTGTAGCCACAGTTTTGGGTCAAAAAACAGTGCCAAAGTGCAAAGTATAACTAAAGAATTCATCATCTTTGAAGACCAACTCTACATACTATACAAGCTACATACTGTCATGAATTTACTAAGTTTATTTTATGCAAACTGTTTTTTATTTAATGCTTTTGGTTTCAGAGTTTGACCTGAATTTTGGTTTCGGTCAAAAATTTTCAAGTCTACAGTCCCAAAGTCCACACTTGTGATGCTCACCCTAATGTGATGTATTTCCAAATTTATCAAAAGTGCACAAGTACTTGCTTAGACCGCATGTTTGTGGATATGTATCATATCTTTATGAGTTCTCACCATGTTAGAGTTCTTTCCCAATATTTCCTAAACAGCATGTTACAACATCACAAACATGTTGAACTGTGGGATATATACTTAGCCAAGTACTGCTTTGATGTCTTATTGGGGAAAGGGTGCATTTAGTGTGGTCTTGTGCAATGTTTTTTCACATTTGAGAAATGGAACACACTTACTGGAAAGCATATAAACATACGCGGAAGTACATAAACCGCAGCTGTAAACTTTGGAACAGGCTGTAAAATGTACAGGACAGGGGCACTTCAGGCAGGGGCGTCATACAGCTAGGGAAATGGAGGAACTGACTACCCAGGGTCTCAAAAGGCCTAGGCTAAAATATTTCTTTAGTGTACAGTTTTACATTTCTATGCAATTACTGTCATAACTAAACAGGTTGGGACTGGACTTAGCATTCAAAAAAATGTTTGATTTAACTATTTTGTTTTTAACATTTTCAGGAGAAAAGAGTGGAAACTTTGTGGAATATGCCTAACTCCAGAACAAGCAGTGGAAACCGGTGAGACACATGAAAAAATCCCTTTCAAATGTTTCTAATATGACAGATGATGGGTCTGTGTGTAGAGTCAATACATTTGCCCCTTTCCAGACAATCATCTAAATGACCAATCATCTATCGGAATACCCGGGCAATGGATTTTTCCCAGTCTCCCTCAATGGATTTTTTCCAGTCTCCTCGTTGAGGTGTAATTTATAGCAGCGGCCAAAACAAAAAGCTCTAGGGATAATTGATGTAATTGTTCTGAAGAGGATTAACTTCAGAGCGGGTCTGTAGCTGGCTGTACTCAGCCACGGGGGGGGGGCCCATATGAATAGAGCTTCTGCTCAGGGCCGACCTGGCCCCAACAGGAGAGCCTCGTGTAATCACGCAGCGTTTTAGTCTGCTCTGGCTGGCACGTCTCCCTCTGACCTGCCCTTCCCCTCCCCGTCTCTCCATCTGCCATTTTACCTGAAGAAAGTTGAGTGGGGAAAAAAAAGAGAGTAGTGAGTGATGAAGGCTGAAGGGTCTCACCTCCCTGCAGCGTGTACTCAATGACGGGCTGGCTGAAGACGCCCAGGCCGGCTCCCGTGTACGCAGCCACCTGGATCTCATACTGTGTCCAGATGATGAGCTCCGTGATCAGGCAGTAGTTGATCTCAGGGCTTGTGATGTTCTGCTGCTGGTAGTCGCCAGGGAGCCCTGCCAGCCGATACCTGCAGCCACAGGAAGAATCGATAGCTGAACTGTTAGCCACAATGATTTCCTTCCAGGTCAGTGCTCCATTAGAAGCCATTTCGCAAAGTGTAATTAGGCAGCCCTTTCCCGCTCCCTTTTTTCCACTAGAGGAATCCTATTCAGAGCATTACACCACACTTGGCACCCTGTCATTAACGAGCGATGATATGTACATCGCCCTGTTGCAGAGGGGGAAAACAGCTGGTCAAATGTTGGGAAACGGAAAAAAGCATGGGTGCAGAAGGGTGTATGGTGTTTTCTAGAAGGGTCTTGAGGACTATCCATTTAAAATGTTATGAATGAAGCTAACAGTGACTGAAAGCAAGTGGTCACCAATTTTCATTATGCAAAGGATATTGTGTTATTTGATGTTTACTACCTCCCATTCATTTTCAGCCACATTAGCATGTTTCGCTCAATTCCTTTAATTAATTTTTCATTGTCATTCCACTCATACACAAGCATTAGAGGGGTATCCGGCTTCTTTTAATGTTCAAATTCCTGATGAGGCCTAATAAAAAGATGGTTGAAAAAAAGGAGGTTCCTCCTGCCACAGTGCAACAAGACAACAATACAACTGCCCTCAATCTATTTTACTACTGTGCAAAAGTCAAAGATCCTTACATTTATTTAATCTTTTAAGGCATTCATTTTTCAGCATACGGAAAGAGCACAACACGTATGTTTGACAGAAATTACAACAACTAAATACAATCTAAATTTTTTTTAGTATGTAGTTTGTCCACTCAAAGGCTTATTATAACTTCCATTCTTTTCAGGAAACTTGCTTTCAGTTTTTTGAAGAAATCTGCAGAAATATTTTTCCACACCTCCAAATTTCAGTCTTAGAAGTTACATCTTCTCAAGTAATAAAACCTTTCAGATCTGAAGCAAGAGTGGACCTTGCTTTTCTGTACTGTACTATTTATCTGATGGTGACAGGTTTGGTGATCTACTAGGTCTTGCACAATTGTTGGGAGCCCCATTTTTTCATTTAACTCCAGTTTCAGAAACTCGTCCCATTGTCCTTTGACTTTCCCCTTTCTTATGTAAGGGGATCATCTTATATCTTCTTTAGCCATTTTAGATGCATAAGAAAAAAAAATTGTAAGGCAGTTAAAGTGTGTTAAGGTGGTTGCTTGTTTGAAAGGGAACATAATGCCAATGACACTTTTGAGAATAGCTTCTGTTGGGAGAACATAGCTGTAACTCATTGGTTTTAAGATTGGAAAGATAGAAGAGTTAAAAAGGCACTAGAATGCACAAAGGTAAAGCGTGGACAAATTAAATACTGACAGATTTGGAATTAGACTTTGGTATTACACTTAGCAAACACAGAGTTTTGAGGCATATATACTAAACCTAAGTATATTTTTTCTGACACCGAAAAACAAACAACTTGCACATAATGGCCACTCTGGCAGTAAACTGAAAAAATGAAAGTGTGGTCCCTGACTGTACGTGTGACAAACAAAGCAATTAACCGACGAGTACAATGGGGTAGTAAGGCAGTGTGCTGCTGTATTATGGTGCTGTACAGACAGAACTACTAATAAACATCACTGCAAAACTGTGCTTGCTGCACTGGAGCATTATTTCTGTATGTGCTCTGGCAGAACAGGGAGGTGAGATGAGAGTGTGTGTGCATTGGCAGCTTGAGCAGATGGGCTCTCTGTCAGATGCTCTGTCTCTTTCCTTGGCTCTGCAAGGCCCACTGGGGTAAAGAGTGCGGCTCTCCTCCTGCCTGCTGCTCTCCTGCTGCTGTAGCGAGTGTCCCAGCCATCATACTCACAGCAGCTGTGTCTCCGTCTCACCGTCCCCCAGACTCTGCTCAGCTGCACACCGCAGCCCGCGACAGCACAGCACAGCGGCACTCAGTCTCACCTCAGCTCCAGGGTAAACGTACACCCTGTTTCCAGGAGCCACAGGCCCGCGCCTTAAACACAGTATTCCAGACAGATACAGCCTTTCACAGATAGCTGCAACGTCGAAAATCACAGCCCTGAACCAAGCGAACATAGTGTTTTGAAGCTTGGTTATGAGCTTCCAGGCTCCAGATTATGTCTTTAGGGAGACAAAACTGAAGTCTCTCAAATCAGAAGGAGACACTTCTCTGTAATAGTGTGGAGATTTACAGCTGCCTGACAAATGTCAGATGCAGAAAGGAAACAATCATCGCCGCACTTAGAATGTGAGTTGATTTATTGTTTGAATATGCATCTTATGAAGTAAATCGCTGCTGTCCAAAAAAAATCTCTTGTTTTTCTGATTTTTTCAACATCATTTGAGCACAGCAAATACTACATTGTGTGATTATTTCATGATGAATGGACCACATCTGCTTACATTAAAAGTAAAGAACTTTTTTGTCCTCTCCTGTAAAGTTACCAATTCAGAGATACTTGTTATATAAAAACTTTTGTGAGAAGATCATTTCGAGGGCACAAATTGGTTAGACCCTGGTCTTATTCCTATGATATTTACTTTCGTAAGCTATAGAATACCAAGTCAGCATTGTGCTTGCCTTGTTCATTCTACTTTGTCTTTGGAATTGGTTTATGACACATAACAAAAACAAAAAATATGCAAAAGACACAAAAAGAATGAAAGAATGAAAAGTTCTTGAGGCCTCACTCACCTAGCTGTGATGTCTACAATCAAAGCCCCTCCAACCTAAACACAGTATTTTGGAGAGTTACAGGAGGGCTGACACAGCCCTTTTGTGGCTTACTGAGGTCCCTTTAGACATGATCACTAGACAAAAAAGGTACTAAGAAGATGACTACACTGAATCCAAGCAGCAGTTGCTGTGAATGATCTGAAATTTTCCTCATATTAGAGCGGACAGCAATGGTACTGGAGTGGTTAAGTGCAGAGGTGTAGCCTACATGATATGCAATAATACACTGTATAACCACTAGGAAACCAGCAGGGTTGTACTGTACAGAGCATTTATTTTATATCCAGACAAAATACCCATTACATTTTTCATTAAACTCAAATGTGGAGTAAGGTTTTATGGAGTGATGTAATGTGTAGATGTGATTACTTGGATTGCGAGAAGCAGCAAATGCAACCAACTTTTAAGACTGAACTTTGGAGGTGCGGAAAAATGTCCCTGCAGATTTGTTTAAAGAATTGAAAGCAAGTCTCCATAATGTCTGTTTTGACTGGAAATTAAACAAATGAAGGGTTGTTTCTGACTTTTGCACAGTACAGTGAACTTGTGAAGTGACTACTACATAGTAACTAGTAACTATAAGTAACTAGTATATAGGACTAGTATATAAGATTCTTACACATTTATCTGCCACAGTCCTGGTTTTGCTTTACTGAAAACATTGATTCCAAACTTTTGGACAGCGACTCCAAACTTTTGAATGGTAGTGTACACTTGCTTACATCAGGTAGTCACAGGACATCTTCCACTTCATATTAGAGTACACCAGCAGTTGTGTGGTGTGTCCTACCTGAGAACGTAACCTCTGAGTACACCATTGAGCTGGGGCTCAGGTGGGGGCTGCCACTGCACCATTATGGACTGATTGGTGCGTCCGCTGGCCACTATGTTCTTAGGTGGAGCGCTGGGCGGCTCCTCACGGAGCATCAGCCTACAGGGATGACAAGAGAACAGAGAACAACATAAGTAACAGCAGTAGCTTCAGAGTGAACTGCTCAAACGTTCTCCACACAAACACACACACACACACACAAATGCAAGTGCGGTGTTATATAATTGATTCGCTGCTCGATATTTTCTGTCTGAATCCGAGTTAGCTCACTCGCTCCAGGGCATAACAGCAATATTCCTGGTGAGTTGAGAAAGCGTAACCCTCTGGTCAGAAGTCCATTTCCCAGTCTCTCTGCGACACATCCGCCCACTTCATCAAAAGCACTCAAAGCCCCCTCCGCTTCCTGGAAGAACTCCCTCCGCTGGAAGCACCCTGGGGCCCCCGACCCACAGGGTCAGTGTTTAAGCAGCAGCTTTTTTGTTTTTGTGGAGTTTGGCCTGGATCTGCCGACTATTTTAGGGAGTTATCAGTACAGACCTGCCTTCTGTTCTTCATTTCTTCTTTGTTCTAGCCACATACAGCATTAGTATTTGCAAACAAAAAATAATCAGGCCGGGCCTTCGATCCATTTGTAATCATAGCTGGGCCTGTTTATGCTGGGGCGAGGGCCACTTTATTGCTTTCAGGGGCCTGTGGAGCTCACTTCCCCTCACATTATAGGCTCTGCTGCACACCAAGGCAAGTTAAAAGCTGTGGCCTTTTTTGTGTAGGAAAATGCCCCATAATGACATTCGCCCCAGCTCGCGCTGAGAGCAAACCACGACCTTAAGTATAAGCTTCAGAGCCTTAATTGCAGTCTATTAACAGGTTTCCATCCGTTTTCTTTGTTGACTCGAAGCCAGTGAATGGTTCCAGAAGTGCAGCGAAAACTCTCATGAGCTAAACTGCAAACAAACTTCATTATATTGAAATCAGCATCAAAGTTGCAGTCAAAGTTCTCAGGCCACTGCACTGATCATGCCACCCAAATATGGGCTTTTTTTAATTAATGGAATTTAAAAATGAATCAGAGCTGTATGCTTCATAATGGCCACGGGTTCATTCTGCCCTATGCATTTCATGCTAATGGACAGTTAAATCTGCATTAAATTTTAATGGGATCATTGGGTTATTTCAGATTTATAGTCAGTGTCTTCTTAAAACTCCCACCACTTGTTATTTCTCCCCCAGAAGTCCATTTCATAATTAATGCCCTCAATAACCAATATCACGGAGCCTCTTACAGACACTTGCTCAGTAAATCTGCCTAATCGTGGCCATAAGGAAGAGCTGCTCGGCTAGCTCTCAAAATGGTGTCTCCCTGCCCTGGCCTGTCCTTCACGCAGTATTTACACATTTGTTTTACATACTCGCAGTGCACTACTGGCCATTAAACATCTGCCTCTCCACATCACCCATGCAAAGAAGCAGCCGTTAATTTGTGTACGCCGGTGCTCCACATATAGGTACGAGTGGGGTGGGGGCTAATGGAATGGCATAACAAAGGCTGGCAGTGTATGACACACAGTAAGTTAATCATCTCCAGTTTGCAAAGCCCACTGGTTATTAATGGACGAGCCCCCAGGAATATTCATGGCAATTTTTGCCTGGCGACCCTCATTGAGGACAAAAACCTGGCGGATGGGTAAACAAGAGCAGTGAGTGCAGGCTCATTATGGCAGAGCTGTACTGGTGCGTTTTTATGGGCTTGTCAGGCGATTACGGTTGCCTCTGCTTAATAAGGCCGGAAAGGACAGATGTGACAGCATGCAGGAAGACATATGCATGCAGGGGGAAGAGTGATGGGCTCCTTCAAGACGCCACTCTCAGCTGCTCAAACTCTGCTCTAACTCTGCTCTGCAGCTAGCTGTCTTCAGGAAAGCGCCTGACATCGGCTGACCTGCTGTATTACACACTTTGAGGATGAAAAAAAAATATATTAAATGGGCCCTTATCATGGAAAACTGAACGTTAAAGTTTCAAAAAGTAACACTGAACTCTGCAGTCCATACAGTCTGCAAACTGCAAAAACAGCCAGTTTTGAATTCGGAATCAACCAACGCCTATTCAGCCTACAGCAGTCTAGCCCAGCCCATACCTATTGAAGTTATAAGGAATATTTTATCCTGCACCGATTTTTAAGTGAAACACAACACAGAGCAGTCAGTCAGAACAGAGCTTATGTACAGTACTGTCCAAAAGACATAGGGACCTTAGCACACTGTTTAAAACCATGTATCTTGGCAGAAAGTGTGTAAAAAGATCACATTTCATTAGAACACATGCAACTTAAATACAGTAAAAAGCAATATAGATTTTTTTTTGTTTAATTTGTAAAAAGTAGTCAATATTTTGTAAGCTGGTTTGAAGAACATACTTTGATTCCAGATTTCTCCTGGACACTTCTAGCCATCATATTAGTTTATTAAATTCCATCAGTGGCATACCTGTTTGGACCATAACTACAGATAATACTGGGCATCCATTAGGAGAGGTTTGTACCTGGTTTAAGGAACATACTGACAGACTTAAAATCACTACTTATTGTAGTGACATTATTTGTATTTATTGTAATATTACTGTGTTTTCTAAACAATTTATTCCTTACTGCCCAGATAAATTTTCTCAGGTGTCTTAAACATTTGCACAGTATTGTATATGTATCACTCTTAAAGATATAGCTAGAAAAACAGCCTTTTAAACTCTAATAGATTAAATGAGGTTAGAAAGTGGTCATGTAAAAATGAATTATTACCATTTTTGGTACACTGAAAAAATGTGGCAACTGGTCAGACAAAAATGAAATATATCACATCAACACAGTCGCTTTTTTAGAATTTGATTGTTATGTAAATTCAAAACACAATTTTTATCAGTGTATATAAACACACAGAAACACTGTAAGTGGACCTCAGAGGAAAAAAGCAAATACGTGCCCTTTAAATGTTCACTCCTTCTGGCTCAGCACCGCATATTCAACCTAAAGAACAAGTTTCCTAATGGGGTATTGTTGTTTTCTTTTGTTGTTGCCTTTTAATCAACAAAATTGTGGCACCGTGCACGCTGGGAACTCAGTTAAGCTCCGGCAGAGCTCCAAACACAGCCTCTTTTGCAAAAGTGAGCGACCACACACATACTTAGCAGCAGTTCCCCAGCTAAAAGAAGTTTAATTCGACAAGATGAACAAACAGAAGCCAAAACGCAACACTTCACATATTAATCACACACCTGTTCTCTAATGGAGCAAAAAACACAAACAAAACAAAAAAAAAACAGCAGTGTTCAACTCTTGTGCAGATCCCTGCCACAGCAATTAATGCTGCATGAAAGTCAAAGGGGCAGGCATGAAAATTCACATCCAGCACACTAAACCTGCTTCACTTTACACTATTAAATGTTTTAAGATGGATTGTTTGATAAAAGTTAAGCACTAATTGAGGTCATGCAAGTTAAGAAGTTACTGCAGTTCTTTAATAGTTAATATATCTTCTCATTAGTTTATGCCCCAGTATTAATCTGCCTGACATTAATATTTCACAAGGATAAACTAACAAAATATGTATTCATGGTGTAAGCCTAGGAATGAAGTTAAGTCTATTAGCTGAATTTTACAAGCCACTTTCTACCGAGTGGCAGACCCTATATTGTTAGTTTGGCAATGAGGTGTTCACATAAAGTAAAAATAATCACCAGGAGAGAACAGATGGGAGAGGCTGTGGTCTTATGTCCTCAAGCAAACTGAAGTGATTTGTCCGTGCCTAGCTGAGAGCAGTGATACTACTACAGGCTGTTACACCTCGAATCAACATGTGTTTTCTGTGATTGGATCACACTTAGCAGCATGAAAAGCCAGGTGTAAACATACCCAGGACATATTGTGAATGGATTATGATCGTATCACTCAAACCACATTCGGAGGTGGTCAGAAATGGATACACAAGGGTAAATGGAAGCCATTTTCTATATTCGCATATAATTATGTAAGCAGAATCACATCTGCTGAGTTCTGATTAACAAGTGAGTGGATAAACAAGGAAACGTCAGATTTCAGGAGAATATGCAGAGCTGGCGTCATCCCAAAAGTGTCATCCTGCACTCCAGGCTGGTTTCAGTCAAATGTTAGAGATGGAAAACTGCAGTGGTGGACGAAACTGTCCAAGCAAAGCTTGTTGATTCTTATTGTAATGAGAGAAGAAGTCAAAGGAGGTAAAATGGAAATGATGTATGTATTGATGTGCTCATCTGGTCAAACGTGGGATGAACTGTTGTGAAAAGTGTAAAAGGAATCTGGCAAAAGTTTATCCAGATATGATCCGAACACAGAAACACCTGTTAATGCAAGATGTTAACAGCTTCATGGAGAACTTAAAGCTTTTGTTGACTTTTATCCATTTTTACAGGTAACAGCAGTGGCGACAATCTGAGCTAGGGCTTCAGTCTGGACCATAAATGTCAAAAATGAAGAAAAAAACAGGTCTCTAGAATGCTAATTCCTGCTTGAGCCCCTATGGTATTCTGATAGTATGTCAGCTTTAAGGTAACAGTGATTCACCTGAATGTTCTTTTGGCTATCCTAGACATTCAAACATTAACATTAATTCAAACAGCTATTACATTTTTTAGCTGAAACTTATAACATATTAACATATATTTTACCTTGTATCTCGCTGTTGCTGAAAGAAAACCTCATATCTCCAAAATGGTAACTTTACAGGAAAAGTAAAAAAAACTACTTTACTTTTAATGTAAGTCAAAGGAATCAGACTTTTTTCGAAGTCATTTTGGCTGTTACTTTTGATCCATTCAACATGAAATTTATTATATCAAAAACTGAAAAACGACAAAAATGGAGACATGAGGTTTTCTTCAGACAGCAGTGATATAGTATTTTACAGTTATTATTTGACTGAAGAGCTCTGGAATTGAGCTGCTGCTGTTTTCCATTTCTAACATCTGACTGAAATGCAATGACTGGCAGTAAGTGATGTATGTAGACTTCTAGAGAGCATAAAGATAAAGATGATGTTTTTTTCTCACAACATTGCTCCAACTCGCTGAAAATCAAAATGTGATTTAAAAAAATCAAGTATGTGATATTTTGCATGATTAATCATAATCATATTATATGCTAATCATATTGCTACATTATTTGAAATCTACACTGTGACCTTTTAACCATGTTAGCTATATTAACCTCGTAGATCCAGAGTGAAACTACAGAGGCAAACTTTGGACACCAAACAGTCTTCGCTGATCAGATTACATTTAGAAAAAGGAAAAAATATGTAAATTTCAGTCACCTTTAAACAACTTTAAATATTTGCATAAACTAAATGGAATGTTTCTTTCCACAGTATGTGCTACAGCACAGTTGACTGTACCATTCCTAAGGAATTTTCAACCAAAGTCTTCTTCTTGTTTCGTTTTGCTCTGCCCGATTAGCTCGTGGCAGAACAGAGCATGTTAAACTCACTATTTATATCTGGGCACGAGGCTTTGGATCCAAATGAACAGAAGGGACTAATTTCAATGTGAGAAGATGCTACTGAGTGCATGAGATAATAACACTTCCCTTCTCCCCTCCCTGAACAGAGGTGCCATGTTTTAGCATGTCTGGCGCTGATAAGGGCTGGTGGGGCTGGGGGGCGCGAAGCGTCTGCCACCCACAGCTGCAGGCTACGTGAAGGAGCCCTGCTTGGGGTGCTGATTACAGCAGGAGGTGTGAGTGCAGGCCTGCCACTTTAGTGCCCGTACGGCCCAGCTTCACTCCACATGCTGTGATGTATGCTGGCAGAGCCAAGCTCAACACACACCCACAGAGCTGCGGGGCCATGGCGCGGCTGACAGGGGAAATCACGGTTAAACAATGACCTCAAGGAGCAGAGTGGACCACCGTGCAGCTGTATGAGTGGGATGTATTTGTGTATATGACAGCAAAATGGCAAAGGTAGCTACTTCTTCATACTGGTGATTATCCATATGCCGGCAGTATAGTTCAAATAAAAAAACAAAATCAAACTCTAACACACTGTCATAAAAATGCTTAAAAAGAGCTTGTGTGTACACCTATCTGGCACTCAGCACTGCTACAGGCCTTCTCTCTGCAGTGACACAAGCATCTATGGCTACGTTCAGCCTGCAGGAAAAAGTGGCCCAGATCTGATTTACTGCCTAAATCTGATTTTGTTGTTTGGTTGTTCACATTATCTTTTTTATGTGGCCTGTATCTGCTGTCAGTCTAAACAGATCATGCTTCTGAACTGACCTGCATGCACAAAAGAACACTGGTTGATGCGGCATGGTCATCCAACAAACACAGCTGCCCCCTACCTTTCCTTAAGATTACAAGACTCCTTTTATGCGTGATCTACTACTTTAAACTTGGACAACAAACAGCAGACACTAAACCAGTCCATGGAGAACAACATTTACAAATGAGAGTAAAAATGGTGAATTTCTGTTCTTGTTTTAATTTTGGAAGCTGCTGAAACAGACAAGAACCTCAGTTTCTTTTGTCTACCTGAGAAAAGCAAGCAAAGAGATGCATATTGGAGAAAGAAACCTGATTTGTGTGAAGCTCCTTCGACTCTTTTGCTTCTCTCTTTTTTCAAACTATCCTTGACGTAAAGCTGATACTGAACAGCTATTAGCTTGATTTCTCTTCCTGGAAAGCGTTGTGCTTACTTGTGAAGCATTACCATTACCATCACCATTGTGTGTACAGTCTTGTTTTGCAGAAAGAATAACACTTTTTTCATTTTATGATGAAACAAACACAGCTTCTAATCTGCCAATACATAACATCAACTTAAATTATATAGTGTAAATCAAATGTTTAAAAAAATAACTCGTGAGGATATAAATAAATATGCATTGCTGCTGTGGATTGAAGGTGTTGATCTGCACAATGGAGAAAAGCGATCTCATCACAACAGCACGCTGACATCGTAAGGCATATCAGTGTGTGAAATCTGAGCTTTCAGCGCCTCACTGTGTGGTCTAGTGCTACTGAAAAAAGACAAGGTGCTGTTCAGTCTGCTGCTGGTATTATTGGACGCAGTCTTTTCAAGCACAGGTCTTTATCATCATTTAGATCATAGAAGTCTGAACTGAAGTGTCAAAGTCAATACGCACAACGTAGCTTATCTGTTTACTCTTAGTGCAAAAGTCAGAGACCCCTCATTTCATTTCCAGCCAAAACAGCCATTAAGTATAAGTTATTAATTTTTTAGGATCAGAAAAACCACCAGAAACATTTTTTAACAGAAAACCACCCAAAATCCTCAAACACAAAGTAAAATATCACATCTATCAGTATTTAATTTGCTCACACTGTACTCTTTTTGTGCACCTACTGCCACTTCAACTCTTCTATCTTTCCAGTGGTCAAATTTCCATCTCATGTGCATCTAAAATGGCTAAAGGCGATATATCTGAGGAGATTAGATATAACATATTTCTGAGGAGATTAGATATAACATTACTCACTGGCATAGGGAAGTCAAAGGAAAATAAAAAAAACAAAAGAGAACTGGAGAAATACATATATATTGAAAGATATAGAGGAAATGGGACTAACAACCATGCAAGATGTTGTAGACCACCAAAACTGTCACCATCAGATAAACAGTACTTTTAATCTTGTTTTAGATTTCAAAAAAACAGCAGGTGTTTCTGTCCATCTTTGTGTAGCTGTCATGAACACCAAAACTGGACATCTGAGTTATGGAGTAAGGTTTAATGGACTGATGAGTCTAAATTTGTAATTGGGGTTATTTGGATCATGAGAAGCAGACAATCCAACCAACTTCTAAGACTGATCTTTGGTGGTGTGAAAAAAATGTCCTTGCAGATTTCTTTGGAAACCAAAAGCAAGTCTCCCAAAAATAGCTGTAATAAAGGCAAACGGTGTACACCCTAAATACTGAACAAATAGGAATTATACTTAGTTGCTGAAGCGTCTGTGTAATTTTCTGGTTATGTTTTCTGTTTTCTTCCTGATGCTGAAAAATGAGAATGGCCATTCTGACTGAAAATTAAATAAATGAAAGGGTGGTCTCTGACTTTTGCACAGTACTGCAGCTTAAAAGCATAGAGAAAGCCATCTGTTTACAAAGCGCCTTACCTGTTGGTTTCAGTGCTGTACTGTCCTTTGCCCACCTGGTTGACAGCACACACCCTGAACTGGTAGGTGCGGGCTGGAGTTAGGCCAGTCACCACCACAGCGGTCAGCGTCGGGTCCACATTCGGCAAATACACCCGCCATGGAGAATCTACAATGGCATCATACATAACAGTGTAAACATACATGGAAGCTTCATGACTCACTGACTTGATAGTGGCAATTTAACTGCATTGATTGTGGAATGTAAAATCAGTCGTAATCAGTAATATTTGATAAAGTATTCACTCTCTTTTTGGCCAAGATAAAATATTTGGGATATTTTTAAATGTAAAACATCTCAGTGAATTGTTAATAATGTCTGTATTCCACTACTGCGTAAGAAGGTCCTCCAGTCATATTTGTTCAGAGTGCTTCATTTTGAAGTGCTCATAATTAATCAAGATCTATTCAATTGTGGTGAAATCTAAAATTTGATGTGATTTTTTAAAGAACTGTAATTATTGGTGGAAATGATTTGCTTTTATACTGAGTTATTGTATATATATTGCATCTCCTCTCTACCCCTCTTCTGACATTAGCAGACTAAGTTAGCTAGCCAGGTATCATTCTATTCTGGTCATACTAACTTTGAGAGTGTATTAGATATTCCTATCAAAATTATGTCACTGACTGAATTATCACCAACAAACATATGAATCTTCAAAATGTATTATAGCAGATATTTACATGATAACAAGGTCTGAGAAAACTAGAAACTGAACAACCATTTTTATTATCAACTGTGGAGTTTTCTGACTTCACAATATCTGTCAAATGAAATGAGCGCTGACTGACTGCTGCAAAATGCACTTGTTTAGAGACTGGGTGGGGACCGTTGAGAGGGACCAAGTAACTTTCTATTGGTTGAAAGGCTTGTAGGCTTGTACCCAACACAAAAAAATATACTTTGACTCATGCGCAGTGTAAAACAACTATACACGGTTTTCCTAAACATTTAAATAGATTTTGAAACCTGATTTCCACCACTGTCCATAAACATATAAAATTACAAGCTTATTTACAGGCGCACAGACATTCCACAATATTCACATTCATAATGAGTGTAGTTAGTGTAGCTGTAGTTAGTGTAGCTGTCAGAGTCACTCAGTACAGGTCTCTAACAAACCCCACTAATCACACTTCATGTTCAAGCTGGGATTCCCCAGTCGAATGCAAGCCGGCAGCTATAAATACTTAATGATCAGATCACACAACATCAGGCTCTTTAGAGAAATTACTCTAAAATTATACAAAAGATTGTGCTGTGGTGATCAGCATGAGGTTTGGATCAAAGGATATTAAAACAGTGGGAGTGAGGGAGATACTTTGTTGGAGGACACAAAACCGATGCTGAAATATTAATAAAATTAAGGCTTTTACAGATGATGCTTTCACTGTGCAGACTTGTAAAGTGGGAAAGTTTGCCAGTGAGGACAAATCAGAGATGAAGGAATGGCAAAAAAATGGAGAGAAAGCACTCAGTGACATAGGCGTTTCTGATAGGACTTCCCAGGGCCATTCTAGCCATGCACCAGTAATCTGCACCCTCACCAGAGCCCATTCCTCACTGTCCACTTGCACCCAGAGCAGATCAATCTGCCATTTTCTGCCATGGTGCTAGTGGTGTTAGTGGTGCTGGTGTGGAGAGGGGTCGTGTCTCTGCGCTTCCTTACACCTCTGTTCTTTCAATACAACAGCAGACAGTACTGCAATTTAAGCCAGATTAACTCTGAGCATTCACTATAGCAGTGGCTGTTTTCACTGCTCTAACACACCCCACTTCAACTCAGGACAGAATGGGTGACCACACAGCCCTTTACCATGTGCATGCAAGTGTGTGTGAGTGTGTGTGTGTGTGTGTGTGTGTATATATATATATATATATATATATATATATATATATATATATATATATATATATATATATATATATCCCTCCTTAATGCCCAGTCATATACATATATAAATACAAATATATAGTTTTGTTGTCCTGTCTAGTATTTATTTATTCATTGTCTGGTGCATTTATTGAATATTCTGCACTTGATTCACAGTGTTGTGTATCTGTATGCACTGTCATGTATCTGTATACTCTATGTAGTCCTGTGTAATGTGCTGCTGTTGTGTGTTGCACCATGGGGCCTGAAGAATTTGTTCCAATGTATAAAAATTATATTGAGGAATGACAATAAAGACCACCTGACACTTGACCTGAACTCCTTAAACTGCAGGCGTATATTCAGTTATTCATCTTAATGCCAGTGGCGCACCGTAACTACAGAGCTAGGCCTTCAGTTTGGACCATGAATGCCAAAACATGGTTAAAAACAAGTGAAACATAATACTAATTTCTGCTAGCACCCTGCTGCTATGAGATTCTAGAAGTATGTTAGAGCTAGCACGTTAAGGCGATCTACATGGACGCATTTTAGCTGTTCTAGGTTAAACATGACCATTTGAAGCTTGTAAAAGATATTCACCTAAATTTTACCTTGTATGTTGGTTTGAGTGAAGAGTCCTGGTATAGAGCTGCCACCACTGTTTACCATTTCTAACATCTAACTGAAACCTGCTAGACTATAGTCAGAGTCACATCTATAATGTTTTATTCTTACAAAATTGATCCCATTCATTACAAATCAAGAAGCTATTGGATGATTCCACTGTCACTTTCTTTATATATTAGTGGTTAAACTGACAAGTTAGCCTGCAGTTTGGCTCCTGAAGTTTTAACTAACGGGAGAGCCTGCTTGGTTGCGTCTACCAAGATACCACGGAGAAAGAAAAATCTGATTGGACAACTTTTTTTCAAGAATTGAACCCCCTTAACAATAATATAAGAGTCATGCATACAAATAAGAGTTATATACGAGTTTAAATACAACAATCATTATGATCTTAAATATGATATTAAATGAAAATGAACTAAAAATAACAGATATGTAATTTTTTAATTTGAAAGAAATCATTAGGGCTTCTCTGTAGGACTAAAAGGCCCTGAGGGTCCCCCTCTGCTAGAGACATATTAGTCAGTAATTTCTATGACTTATTCAGTAACTATTAGAAATTATTCAGTAACTACTATAAATTTTTCACTAACGACTATGAAACTAATATGTGAGTTATGAATAAGTGAAGAATTAAAGTGTGGGTCTTCATATGGAGCCTTAGAATTTGAGGGTCTAAATTAGCTGTAGGGCTGCCCCTATAATTAGTTATTCTGTCCATTATTTGATTCACTCACTAATCAAATATCATTATGCCTTCTACGCTTCCTGGTCATTTTGCCCCTTTTATAGCACCACCATCATTCAAAGTTCAATCTGTGCAAGTTAGTTCTTATTTTATGGTGTGACTAAACAATAGCAGCCATATTGTGGTCACTTTCTCTCTTTCTCTGACCACATGCATTATATCAACATTATAGAGAATTATAGAGTGTTCTTGTTTTTAAATAAATAATCAATTGATGCATTGATCAATATCATCGATGACTAATCAATTGCTGTAGCCCTGATTAGCTGATTAGTTGGATCAGGTGTGTTAGAGAATGAAAAACACTAAAATGTGCAGAGCAGTGGAACTCCAGCAGCAGCACTGGGAAACACTTTGTCATATATGAGTGAAGTAGGTGTTCAGGTAGGATGTAGGCAAGAGCTACTAGAATTCTATTAAATCAAAAGGTAAAAACAAATCAACAAAAAAACAAAAGCAGACAAACATGGCAAGATAAAAGCAGATTTGACACTAGACCAGGCAAAGAGAAACATGAGGGCTACTTATACTAAAAACAAGACTTAAAACACTTGGGATCAGGGTTGCCAGATTGCTTCTGTAATTTCCAGCCAAAAAATGCTCAAAATCTGCCAAAAAAAGGCATTTAAAAAGTGCCCAAAAAGTACATTATTAAATCAGCCTAAGGTCATTTTAACCATAATATGAATTAATACAGCTTGCACAAACTCATCAATGTTCTGACAGTATTAACATATTTTAATGTGTTGTATATGATAGGACCCATGATCCCATGCAATCAGAAAGGCAAATGAATAGCAACAATACTGCAAGCGTAACTATTTTTTGCAAGCAAGCATAACTATTCTATACAGATTTTTAAAACTTGTTTACCTTTATCAGCCATGCTGAACAGTTCATGGGCCATTCCAATTTCCTGCTATTACAAAATAATGTATACTCAGTAATGTCACATGAACTGGATAATTGATTTCATATTAGGCCGGAATGCACGTCCATTATATCAGCAATAAACTGAGTAGTTAACCACTGATGTTGATTGCGAATGATACAGATAGGTGGGGTAACGTCCTCCTCTCAATAGGAGAGCCAAAATTTATGTCAATCAAAGTTTTGATAACTGATTGGATTTGGAGAGAAGTAAGGCCTACTCAATTTTCAGCTGCATTCTTATGTAATGTAGTTTATTAATTTTATATACTTCTTTAAACCCTGTAAAAAGATGACAAACCAGCACATTGTAACTAGCAAAGATACTTTCTCTGAGTAGACAACAAAGCACTTTGGATAAGAGCGTCTGCTAAATGCTGTAAATGTAAATGTAAACATGTACCCCACCGCCAAGTCCAACCAAAATCTGCCCAATCTGGCATCTGGCCTGGAGAGAGTGGAGCTAGGACAGGAAAACTGTGACACACTAGACTGTATCAAAGGGCCTGTTTACACCTTGCATTAACATGCGTTTTCAATAATCGGTTCAGGTTCGGATATCTACTGACCGTATAAAAAGCCACCCCAAGGACGCATTGTGAGCAGATTATAATGGATCATTCAAACTGTATTCAGAGTTGGTCAGAGACGAATCTTGACCGCTTTTAACACAGGTGTAAACAGAATATGTTTTTGTTATTCAAGTACAATTATATGAGCGGAAAAGCACCTGCCGAGTGCTGACTAACAAGTGAGGGGATAAACAACGACACAACAGATGGAGGATACACAAGGCTGAATTTAGCCCCAAACCAAGAGCCTTCATGCACTCTGAGCTGACATAAGTGTCCAAGCCAGCTTGTCGATTCGTATTGTACTGAGGACAAGAGTGAACAAAAGTAAAATGGAAATAATGTATGTGTTGGTGCACTTTTTACATGGGAAAGTAAAATCAGATTTCATCTGGTCAGACATTTTTGTGAAAAGTATAAATTAAATCTGGCCAAAGTTTATCCAGATATGATCTTGACATGAAACACATGTTAAGGCAAAGTGCTGACAGGGTTAAAGTGAAGGCTGCAGGTGAAGCAGGAGAGCCCTTGTTAGCACTGGTATACAAAAGCTCCTTTTCAGTGTTTGCTCACGAGACAGCCTTCAATAAAAAAAGCCAACTGGCTTGCTGGTAAAGCCACAAGAGGCAAAGCCCCACTTGTTGGAGATATGCACATGAACAGTTGCCAGAACAACCTAAAAAACATGTTTTTTGCGCAGCTTGAGCCAAATGCTACAAACTACTTATGCAAATTTGATCAGATTTTACCAGTGATTTCTAATAGGGATGGAAAGATTGACCGGCTAAAATATGAGAGCCGATTAATGACACAAAATATGTGTGCCAAATTTTGTTACATGCACTGAAATGAAACATTTTGTCTGCAGCTTACAATATCTGACACCAAGTCAATATTATTTTAAGTTCATTTGTGAGGGAAGCACAGTAAACACCGTTTTAACGTTTAACATCATTAACTAGAGAATGCATCATCCAGCCAAGTACTCTCAGTATCAGACGCTAGCAGAATTAATGAAGAAGGATGACGCAACACAGACAATAAGCTATCTTAATTTAGGAATTATATCTTATCTTACAGCAGCTTATCTTAAATTAAGAAATCCTAAACTACTCAGTCAGACATAGCTGCCCCCCAGTTTCAGTTTCTATTTCCCAAAGCCTTTAGATGGCGTGCAAGTGGGCTACCGTTATTCCTTCTTATAAAGAGCCACACATTCAACTCTGTCTCCTTACGATTCACCATCATCACTGCAGTATATTATTTGGCAGGTTTTCATGAATGCAAGCAATGAGAGAGAACAGGGAAGAATGTCTGCAGAGTCCAAGATAAAAAAGAAATACACCACTCACAATTGAAACTACCGTTTTGCTATTTGAATAATGTAATGCCATTAATGTACTTATAGTGAACTTGTTATACTGCCTGTCACAGTTGCATTAAAAATGAGAACACTGTCTTTTCACAACAAAATGGCTAACAAAAACGGAAAGATAAGACAGAAGTTAGGACCCTTCTGAGGTTGTTAGGATGCTCCTGTAAAACTATTTTCTATCTGGAGTTAGGATAAGAGTATGACCTTAAGAACTCTTATAATATGATAGCTGAATTTGTAAAGATGGCCACCAAGCGGACAGACTTTCCTTTAAGCATCTCAGCACATGCAGCTCTTTCTGACATTTTTCAAAAGGTTTTGAACTGCATGTGAAGAACTGTGGGTGTCTGAAGGTCTTGAAGATACGCCAGTTCCTTCGATCTCTCAGGAAAGAAGGATTCATTTGTCGACCACATTCAAAGAACCCTCCAATGCGGGCAGCTTTTTAGTGACGTAACATCTGAGAAACGCCGCCTTCCTCAGCTGCACCCTTAGCTTTGAAACATGGCTACTGGTCTACAGAACCTTTCCCCCGCTGTGAGCTGCTATTCAGGTCAATTACAGCCTGAATGTTAAGCTGAAAAGGCAGTGTGCTGCGCTCCATGCCAGCCCAGCAGGAGGCTTGATCATCAGGCTCATGCCAACCCAGTGAGCCACTGAACACACAAGAAGCCTCAGACATGGAGCCACACTCAGAGCAAGGCTGGTTGGCACAGAGCAGGCATGCTTACTGTTCTCTGAGAGCTCCACCACGTAGTGCAGCAGAGGGCTGTTGCCATCGAAAGGCCTCATCCAGGACAGGTCCACGCTGCGGCTGTCCGTGGCGTTCAGGCTAGCCTGCAGGTTCCGCGGGAAGTGAGGCAGCTCTCTGGAGAGAGAGGAGAACAGACAAGATGAGCAATCTAAAGTTAACACACATGCACACACACACATCACAAAATAAACAGACATAAAATACATCCAAGGTGTTTGGAGAACGCTCCCACCATGAGGGCAGCCTCGGCTCAACAGGTCTGTTTGAGATTCGCCGTAACGCTCCGCATGCTGCGTCCCTCCGGACCTACCAGCCTCACATCTCCTCTACGCTCTGTGCACTGCCCTTCCCCTCACTCTGGCATTCAAAGGAAGCAGCCTGATTCCAAATTCAGCTCCAATCCCACTGCCTGTCGGAGGCAGACATTTATTTGTGTTCGTCTTGATTCCTTTTCTGATTTTTATTTTTTTTTTCATTTTTTTTATTTTATTGATTGCTTTATTAATCATTTCTGAGGAGGATTGAATTCCTGCTGAGGCCACATATCAAGCACCAATGGTTTGCTCACGGAAAGTTTGTTTTCTTCTCTAAATTAAACCCAGTGAGAGAATCAGTGAAGCTCCAGATTTCATCACTTCTTTGTGTTCTTTCTAACTAGACAGGCAACCTCTGACAATCTCACAGGTAGAAGAGAAATGATACGCAGGCTTTCATCTAGCACTCTTTCTGCATAATCTCTGATGTTCGGCGGTGAAAATTCCTTTAAAAAAAGCAAAAAAACTTTGCACTAGACAAGGAGAGAGGAGCAGACATGTTCTCTAAAAAAGTGACACTCCAATAACTGGCCAATTTATACATATTATCTTCCACTAAAAGAATGCGCTATGTAGCCGTTGGAGTTATTCTTTTGATTTTCCACAAAACTGTACTGGAAAAAACACGAAAGTAGTGCCTCCAGACTTTAGGTGAGTAGCACTGCCTCAATCAATGTCTGTGCTCCCACGGTTAAGTAACTTATTGCCAATGTAAGTACTTCTGACTAAAAGCCATTTCTTTCTAATGACTTGGGCAGCAGAGCCCAGGGAAGCAGCGTCTGAGAGAGAATGGCTGGGGAAGAAGTGTCGTCTGACAGAACGCCTGATTCCACACAACCGTCTGCCAGCACAAACCATTTCGACAGTATAATAAGGACTGAGCAGAGCCACAAAAAAATAATGAGTCTTAATCCCACACAATGCTAGCCTTCTGAAATCTGCATAAAGCACACCTGATGCCTTTTTGGGCATGAGAGCTTTATTATGTAGACTACTTTTTATTCAAGTTTGTGGGTGAATTTTCTGAGGTTTCTAGCAATAAAGGTGGAATTTATGGCAAAGCAAACCAGTTTTATTCAGCATTTTAGAGATCAGTGGGCAAATATGCATCAGACCCCGGGCTTCACATCCCTCTGGTTGACGGCCTGCACAGAGACTAGGCAAAGGGGCAAGAGGTCAACAGCTTTTTAAGAGACATACAATTTTGCCTGGCGAAAAAAAAACAAAGCACAATGAACCACAGAAACCTCACACAACATCAGACACAACACCGCAAACTGGAAAGAAAAACTAAAAGGCAAAAAGGAAACACAGCCCTTTCCCTGCTGCTTTCTGAACCTTTTGATTATGCAAATGCCACTTTGAAAGTTGCAATTAACAGACCTCTACAGTATGAAATTTTGAGGAAAAGCAGTTGGAAACCAGATGGAAAGGTTACAGCGGAAAAAAGGTTGCAACAAAAAGGTCAGTCCACGAGCTCCTGCTGGGAGCGCTATCCTGCATCTGTGTACGCAGTGCTGGACCCGGACGTGTTGGAGGGAGAAATATGGCATGCGGTGTAATAAGCAAGCAGCTGCTGTTAAATGGGCTTTCCTTTTACCTCCCTCGGCTGACAGAGAGAGTGCAGCAGAGCAAATAAGCGTGCTGAGAGAGCCTACCAGACTGCCGACCCCCTGGAGAGCACCTACAGGGCGGCAGGGGGTCGAAGCCTTGTGTCCAGACTGCATTGGAGCATGGAAGGCAGCGTCACGACCCCTGGCCCACAGAGAGCCCTCGGCCAGCTTTCAAAAATATGAGGCTACTGCTAAGAATAAAAAAGCTCCTTACAAGCTCAGAGGTGTCGCTGAAAAGAAACATCTGACTGACAAGCAGAAAGTGTGGTGGCTTCACCTGTTAATCATTGCTGTCTAGCTAAGTTAACATCATAGCTTTGGTTGCATTACAAAACACTACAGCTACCAAATAAAAATTATTTGAAATAAAAAAAACACACTCTAAAATGTTATTTTGGAAAGAATGGCAATGTGCAAGACCACCTTTCATTTATTTAAATTCCCATCGATAGTATCAAGTTATTGATTTTTCAGCATCAGGAAAAAAAGGAGAAAATATAGGCTGAAGCGTACCCTGTCTATTCTTCAGTAGCAATTACAAATTTAGACTCATAGGTTCATAAAACTTTAGTGCACATCTCAGATGACCAGTTTCAGTGTTCTAGTGCATTTTCTCTTCCTTTTTGTCTATTTCTTTTTCTCAGTAAGGGTTTACTGACAGCTATTATAGACATCCGTAGTGTTGAGTTGTCTTGGATGGACAGAATCACCTGTGGATTTTTGTTTTTCTGAAGCAAGAGTGGAGCCTGATTTTGCCCTATTCCTCCAAGATGAAAGCTTTAAGTACTGTTCATCTCATGGGGACAGTTTTAGTGGCTACCAGGTCTTGCACAGTTGTTAGGAGTTCTGTTTTTTCTATATATTTTAATCTTTTTTTAAGTCCAATTTTGGGAACTTCTGTTTTGTCACCTAATTATACAGAAAAAACATACATAAATGTCCATTTTGACTGAAAATTAAATCAATGGAAGGTCTCATATTTCCAGATTACTTTGTGTGCCACAATTTTTCACTGGGATAAAAGGGACTTTTACCAACATCTTACAAAGCTTATCTAACCTTACAACAGCAGCTATGAAACAATGCATTAATGGACGAAGCATATGAGGACAGGTCAGTTGGAAAACGGTAAGTGGCATGTTGCTGGAAGGAGGAAGGTGTTGGCTTTAGCTTACATGACTTCGAGGCGTGCACTCTTGGAGTCATTGCCAGCCAGGGAGAGTACTTCGCAGGTGTAGTCACCGATATCACCTGACCACGTCTGAGTGATGTGCAGAGAGCCGTCCTGTAGGGTGATCCGCCCACCTTTGGACTGACCAACAACCTCTCCATCCTTCTTCCACAGAAACCTGCACAGAGTACAGGGAGGAGGGGAAAAAGAGAAAGAGAGAGAGAAAACAGGAGCTGGGAAAGCAGAAGTGCTTCATTATGCTGATTTCCTGCATATTAGCGCTGAATTAGCTTTATAGCATAACGGATTGCACTTTGAATCTACTTAACGGCACATGGGCTGGCACTTCCAATTAACATTACAATCAAAACGGATGGGGCAGCCCTGGCCTCAGGCGGAGGGGTCTGCCCACACATACACACACACATGCAGGGCCATGCATCATCACCCACCTCACAGCCACACGTGGGTCGTGCGTGGCGCTGCACTCCAAAATGGCTGTGGTCCCCTTGATGACACGGCGGTCTGTGGGAGGGTGGGAAATGTAGGTGCGACCTTGGAGAAGACAAAAGCACTTGCTTAGATACTGGACACGCACTTCACTATACTCACCAGACCGACCCTTCTCATAGGGATCTACTTTCTAGCAACTTTTAGTCCCAACTCTTCTCTAATACGCTGTCCCTCATCCCTCACCCAGTGCTATTCCACCTGATCCAGCCATTAAAGGTCTTCTGAAGATGTTAATCAGATGGATCAGACATGGTACGTTATGGTTGGAACCATATTCTCCAGTATGGTAGAACTCCAGGAGCAGGTTTAGTCACAACTGTAACACAGCAAATACAGAAACGCTGTGGCTTCCTGCAGATGAGTCAGTCTCCTTTCATACGCTGGAATGTTATTGCTCTTTTCACACTTGCTCATGGCTGTTTCATCCACACCTCTCAATGCCACATGCAATCCTGTTCTTCTAGCACAGAAAAGACATGGTGAGAAGCTGCTTTGTGTAGAGATGTAGCAGTGCTTCTCGCCACGGTCCTCAGGGCCCACTAGCTGGTCGACATTTTGCTCTAACCTAACACACAATACACCTGTACCCAGGGGTGAAATTGGGTTGGAATGATCCGTTCCAGCACCCGTTAGGTGTCCTGCAAAGGGAAAAAAAACGTACCATCTCTGTTCTCCTGAGCTTTCTGTTTTTACCTGTAGTGTAAGTGAACTGAACCATTAACCACATTCACATAAACAAAGACACACAAGCTGCATTCCAAAAGCTAGGCTGTGGTCCAGGTGGACTGCATTTCTGGACCACTACGTTATCCAGTTCTATTCCAATCAGAAAGCTATTTTAAACACAGCCAAGAAATGCAGCTGACATTTGGACAATTTTTGAGGACATCCTTTATGGCCATTTGATCATGCAACAAAGCAGCCTTGGTAGATTGTTCCATTTTGCATTATACAACACAATGAGGAGCTTTCACAGGACAGTCCTACCAAGAACCCACCTTTCTTGGCGGCAGCCTAGCCTTTGGAACATATCTAGCTACAGTATCACTGATGCGAAGCACTGCTCTGATGAAGCATCAAAAGGTATTCGACTGCTAATGGCGCCCCTGAGGGAAAGTTTTCCGCCTGTTAAACCCAAGTGGCAACCACGTTGAATTAACCATTCTGGTAAGGTGGATCCGCCTAAACAAACCTTTAGTAAACTGCAGTAATGTTGTCTTTAACACAGTCCTTATAATAGCAGGGAATATCTAAATGGAGCAAGCCAGCTAGCTGGTTTGGTACGTTTCTGGTGTAGGCTAACAGATCAAATGTTTGCACATTTTAATGACCAATTAAACACAACTGTTTATTTGCTGAAATGAACTGTGATGCTCCAATAACCGGTCAGACGCTTGTGGACGGAAGTAAAAGTGTGAGCTTTAATAACAACAGAGCGAGCCAGAAACGTAATTCTAAAAACAGGGCAGGCTCAAAACCGAGAGAGACAGTTCATAATTCATGGGGCAAGGCACAGAGCGGTGAAAAAAACAAGTCAGGGTCAAAAACCAAAACAGTCCAAAGTCCAAAATCAGCAAACAGCACTAAAAGAGGAAATCCAAAAACAAGGTTAAAAACAAGACAGGTAGGTAAAACAAACAAATAAATAACGATTGGTTTGCTCTGAAATCAACGGCAATACTTCACAAAGACAAGGTGTGACGAACAGGTATTTATACAGAGACACGAAATGAGGAACAGGTGTAAACAGACAGTACTCAGATGACATGGAGCAAATAAGTGGATTGTGATTGGTGGAAGCAGTAGATGTGGGCATCATGTTATCTCCCGTTGGATCCTGGGAGATGTAGTTCAGGGACTCGACAGAGCCAGCTGGTGAGATGGAGTGAGGTGTACTACAGGGTGTGTTGACGGCAAGCGTGACATGAACATATCGCAGAAAAAATAAAAAACACAGAAATGTCCTGTGCAAAAGTTATGGCACATTTCAGGTTAGGCCTCCCTTTCATGCTTACAGTTCTTCTAGAACGCTGCAGCGCATCTTTTAACAGGAACACACAAGAGCATATTTCCCCCGTACTGGCCTCTCTTCATTGGCTCCCTGTACGTTTTATGATTGATTTTAAGATTCTGTTGTTTGCTTATAAATCGTTAAATGGGCTAGCTCCAACCTATATTTCTGACCTATTACTACCATACGTTCCATCAAGGTCACTTAGATCTACTGACCGGTTCTATTTGACTGTCTCTAAATCAAGACTGAAGCACAAGGGAGATCATGCCTTTTCAGTTATAGCCCCCAAACTCTGGAATGAGTTACCTCTGCATGTTACGCTCAGCCCTACACTGTCTGTTTTTAAATCCCGTCTCGAAACACAGTTTATTCTTTGGCTTTTGATTACATGGGACTTTGATCAACAACTGCTATTTTTAAATGTGCTCTATAAATAAATTTGACATTGATATTTTAGATTTTTATTTTAACTCAGCAAATAAATAGAAGTTGAGTAAAATGAGAAAAAATGCAATATTTACGTGTTCCCTGTAAAGGATGTGTACTTATTTTCACTTAGAAAATCAACAAAATGTGCAATTTGACCAGAAGTGTTCAGACCTTTGCACATGACTCTTTATATAGTGTCTTTGAAATAGATGTTAGTCCAGATCTCTAATGAGCAGTGGTGGCAAGGAAAAACTTCCTTAGAGCATGAGGAAGAAACACTGAGAGGAGCAAGGACTCAAAAGGGGAAACCATAATTTTCTGGAAACCATAATTCCAATCATTATATCAGAATAATGTTTAAAGAAATGAGATTAAACAGAGGCACTCTGAAAAAGCAGGATAGAGATCTGTGATACAACCAGTGACTAATGCTGGAAATTTATCAAAGGTTGTCAGAAATAGAAACAGAGGATCTTACTCCAGACAGTGAGGCTGGCGCTGGCATTGATGGCACCCTCAGAGTTAGCGGCGTAGCAGGTGTACGTCCCCGTGTCCTGCAGCACCACAGGCTTCACTTGCAGCCCCCCAGACTCCAACAGCGTGAATCGTGGAATCTGCACCGAGCCGCTGGCCAAGATCTGTGCATCTACATACGCGCACACACTCAGTAACTCAAATAATGCAGCGACACAATGCATTAACAGGGCATCATGGGTAGTTGTTCAGCTATGGATGATTTTTTATTACAAGCTTAAAGTTTCCCCCGGAGGGAAATCCTCCTGAAGCGCGCTTCAGTTCAGCCTGTCTCGTTAGGAGAGCTCCATTGTACGTAATTGGTAAGACTATGGAAATGACTTCATGAATAAAGCCAAAACAGTGCTGGGATATAAAGGCAGATTTGTGGTGCTGTTGCATGAAATTATCTTTTTTATGTTGCCAATCAGCTGCAACAAAGACATTTTAATAGCGTTCTGTGAGGCGAACAAAAAAAACCTCAAGATGTTTTGTTTGTGTTTGACAATTTATGCTCCTGCCGAAGAATCCGAGTGCTAAGGAGGCCCTACAGCCAATGTGACAAAATATGACTCTTGTAAAAATCTGACAAGCACTGGGGGGGGAGAAATACAGCCATGTTTGTTTTCACATTCATACTGGGCATTAAACTGGCCTGACAGGATTTGTTAATGCAGTTGACTCAAGCCAGAGCCCAAGAGTAATAAGCTATATGGGGGCTGAGCCTGCTGATTATTACCTCTCTTCCAGGTGATGGCTGGTTTAGGGGCACCGGAGACCTGGCAGGTGAAGGAGGCTGCAGAGCCATCCGTCACTGTGATGTTAGCTGGAGGCGCAGTGAAGGTTGGAGCCAAACCTGCACAGACCACAAACACAGCTCTAAGCAAAGACATAGCCACACAACACAAAACTGCACAGATCACAAACACAGCTCTAATCAAACACACAACATTTCTCACTCTGCTTAATACAAATCGACACAGACCACATACACAGCTCTAATCAAACACGTAGTAACATTCCTCACTGTGCTTAACACAATCCAGCGCAAACCACAAACACAGCTCTAACCAAACATGCAGCAGCATTTCTCACTGTACTTGACACAAATTTGCACTGACCACAAACACAGCTCTAATCAAACACACAGCAACATTCCGCTCTGCTTAAAACAAACCTGTGCAGACCACAAACACAGCAACATTTCACACTGTGCTTAACACAAACAAAAAGAGGCTTTTTTTTACTTGTGCCACATAACATTTTGTTGTTTTGGTTCACATCCTTACAGTTTACAAGCAAAACATTCAAGTAAAGAGATTAAACAGTTAAAATCTCTTTAAAAACTCATTTTCTCTAATAGAAAACAGCAAAAAAAAGGTTACATTTCAGTTATGAGGAACATATATGCAGACAGACTGCAGTAATGAGTAATGAAAAAATAACTTCCACAAACCTTTTGCTGTAGCATAAAGAGCTCCAACTGATCTACTACATGATATTAATATTGTTTATCTGCATTATGCTTATGACACTCAGATATGTAATATTTAGGCAGTTCTGGGAGAACAGCTCCTGGATTCCATGCACACAAACACCTATGTACACAAATACACAAACCTGCATGCACACATACATGCAAACGTGTGCTTGTACATAAATACGAACAAACACACCTGAATAGACGCACACAAACAAGCGCATGCACATACACATGTGCACAAATCATTACAAGAAGCCAAACAGCAGGAAATTGAATTAAAGCCTCATTCTATTCCTGCTTTCATCGCTTTGTTATTTCGGGCCTGCAGAAATGTGTGCGCTTTTCCACTGTTTCAGTGAATTTGTGTTTCAAATCAGAAGCAGTAAACAACCGAAATGAATCCAATTAGGCTATTCTGATTGGGCACACATAATGGAAGCATTGTGGAGTCGGTAGGTCATTTTGTAATAAGCGGAGATGTGTAAATGAATAGGTATATCCATTTGGGACGCCGCGGCATGTCCCTGATTGAAGGCAAAACAACATTGTTTGGATTCAGAGTTGAATTCTTGCCACATCAATTTGGAGTCAAGATGGGAAAATAAACCCCATTACAGCTCAATTTGCACAGTGGCTAAAAGGTTAGTTTCCCCTCGACCTTTTATGTGCATCTTCATGAAGATCGATGAGGTAAATGCTCATAAAAAATAAATAAATAATTCAAAAGGCATATTTAGAGACAAAAACTTTGCTTAAAAAGCCTCTGATTTCACTGAGCACATATTTTTGTGCCCATATAGGCACAGTGGGCCCAGCATTAGTTCTTAGTGAATGTGGACATTGCATTTCTGATACAATATTACACACCTATTCAAACCTCCCGGAAAAAGCTTTACTGAGAACGGCTGTGTTTTTTTTTTTATGGTTCTGCCGACATAGTAGACCAGTGGTGGGGAGACTGCATAGTGAGTGATTACAGTGCATGCTGATATTCACTCCCTCTTCTTGTCCTTGATCACTTTAGCATGAAACAGATCTATACAGCAACAATACACTCAGGAGGAGGGCTGAAATGGTGTTGATTGAGCTGCTAGTCAATGGGGGGGCTGGATATACACACTCGATACAGCGTGACAGAGGCGACAAACGGACATCAATACTAGATCTTCTGCTCTCCAGAGATATCTCGCTGCCTTTTTCACCGTCTTTTCATATTTGCAGAGTTCCAATTGTGTGCTTAACAACAATTCTAACAGGCTTTTCAGTGTACAAAATGTAGTATTCATAAGTGGCAATGCACCTAAAAAAAACCTTAAAAATGTAAAATAAAAACTGAAGAAATTCACATACATACTTAGAATCAGTCAATTGTTGTCTATAGTGTTGCAGAACACTCTTATCCCACACTGCAATGCAAAGCAGAAAAACACGGATGGAGAATTTAGACAACGGTCACTGAGCTTTCCTCTACGGTGTCTTTGCCGCCTCAAATAAGTACCACAAAACCCCAGTTCAGGGTTGTATGTGAAAATTTTGAGCATGTAGCACTGGTGCTATAAAGGTTGCAAGTGCTGCAGTACAAATGACATTTTATTAAAACTACATAAAAAGCTTCAAGTGCTTCAGTGGAACAAACAGAAACCGTGAAAAAACAGAGGCAGCATGTAAAAATCTATAGATAATTCGTTTTCAACTCCTGAGTGCAGTGAAGTCTTTTGGAATTACTTATTTTTTCAGCAGGCAAACTATAAAATCCCAAATTACTGCTGGCTCTAGGTATGTTCTCTAATGCTTGTACTACATAGTGAATTACAATTACCATAAACACTATACGAGTTTAGCTCTATACAAGCTATACGTGTCACCGTTCACAGCACTACACGTGCATGTTTCACTTGGCCCATGGGAGGGAAATGTTTGATATTGTGCAGTTAGAAGAGCTCAGGAATAACCTTCTATGAATAACAAGTTGAGTACAAATTCAATGACGGATTTCAACTTGACACAATATTACTGAATGGAGACTCACATTCCTGTGAATGGAACACTCGCACACTAAGACCTATTGCATGAGTGCAACTGTGGTATTTTCTATATTCACACAGGTTTACTTTCCCTTAGCACATGTGACAATACTATCACACTATTCAGCCCTGCAGTTAAAACTGAAAATGAAAAGCAAAAATACACAATTAAGTCCATGACAAAACATTTTTGATTACACTTCTGACCTGCACCCTCCATAGGTTGACATGGAACATGTTAGCACAGCGACTCTCAAACCAGTGCCCCCCGACGATTCGTATTTTGGCTCAGTCCTGACTCTTAACACATACAAAGCAAAAATATCCACCATCTGGGGGCCCCTGAGGACCAATTTGAGAACCACTGCTTTAGCATAGCAACATCACTTCACCACCTTCTATTAGTTCAAAACATTTATCAACTAACCTGCCACATCTTACTCTATCAAGACTTTTACCCAATTTAGTCATGGCCAATTCTCTCCCGCTACCAAGTTGATAATACACTGTGCTAAGAGATGGGGAAATGAGGGGCCACCCCACTCACCTGGAGAAAGCAAGGCCAATTATTTTCTCTTGGATTCCGGGCCACGGATGGCTGTGACATCACCAGGCATCGAACTTGCGATCTCCCTACGCTCAGACGGTTGCACAACTCAGGAGCTTTTACACTGTTAAGATTAATCATGTTCAGCCCACAGCTGGGACAGAGCAATTGTTTTACCTCATGAAATAGTATTAGCACTCCCAAAACATCCACACAAGAGACCACTCCGGTCATATGGATCAGATTCCTCAAATGAAGTAATCTAGGATTATAAAGACAGGTGGCGAACTGATCCTGGATCAGGACTCTTAAACAGAGACTGACAAGATATACAGGCTTTGGCCTGAGTGCATTTCTCCTCTTTTCCTCCAGTCGATTCAGTAATCAGAGGAAATTGGATTGCCTAAAGGTCACTGCTTGAAGTTAAAAATCATTATCATAATCCACCCAGCGTGTTTGAGCAGGGATGGTGTAATTATCAGTGTGATGAGAGCATTCCTCCCAGATGCCTTTATGGCCTCACGCGGCAGGGGCAAGAGGCAGCGAACATTATAAGGTAATCAACACCAGACAGGCCTTTTCCATGGGGAAACGCTTCTGCTTCTTATCTGGCGAGTGAGTGGCTGTGGATCGGCAGAAACGTATCTGTGACTGAGTGAGGCTAAGGTGGCGGGAGCGCGCTCTCTGCAGCCCGTCACACTTAATGCCCTTTATTATACCTCCATTCTCTCTGTGAGCCAGTAATTACGCTCAGGCGTTTTCCCTGCCGCTCGGAATACAGATTTCTCACTGCTCCTGTTTGCAACTCACTTGTGACGTCCAGGTAGGTGTGCACCTGCATCTCTCCAGCTGTGTTCCTGGCAAAGCATTGGAAGATTCCGGCATCATTAGGCTGCAGCTTCCTGACCTGCAGACCCATGCTGGAGATGACCTTGTAGCGCGGGTTGTTGAGCTTGCTGAGGGGCACTGCATCTTTATACCACTCCAGCTTGGGCATGGGCACGCCTGGGGGGTTAAAAACAAAGCAGGAGGAGAGGTCAACAGAGCAGACGGCTTTATGAAATGCATAATACATATGAGAGGAGGGAGGGAGGGTGAGAAGAACACCAAGGATGTCGGGGAAAAAGTGCTTTACCATTCCTCATACAGTAAATGACATACAGGACAAAATGTGGAAGCCAAATCGATGAAGTTGACAGGACCTCAACCAATACAACAGGTTATTTGACATCTGGTTTAGTCAAACACATGTTTGTATTTTTTCAAAATATTCCACTGGTTTGTAGTGATGTACTGTTACTCTTATTCTATATTCTATGGGAAAAGACTTCACTGTACAGATAACAGTCCCTTAGTTTTTAATTATTTATGTACTCCAACTACCTTTCATGTCATGCTAATAACATGTCTCCTAACCTATTTATGAACAAAGTCAGTGTTCGTTTTGATTCTGTGCTTCACTGGGCCCAATTTCAGATTGCAAACTCTGCTAGTTAACATCTCTGAAGAACATCAGGCTGTTTTCATGCCCAGTTCACTTTCTAAAGTCCACATGAGATTTTGGGTTTTTTGTAGATCTGCTTCTTTTTAATTTGGTTTGGCTGGTTTGACACTACTACGGCTGAAGTGGACCAAATTACACATGAGGGTGTTCATTTATTCATTGGAAATTGTGCTCCATTACTTTTACATTTGCCACAATAAAAACAGAAAACAGCGATGCTTAATGTCTATGTTAGTTACAATCAAAGCAATAATAATACAGGTTTAACAAGTTGAATTTAACCTAGCAGGCTGCTGATGAGTCACCAAAATAATAAAATCCATGAGCCAAAATCAAATCTATTTTTTTAACTATTTTTATTGCTCTGTTGTTATTAACAGCAGCTCGTGCTGCAGGAATGATATGAGCATTATTGAAGAGTAAAATGTTGAAACAAGCAGATTAGGCAGGCAGTACAGTGCTGATGTGCATACTTTGCCCCAGTACAGTGAGGAGTGGTGAGTAAAAGCCCGCTCACCCTTGTGGTTTTGACAGCCCTGGACAAAATCACACTTTACACACGATACACTAAACTATACTGTGTATACTACATATAAATTGAAGGAATATATTAATACACAGGGCTGAACAATTTGGGGAAAATATTTTATTGCACTTTTTCTGACCAATATCGCAATTGTGATTCAAATATGATTATTATTTAGAAATTAAACTCAAGTCTTTTTGTCACCAAATTTAAGGCTTGAACGCCGAATGTAGTGTGCCAATTTGCCCGCTTCACAAGCTTTGTGTCATTAGGTTAAATTTCCCCAATCGCTGAGACAGCACTGAATAAGGTAAGATATATCTTGCCATTTGAAAATTTAATTCTTTCATATTGTCATTTCATAAAAAAATAATAAAAATGAACTGTTCAGCTATTTCTACACATAGTACATACACTCTTTTCTTTAAATGCTTGATTCTACATCTGCTGGCAGTTTTCCACACCACTAGGCTTCCCAAGTCAAGGCCTGTGGACTTCAACCTGTCGCCATTGTTAGACTATTCTAGTGCCTACCCCATTGAAGCCGCTTAATGGATGGCAGCAGTACACTGATTACTCAATTAGTCAACTCAGGTACATTGGGCGCTGGAACAGAACTAAAATGGCTAAGGGTCCTTGAGGGATGAGTTAGAACATTCTGCCATGTACTTTCTAAAATAAAAAAAGAGCGTCAAGTGGAAATGAGATGATCAGAGATAAGCTGCAGATAGCTTCCACTCGCACATATGCTGACAGCTTCGAAAGATGCACTCTCCAGGGACGCTTTAAGCAAGAACTAAAAGGCCTGACAGAGAAAATGATTACTCGTAGTGGCTCCAGTGTACTTCAAGAGGAAGCTACTGCATTGTATTATTCAAAATCATTTAGCTCTGCTTTGCTCTTAGTTAATGGATATAAGAAAAAACACTCCATAGTAAATGAGGCCAGCTTTTCTATGGAGGTTCTCCAAGACCTATCATGCATGAAGGAAGGACTGAGAAGTTCCAGGTATCCTTTACAAGCTGGTCGCTTGATCCTCAGGGATTTTATGGCTTCTCCTCCGGCTCTTAAGTCTGAAAACTTCTCCAAACAGAAGATTCTTTGAGAACTCTGTGCACCAAAGTGTGAATGGTCCCAGGAGCGAGGCACAGAGAAAGTAATGGATTGATTTCACTTTCCACTGTAGGGGGCTGGGACTGGCTGAGTTTGTTGTTTTTATTTCTCTCAGTCCATCTAACGCTGAGCGGATAATTTTCTCTTCTCTTGCCTCCTCTTCTGAAATTGCACCACCGCCACACCTGGATGCAACACTGACAAATATCATAAGTATGGTTCTAACTATTGGGCTGACCTTCCATTTCAGGGCTATTAGAAAACTTGCAGGGGAAAGCATTGGAGAATATTTCTGGCAGGAAGCCAATACCATTTTCACTGTCCATTTTTCCCGCCAACATAATGATAACCGTACTGGCCCTTTCCCATCAACCACTCATCTCTCGCGGCTAATCACGACCCCGCTACTCTTCCGAAATGCCACCATTGCTCTTATGGGCAACCGACACTGACGTTCACCGAGCCTTAATGATTTTATAAATCACTCCTAACAATTTTCAGATTCGCTCGTCGATATGCTGTCTGATACAGGTAACTAAAGGCCAGAACATGCAGTGCTGAACTTACTGCAGAATGCTGGAAGCAGTTTAATAAGACCAGGGAAATATACATCTGTGAAAATGCATTTGCAAGATGTAGCTGAGCTGAAGCTACATAAAGACAGCAAAAGAAACAATGCCATAGTAGAACCTTGAAGAATGTTTTAAATGTAAATCAGATGTATAAGTTTTTTAAGAATATACCATGAGACTCAAGTTCTATGTGAGCCACTTGGCTAACACATAGACCATGCACGCACACCACCGGCCACGAAACGATAAGGCAGCCGGAAGTCATTTATTTTGAATGAGAGCCAGCAACACTCAAGCAAATAGAGATGTGACTGCTAGTGATGTGAAGTGAGCGATCTGAAGCTTGAGAAACACAACAAAGGTCAAGAGTGTGATGTGGCTCTACACAGCCAGATAGCATAAAGTATCACCAGTAAAAGAAATAACCACAGACTTGTATGAATGCACAGCAGAGACTTAAAGTGACCTTTATAAGTTCATAAAATGGTTTATTTATTTGTATTCAATGACTCACATTACTGAAACCTGAGTTTGTGTTGAAGCAGATAATATAAATTCTTTTGTATCACTACTTTACAGTTAAAAAAAACACTATGTTCAGGGAAATACTTTAAGGCTTAGTTTTAAAAAGGGTTGAAGAACAACTTTAGTAAATCACGTACAAACATGAAGAACCTTTTCAAAGTTTGAAGAACCTCCTCATAAAGTGAAGGGTCTACATCAACTTAATGTCTTTCTTACAAACAGGAACCAATCAGGAACCTTCATTTTCATGTCTTGATGAAAAGCATGCATGACCATTACGGAATTTATTCAAGTTTCTGGAGACTGCATTAGATATGCGTATGAAGTGCTGACCTCGAGCTTGGCAAGGGATATCCACGCTTTTCTCCACCTCTCCCATCATCTTCCTCCTGGGCTCGGCTGTGAAATATGGAGCCTCTGCCAAAACAGAAATAAGCAGTCAACACGAGCACAAGCTGTGCACTTAAAGCTACGCATAACAGACATGGAATAATGAACGCACACCCATTGTTCGCGCCACGATGTGGAGGCACTTCAGTTTGCAGTGGTCTAGCGTATGTGTCTCGCGTGTGGGAGGAAAGCCGCTAAGGGTGTGAAAGTAGCAATGAGTAGACAGGTGGAAGGCGGCATGCTTGTCTTTCAGATGAACGCGTTCCAGCCACTGCTCTGAGCCTTGTCACTGGCATAAAAACAGATGGCTACTGAGACTGGGCTTTCAAATATTCTATAGGCATCGCGTATCTGTCATTAATCAACAGCTACGACTCTGTAGCTATGGAAATCAACACTTTATTCCCTTTGCTTTTTTTCTCTTTGCCAGCTCTGTGAGAAGCTCCATTTTAAGCATCTTAATGGACTGCAGCCTCTAAAGACAGGTGCTATTATGAAGCTTTAAGCTTAAGGGACAGGACTGCTGAATGCATTCCTGGCATGAATAGCATACACTGTCACTCGCTCCACTGGCAAAGCGCTGAAGTGGACCTTTTACATATATAAGCAGATGAATAAATGCATATTTACGGATCTCACATCTAATACAGACAAACCACCACTGAGCTGTTGACTTATGAGAGATGTCACTGCGACAGGCCACATTCATCATTGCTCGCTGCCTCAACGCACAGTTCACTTCTTTATATGCATGATGATACTCACAACTCCCAGGGTCACTTATAGATAGATGCTAATGAAGAGTGCCACCTATTTTCATACAAAACTGGATACATAACTCACAAAACATTTTCAACAATACAAGTAGTGGCCCTGCACTACACTGCTTTAAAGCATTAAAAGCCTCAGTCAGTAAGTCAACAAACAGAGCTATAGCTGTCACCAACTAGCTCTGAAAGCATTGTTAATGTACATAAAGCACATGTTGTGTGACTTAACAGGGAGAGATACTTTATGCTATTGTTTAAAAGCTCTTAACATGGCAATTCAGGAAACAGGCCTGCCAACTGCAACAGCTACCTATTTGGAAATTCCTCAGGCTAACTGCATTGTGGCTTTCGTTAGTGCCACCATGTCACTTTATTAGTAAGAATGTTTAGTAAACATATATAAAAAGGAGTATTTGAGCAAGATTAACACTTTTTATACAAGTAAGCCTCATCTGTTTAGACAAAGGTAGCAAGAGTGCAAACATTAAAACTTATTCCATAATTTAGGTTAATGTTCTCTCATTGTTTACTTTAGGAAGCCTCGTTGTAACACTGTGTTTCAACTAACTTTGCTGTGTTGAGGCTGTGCTAATGTCTGGCTAGTATTCACTGTTAGTTATTTACATGCTTCAAAATGGTGCTATAATACAGCCTCCAAAAAGGCAAATAAAATAATACAGCTGTGAATTGTGTTACTTATTCACACAAGTAACATCAAGGCCCAATCCCATTTCTTATTTTTACCCCTACCCCTTGTTTCACCTTGCCCCTTGGAACTGAGTAACAAGTTGTAGCGGTATAAATCTTCCCCTACGAAATGGAACAACCCTCAAATAAAAAAGAACATTACTTCATTAAGAGGCTACTAGCGGTGCTCTGTAGGCGACCCTGCCAGTCTGCAGTGACAGCAGAGGAGGGTAAAGTTTAGCAACCTTGAACAGGGTAAGGGCTAAGTGATAGGAATGAGGGATCAAATGGGATTGGGCCCAAGAATAACTGTCCAATTGCTGTCAAAATTCCCAGATGAGGTTGGGAAAATGAGAAGATAACTGAAAGCATGTTCTACCTCAACCTGTTTAACTTCTGCACCTTAATGCACAATTACTGTTTATTTGCTGAATTTGACATATTGGGAAAAATAATTCATAAAACGCCAATATGTTAAACTCAGCAAATAACCAGAAATTGCGCACTAAAATCTGCAGAAAAAAAGTCATATTTAAGTTTGTTCCCTGTAGAGAATGTGATGTTTTTTTTGTTTAGAAAATCAACAAAACATGTCATTTGACCAGGTTGTTCAAACTTTTACATATGACTGTACATTTTACCCCATGTTAGACTGTGTCCCGCTCTCCCCTGTAAGACTGTGTACTTTCCAGGACGATGGTAATGTGCAGTATTACTAGGTGATGTTCTTGAAGAAATGTGTAACTGATGGTAATAATGTCTGTGCTGCTCTTGCGTTGAGAACAGGAGGGATAAAAAGCTCTTAGCGCTGCTAATACTCTGTGTAATTTTGGTTTTCATGCACAGTAACACAGTGAAAGCGCTGCTCCTCCCCATAGTGCTTGGGGACGTGTCCATGCACACATTCACTGTGGGCAGTGGGGTGTGTCGGTGCAGCAGGTTACCTATAATGGAGAGAAAGGCTCTGGCCTCTGCAGGTTTGACGCTGCTGTCCAGCAGGGATGCCTCACACACGTACAGGCCAACATCAGCCGAGGTGGGGTTGATGATGGTCAACCTGCGGCCAAAAGAGCCAACGCCACTCGCCACCTCCACTCCATTCCTCCTCCACACCAAATTCAACTTCTCCACAGGCCTGGAGAGAGAGAGAGAGAGAGAGAGAGAGAGATGAAACAAGGAGACTGAACAGCAATTCTTGATCAAAGTCATTAGAATCTGATCCACCACAAATGGACATAAGGGTCCACATCTCACCTTTCTTATGCACAGCGTGGACCTGCGACATGAAAGCATGTGTACTTGCCTATCATGAAGGTCAAAGTTCTTCCCTTTAAGTGGCCTTAAAAAAGCAGATGCATAAGCAGTCCCTCTGATTGCCTCGTGCGCCATATAATGGGCCAGGAATGACTGCTTATGAATGTGTAAAGCTCACCTAAAGCAAATGGACTGGTGAGGCGCGGAGGCCAGCACATTCCCCTAATGTTCTACTCACCGTGCATTAGCCACACACTCCAGCGTGGCCTCGCTCACCCCGGCCACCACTGTGGTATTTCTGGGGGGGATCACAATCACTGGAGCCACCGGGTCTGCCGGGGCGTCCAAATCTAGCGGTGGGGAGAGAGAAGAGGCAGAGAGCGTGGTGAGAAAGATGGAAAGAGAAGAGCACTTTGAATCACACATCTGTGAAACACAACAGCTTTCTACATTTGGGATGTGTGCATATATGAGCACTTATATTGAAATGGTCTCTGAATATTGGTGGTGCGTCGGCTACGTAAGCAGTGCTTTGGATCTTAGGAATTATCTTTTTCTCGGTCTGTCAACTCAATTTAAAACTACACTAAAGAAGTGAACACAGAAATATCAACTTCATGCAATTTCCACCTAAATAAAGTCAATTAGACATCAAGTCAGACAAGTCATCAAGTCTGGTGTCTGAAGCTTGCTTTGCTGTAGCTATCGTATGTATCCCACAGATCAGAACTGTGCAAAGTGCAGGCCTAAATCTTCATACTTGCCTCAGACTACACTGAGTTTAAACAATCTCAAACTGACTTGATGTTTTCTGACACTGTACAAAATTGTACAATCAGGGCTGTGATGACCACAAAATTTTAGCTGTCGATTAATTGTCATACAAATCATTGCGATTAACAAATTAATTGTCTTTTCTTTGTCATTTTAAAGTACTAGTCAAAAGTGGTCAAACTGGCTTATTAGCCATTTTGCTTCCTAGATGTCTCCTACGAAGACACTAACATTGAGTGTGTTTACATGCACTTAATAATCCATAACTGCAGAATATCAGATTTTGTCAGTAATCCAATCAATGTGTTTAAATGCACTTGAGTAATTAGATAATGTGAAACTCTGGGTCTACATGAGTCAGGCAGCAATCGGATTTCTGCTGTGCTGCCAGCCGATAAACTCACAGAAGAAGGGGTGACGTAAACGTAATGTAAACTCAAAAATATTGCACCACTTTACCTGAAAATATGAATGTACATCATCCAGAAAATAAAGAATATTTAAATCCTTCATTTCGTCAAGCATGTAGCTGGTTTCAGCATTGCTTCAAAAGTGTTTTGCAGCCGTCTCGTGATACCGCTGCTTGCTCATTTCTGATACTGCGGTCTGTTTTTGCATATGCGCAGACTGAGAAATCCAAAAGAAATCCAAAAGAGTAAGAGTTTACATGCACTGAGAAATCTGAATACTGAGCTAAAATCCAGCTCTCTGGAGTGTTTACATGACCATTTGAATAATCAGATAACTACAGAAATCGGATTATTGAGCGCATGTAAATTCAGTCATTGGTTGTACTGTTGAACCGTTACACTACACTGTGGATGTGTGCACACACTCTCACACAAAACATGCTAAAAACATTCAAATTAGCTACACAGCTAACAAATAGACAAACATTACTTGCGCTGCCCTCCAAACATGTTAGAGCAACAAGATAGAAGAACTTTGTTTTCATTAGTACCATGACATCTCAATCAATGTATTTACTACTTTCTTTTATTCACTTTTATTTGTCTCAACCCACCATTGCCTAACTTTATTGTGAAATTTAATGTGGAAAAATAACTGTGGTCACCTTAAGTAATTGCGATTAGGCAATTATGTAATAACCGTGACATGCCTATGTACAACAGTTGGAGTTCAGCAGTAGTAGCAGCTATCTGAAAGCCTGAATTCTGTCTGCACGTTTGTCCATTTTTAAAAAGAACAGTTTGTCTTATAGAAACAACATAAGCAAGACTATTTAACAACCGTACATTCGATTTTTCTCTGAAGTATCACACAACCTTAGGAAATGAGCTCTACGTTGGAGGGCAGAAGATGGGAAAAATGGTCTCCACTGCCAAGCCTCTACTCCACCGCTGCCTAAACTGCTCCGGATCATGCCCAGGCCAACCAGCGTGACTCTTTGTTTTTGACTGTTTCATATCAGCCCCGCTCGGATGAGAATGCTTTGAATAATTGATCTCCTGGCACTGGTCCTACACCATGGTTCAAAGGGCCGTGGTACCTCTCCCTTCCTGATTTGACTTTTGTACTGAATCGCTCTTCCATGAAAATGTGCTTTTTACATTTTTAAAATGAGCCAAGCCTATCTGTATTCTAATTGTGAAAAATTAAAGAGTGACTATTAAATCAGCTTCATTCTTGCAGCTGGGAAATTAGAGAATAGCTAAAATATTGAAATCATATGGAAATGAGGGCTTCTGTTACAGGGTTGAACGCAGAAATCTAGCCTTTGATGTTGACTTTGACTAAATGCATGATGGAGGTAACTGAACTGAAAGTTTTCCCACTTTCCGAACTTTTGGTCTTTTTTTTTCACGAGGCTCAAACGGACTTTTCAGTGCATTAACGCCAGGATCCCAATGCCTAAAGGATATGGACATTCAACCTTGCACAAAAAATAATCATAACACATTTTTTTCACAGTTGGTTGAATAAAACAACACTGAATTATGTTAAAAAGAAGATAAAACGCTTCTTTCTCAAAAGTGGATACTGATGAGATAGGCTGCAGGTTGTGTTAGGATCTATTCATGTCCTCTTTAAGCCATAAGGCATGAGAGGCCATGCTATGGTGAATCCAATCACAGTTAAAAGGTGTTGACAGGTAGGAAATGAGGCGCAAGGCTGGAACCTTTTAAACCGGGGCTATATTTAAAATAGAGCTCAGTCTGAGTGCCTGATAGCTTTTATAAGAGAATTATAACATGGCAGATAGTTTCTTTTTAATGTTGACACATTTTAATGAATATGTATAGTTGGGAGTACATTTATTCAGTAGCTCAGAAAAGGGTTGAGGAATTGAAGTACTCTTGGCACGCAGCACAGGCATCACCAAAGAACTTTCCCAGGTTGCTGACAGGTTCCATCAATGCAATAATGACTAACAGTTCATTTGTAATTACTTTGTACATTGTTGCATATTGCTTAGTATGTTTGCTGTTACTTAGAATGTGGTCATTAAACAGGGGCTGAAAGTGGACAATGCAGTTCCAGCAATGTGTTCAGTAAAGCGGCAAATGTGTGAATGACACGACATCATTCGAATATTCAGTGGACATGAGGTCCGACTTATATACAGTGTAGCGTGACATGACAAGTAATAATTAATATTCCTAACTCATAAAGCGGATGGTGTCCTAAAACCTGGAGAAACTGCTAACACATGTAGAGATCACAGTAGTGTGGAAATTTTACCCACTTGATTTGTATTTCAGCATGCATGAGCCTATACTGTATGTCTTTGAGCCTGTGAGCACTGAATTCGGGAGAAGGGGCAACTGCTAAAGGCATAGCATGTGACAGAATATAAAATAATGTGTGGGATATTCCAGTCATGAACTCTTCAGTTTTGTTTATGCTGTGAATCAGCTACAGTCATAAAATCATAAAGATGTCATTTGTATGGCATTACATAGTAATATTTAATGCAGAAACAGCAGTGTTGTATAATCACTTTTGAATTACAGAATTTTAAACAATTCCACTTGTAACAAGCGTACAAGTAACACACTCTTTGTTCAATATGCACTTTTACCATGACTCCTGGAAAAGTTTTAATTTGAAGCCTAGTTCGCAATATTATTGAAACAGCCTGTTAGCCTATCAGCTACCTGCTACCGGTCTTGTCTATTGAGTGCAGTGTAAATTGGTTAAAGAGCCTGTAACCGCAACCAATGCTGTTCAACTGGCAGTTTTTCATTTGGTTGCATTTTATATACACAGATTTCAGCAACAACATTCTTTTTCACACCATGAATTGGTGTGGAGAAATACTTTGGGCAGCTTTCACTAAACTCTGGGCGGAAAAAAGACTAAAAAAGTACAGCATCAAATAAGCTCTGAAAAAATGCTTTACAGCAGTCAAATGCAGATCAAATTTACTAATTACTGCATGAAATGTAGTATGTAGACCCTTAAGCCTTAACAGAATTGCACCTAATATACACCGATCAGGCATAACATTATGACCACCTCCTTGCTTCTATGCTCATTGTCCATTTTATCAGCTCCACTTACTATATAGGTGCACTTTGTAGTTCTACAATTACAGCCTGTAGTCCATCTGTTTCTCTGCATACTTTGTTAGCCCCCTTTTACCGTGTTCTTCAGTGGTCAGGACCCCAATGGACCCTCACAGAGCAGGTACAATTTGGATAGTGGATCATTCTCAGCACTGCAGTAACACTGACGTGGTGGTGGTGTGTTAGTGTGTGTTGCACTGCTCTGAGTGGATCAGACACAGCAGCGCTGCTGGAGTTTTTAAATACCTCAGTGTCACTGCTGGACTGAGAACAGTCCACCAACCAAAAATATCCAGCCAACAGCGTCCTGTGGGCAGCGCCCTGTGGCCACTGATGAAGGACTATAGGATGACCAACACAAACTGTGCAGCAGCAGATGAGCTATCGTGTCTGACTTTACATCTACAAGGTGGACTGACAAGGCAAGAGTGTCTAACAGAGAGGACAGTGAGTGGACACAGTGTTTAAAAACTCCAGCAGCACTGCTGTGTCTGATCCACTCGTACCAGCACAACACATGCTAACACACCACCACCACGTCAGTGTTACTGCAGTGCTGAGAATGATCCACTATCCAAATTGTACCTGCTCTGTGAGGGTCCATTGGGGTCCTGACCACTGAAGAACACGGTAAAAGGGGGCTAACAAAGTATGCAGAGAAACAGATGGACTACAGGCTGTAATTGTAGAACTACAAAGTGCACCTATATAGTAAGTGGAGCTGATAAAATGGACAATGAGCATAGAAACAAGGATCATAATGTTATGCCTGATCGGTGTATATAACTTGGCACTAAAGTTCATCTCTAAAAAATGAAGGTCTAAGCTTGCCCAAAGTTTCGCTGTTCTTTCAGCACCACTGAGCACACTATGCACTGCGGCTTATCACCAGGTACAAGACGCAATATAACACAAGCCTGTCTAAGTCAGTGAGAATGAAAGACAACAACTATATACGTCAAATGGAACTTAAAGTGGTGCCTTATCTTCATAATGGGTAATGATATCCGTTTCCATGTCTCATCGTCTACTTTCACTATGGATGG